TATTCCCTCTAGTTCGTAGGGGCTTGTGCTTGATTGTCCAATGCGCATGGTTGCACATTTTGCCACATTGATCGGGAGCATCCATTCAACAGACCACTCCGACAATTTGTTGAGGTCCTCTTGCAACGTGAACGTATCACTGTTGCCCTTCAGCTCTCTCCAAATTTTTAAGTCATCTGCGTATAGGACCATAGGGGAGTCGGTGAGCAGAGGTAACTCATTGATATACAGAATAAAAAGGAGAGGACCGAGAACCGTGCCTTGTGGCACTCCGCTACTTACTGCTGTCCAGGAGGAGAGTTTTGAGTTGATCCTAACCCTCTGCCTCCTATCTATGAGGAATTCCCTGAGCCAGTCTAGTAGTCTGCCTTTGATACCAAGACTTTCCAATTTCATGAGTAGTCTTTTGTGAGGTACTTTATCAAAGGCTTTACTGAAGTCTATGAAGACGACGTCAACGGGTCTTCTGTTGTCCTTTGATTTGACCCAGCTTTCTCTTGCAGTCAGGAGATTTGACAGGCATGAGAGGTTCCTCCGGAAGCCATGCTGTGCTCCAGATAACAAGCTGCTATTTTCCAGATAAGCCATGATGCTTTTCTTGATAATTCTTTCCAGTGTCTTGATTAAAGTGCTGGTGAGACTGATAGGCCTGTAATTTGAAGGGCTTTGTCTTGATCCTCCTTTGTGTATGGGGGTTACTATGGCGTCTTTCCAATCACGTGGCAACACTCCATTTAGGAGAGATAGCTTGAAGATCGTGGTCAAGGGGCCGGCTATGTGGGCTGATAGCTCCTTGAGAAGCCTTGGATGAAGATTGTCAGGACCCATTGATTTCCCTGCATCTAGTTTCATTAAGAAGTTGAGCACGATGCCTTGGTCGATGTCAACGGAATCTATCCCATGTTCTTCTGATGCAGCCAGAGCTGATCCTATAGGCAGTGATGACTCCTGAGTGAAGACTTGGGAGAAGTAGTTTGCCATTGCTTCTGCTTTTTCTTGATCTTCTTCGATTGTATCTTTGTCAATAATCAGGTTTGGGACACCATTGGGTGTTTTATTCCTGAAATTCAAGTACGAGAAAATTTTCTTAGGTTGTGCCTTTGCATTTTGGGCCAGGTGTGTCTCGAACTTCATCCTTGATTGGCGGATTTCTGCGATAGCTTTATTTCTAGCAGTATTATATAATTCCCTGGTCTCAGAAGTCTCAAGTGTTGCAAACAGGTTCCAACATTTGCGTTTACGTCTGAGTAACTTACGAATCTCCCGGTTTATCCAAGGGGGGAATGTTTCCGACCCTTTGGAACAGACCAAGGGATGAAGGGTACAGTTACTTGGGCGTAAAGTTGCTTAAATTGGTTCCATGCGGCTTCTACTTGGGACTCTGGATTGATGTACCAGTTTACTGAGTTGGCTGCTGAGACGATCGCATTTATGTCAGCTTTCCAAACGTTTGGTCGAGCTGGGGTTTTGGCCCTTGCTGCCGTTGCTGTGAACTTGAAAGTGAGCACAGCATGGTCACTTCTTCCTAACGGAGGAAGATGTTGTATGAGATCCACATCCTCACCGTGTGAGAACACTAGGTCCAGAGTTGACGAGGAGTGCTGTGAGTCATAGCGCGTGGGCTTAATGATATGTTGGACTAGGGCTAGCGATATACTAGATTCTAGCAGTTTATGATCAAAGGAGTTGACTGAAGATGGAGTTGTTAGGCTCGACCAGTCAACTGTTGGGGCGTTGAAGTCACCGACTACGAGACTTCGACATTTTGAAGTCCAGGAGCCTAGCTTCTCTATTAGGAAGTCGTCTGCACTGCAGTCAGGACTGCGGTACACAGCAATGAGGTCAATGTCTTGGCCTATGCATTTAAGTCTGCAGCGTAGAAGTTCGCACGACTCACTTTCGTGGGCGAGTGCTTCGATACTACGCACGGTTAAGCCTTTCTTGAGGTAGATGACTACGCCCTCTCCTTTGCGGTTTAGTCGGTCTACCCTGTGCACTTCGAAGTTTGGCAGGTTAACTTCGTTGTCAGTGACATCGGGTGTGAGCCATGTCTCTGTGATAATAATTACATCCGGGTTTCCGGTTTCTATCATGTTTGCCAGCTCAGTCCTTTTATTTAACAGGCTGCGGGCGTTTGTGTAGCAGACTGTTAATTCAGATTGGTGCTTCCCCGGCCCACCCACAGAGGTTTCGGGATCATTAAACTGCGAACTCGGACAACCCGAAAACCCTTAATCTTAAGGTTCTTCTCACCGTTCCGGCGTCGCTCACTTAATTCTAGTGCCGCAGCCTGTCTTTTGACACGGTCTGCTAGGCTTAAGTCAGCGCGGACATATATCCCTGATCCTTTGAGAATATGAGAGTTGCTTAGAATAGCATCCCTCTCTGCTTTAGAGTTTAGTACGACTTTGAGGAGACGTACAGGTTCACTTACTGTAGGGTCAGGCTTTTGACCTATTCTGTATACGCTGTGTATAGTAATGCCTGATACTGTTTGTGGCAGTAGCTTGTCTAAAAGGGGCTTGACCAAGTTAAGGTCATGCTCGAATCTGGCCTTAGGATCGTGGGCCAGTGACTCCTCCACTTTGTGGAGAATGAGAGACCTGTCAGAGAGATCGGGTTTGCTTTCCGTGACTTTCTTGCCCTGAGGCGTAAGTGTGTTTCTATCCTTCTTGGGCGGTGTAGCCGAAGTGTTATCCTTATCTCGCTTTTTGCGAGAGACTACAGTGCGCCATTCATTGGCGTCCTCCTCGCTAATCGTAATGGGGTTTGTCTGTCTGCTGCTCACCGGTGTGGATGAGGCTTGTTCCGCCAGTCCCTGGGCGACTGGAGCTGCAGGTTTTCGACCCCTGGTACGCCTCTTCTTCGCGGCAGTCTTTCCATTACTGTCCCTGGAGGGCTTACCCAGTATCGTGGGGGCGACCTGTGTGTCTGGAATGTGGTGGGTGTTCTTCTGTGCTGTAGAGCACTCACTTATTGGGAAGGTCGCATCGGGGACATGTGTTGTTTTGTCAATGGAGAGAGGGTGGTGCTAGCTGATCAGTAGATATGGTGGTGGTCACTAAGGTGAATCACCCCATTCTGCAGGAACAGCAATACGCAATTTGAAGGCTCGAGATTTTCATGATTTTTACGAGGGCTTAGATCTTTATCTTGAAAAAGATAATAATGAACGCCTAGACAGATCATGCTTCTACCTTTAAATATATACCATTCGCTCAGCCTACTGTTGAGATGCGACCACGTGGGCTCTGAACAGATTTATGGGGCATCTTATAAATTAACTTGCTATCCACCGTCAGATCTTTAAATACCACTTCACAATATCTTGTCTCACTTATTTTTTAATAACGTCTTTACTTGATCCTCATTATATTCCATTAAACCTAACATTTTATAGCTCTATATGAATTCGATTAGACTTATTCTATTCTCTGTAGGGTACGGTTGTGCACCAAATAGACAACATAAGCAATTAAAACAACTGACTTGAAAATAATTGTATTAAAGCCAAAAGTGGACATCATGATAGTACAAAATATATTGGTTTCATTATACATTGCAAATGAACGTTGTCGGCCTAAGGATTAATTACTTCCCCATTCTGTTTTCTACATAAATGTGTTTATTAATGAAATATTTCACTCACTTAATCTATTACACTTTAATGATTCACCTTAGCACTTTAACTTTTCTAAAAAACAGCTTCCAAACCCTTGTAAACGTTGTACTTACCTCAATATTGGTTGGTTATCGTATGCCCACAACCACGGGATGAAAACGAAACGAAGTCGATTTTCCCGCTCAACCTGGAGGACAATTGTACAATTCAATAATTATACGGCCTGGTTCAGACAATGAGTGTAATTATATATATGTATCAAATAGTAAACTGTTGAAACATTATTAACTTGTAGACAATTTAAGATTTGACATTATAACATACTTGATCGTGCCTGTAAAAATGGAATGCATTTTCATGTAAATTTATGTTTATATGAAAATAAATTATTATTATTATAATGACGCTTGTCACGTCATCATTATCTGAGCAATAGTCGGTATTCTTCTGTGGTGGAGGACGCTTGCAGTCCATGAGCTTTAAAGCCCCACTAAGAGTAGCAATGGCTTCTGTAATACGGAGTTTAGTTTTACTACAGCACTTGTTGCACAACCGGTTTGCTAGAGGTTTGCAGCAGCGTTTGTATGCTGCTGGAGTAAGGTTCATGCACATACTGTGAAACCATCTCTTGCAGTTATCGCCCTGCATTCCCTTATCCACTGGAAACTGGCACATAGCCTTTCCGCAGCGGTTTCTTTTGATAGGCATTTTATTTAAAACAAACCAGGAAAAATTAAATACAACTTCAAATATATATATATATATATATAACCTTTATAAATCAGTGATAAAAGCTAATGAGTGCACAAAGATAGATATATGTAGCTATTATGTTATAAGAACACAACTTCCTACAATTAATAAACTCAAATCTGAAACGAAAACTAACTTCGATCAGAATAAACTGATTTAAAGTTAAATCTGTGGACTTTTGGAGCGTATAACACAACAAAAGCCAATTATAAACAAGAGCGTGAAAATTAACTCCCTTTTCAAAGTTCGCGCGGTAATCATAGAACATAGTTCTACAAAATAAAGGAGTTTGGTTGGTAAAATAGAGCTGAAGAGGTGAAAATGAGCAGGCTAGTGTGATTTTGGCGCCTCAGTCCTCATTAGGCATCCACTCATCCAAAAATAAGACGATTAATTTAGAATTGTGGCTTAATTTTGTTAACTTTGAAAAGTTTTCGTTTCTACACTATGAAGTGATTGTAAGATGCTACACTATTTTCTAATTGTGTAGAATCATTTCAATATAATCCCAAGTTTGGATTGATTAAGGCCATTGACAAGGTCAGTGCTAAATTGCTCAATGGAGATGTGTTCACGTGTTGCTAGGTGAGGTGCCAGACTTTACGTTCGTGAATTCAAAATCGTTATGAATAAGTCGTCTGTCCTCTTAGTATCGTCTGTTTTTGCCGTGTCTGCATGCACACTATTTTACCTCTCTAAGCTATTGAGAAAACCGCATGTTAAGAAAGACATACAGAAGACAGCGCCTCATTCCACTATAGGCGATACATATTTGAAGACAGTTAATGAATTTGACAAAGAAAACTTATCAATTGAGTTTGCTAACTGCATCTGTTCAATGGTTAAAGTCTCTGACTATGATACACGGCAGCAGCTCATCATGTATCTGCATCAAGCTTCATCATTCTGCCACAATTTCGTAAGTATTGTCTGTTTTTTTCGTATCCTATTAGTTCCAGAGTGTTATTAGGGATTCTAAGTGCTTGGAAACTCTGCTTTCACTACTGGATTCTTCAACAAGTATGGCACCAGCATGTAGACAAAACTTGAGTATCCTCCAGGTGACAACAAACCTGGCATGTGATCAACGAAGTCTCCCTATAATAATGGTAAATTGGTATTTTAGGATATATAAATTTTTGCAGGACTACTTAGATGATATTTTCTCCATAGCTGATACAAGAGAATATAGTGACCAAGCATGCGCTGCTCTACAGGTACTGGCTAATATCGCCCTCACTCCCACCGGATGCAATTTGTTAATTAATGATTGTGGTCGTTTATACAAAATGCTTGGAGTGCGCGAACCTTACCTACTCAGAAACTTGCTGGCAGTTTTAGTGAATTTGTCATGCGATGTCAACTGTTGTGATAAACTACTTTCACAGGTATGTTTATTATATTCTTGTGTATAGCTCTAGAATGGGGAAGATTTCGTACGTATTCTGGAGTATTCATTATCGTTAGATGTCCCTTTATTAATATCCATGAAAATGACGACTTTTCTCAATAACTTATACTCAAGAATTATGAAAGATCAGGAGAGGTATTGGAATGAATCCGAGTCTGCAGTTATTACAAAGACTGTCGCTATCTCACTAAAGGTATGTCAGCCTAAATGTTTCACGTGTTGACAATGTTTACAAGGAATTAACCTAGCAGAAATCCTACAGGAAACCTTTCTTATGTAGATGAATTTTAAAAATTCAATTATCTAAGAAGTTAAATACCTTGATGAATTCTGTCTGTCTGTCTCTGTCTGGATTCAACATAGAACTTGGCACTGAAGTGCACCAGTTCGAGTTGCCACGTTCCAAATATCACACAAAGGTAGACAAGAAGATGAGTGAAGAGAATCAATAGAGTTTGACAAGTATAAGAGCGAAACAGAATGGGTAATGGTAGAAAGGAATATGAAAGATTACAGAGACTGAATACATCTGCGCTGGCCATTGACAACGATCACTTTGAGCCATGTCACCTATTGTCTCCAGTCATTGATTCTTAGAGGAGTCCCGAGGGCCCCAACCCGGAAGTCTGAATCTCCCTCCCTACCTGACTCAGTTTAACTGTCAAGGATTTCATGGATTGATGTCATGTTTTTGTTTGGCCACCACTTACTCTTTTCCAACCTGCACCTATATCAGCTAGCTAGTGATGCCCGTCGGTGGGGGGAGGCAATGGTTAGACATGCACAGCATTGGTTTCAGGACACTCTTGATGCACTATCCAGCAGCTTAAGCAATTGCTTTGTCCTACTTGGCAAATGAGAAAAGTAGAAACTATAACAAGAATAGCGTTTGAACTAAGGTCTCACGCTAATGAATACTAAGACTAAATGTTCCATCAGGTAAAGGAAATTAATTAGTGAATTAACCAGACAATTTACATTGTCACTACCTTCTGCAATAAATGTTGTCGACTAAATTAGGATTGATCTAGAAATGCATTAAAATTAGTTAAACCAAATATTGCGTATATACTGAAAATCCCATATTTCTACCAAAAGTACTGCTGGAAATAAAACTATTATCAAATATTTTAGTAATTAATGATCATAGTGACTGTTGGTCTGAATCATGTGAGAGATGTAGGTTGCTTGAATAGGCTTGTTAAGTTGAATAAAAATCAGTGGGTAAAGATATTTGGGGATGTGAATGAAAGTCGTTCAAATTAGCTCAGATACTTTAACTTCTTACCATCTTCAAAATATGAAGCATTAATCTTCCCTCAATAGATCTGGTGCTTGTCTTTGTGGTGAAATTTACCATCGCATCACACCTCAGATGAAGATAATGTCAAGACGATATTCGTCATGAAACACCTTTGGTGACTTCTTTAAGTGTAGAGTAGAATGGGGTGACTTAAGCAACGCAAAGGGTATAGAAATTAGACACTTTCCAGGGTTCTATGCAAATATTCCTGTTGTTGGATTTACAATAGTTTGTGGAGGCTATGGATTCAAATTCAGATTATAAGGATAGAAGGCTCTTGTTGCCTATGTTAATCCTCGCTATATATATTTCTGTAGAGATCCAGTTTCTCTTTGAAAGCGTTCACCGATGGAGTTGTTACTACTGAATCAGATAAGGAGTTCCATTCGTTGACCATTCTGTGGCAGAATTTAAATTCCACACGTGTTTTATTCGACTTCAGTTTGAGCACCTTCTTGTGGTGACCTCATAAACGTATCCTAGATGGATAGAAAAGGTTTGTAAGGTCTATCCCTAAATCACCCTTGAATATACACCAAGCCAAAATTAAGTCACCTCTCCTCCTTCGGTATGATAATGGGAAGAGGTTTAAATGCTTCATCGTCTTATCATAAGGAAGGTGTGAGATGCCACTAACTAATTTCGTTCCTTCCCTCTGTACTCTTTCCAGTATGTGCCTCCTTTTTGAAGCATGGACTCACCGATTGTATGCAGATGAGGTTTGACATATGTTACATAGAGTACATACCCCCGTCTAATCGTTTAAAAGCCCTTCGAAGTGCCCGTAGCATTCGAAAAGCCTTGTCTGTCTGGATTCAACATAGAACTTGGCACCGAAGTGCACCAGTTCGAGTTGCCACGTTCCAAATAGCACACAGAGGTAGACAAGAAGATGAGTGAAGAGAATTAATAGAGTTTGACAAATATAAGAGCGAAACAGAATGGGTAATGGTAGAAAGGAATATGAAAGATTACAGAGACTGAATACATCTGCGCTGGCCATTGACAACGATCACTTTGAGCCATGTCACCTATTGTCTCCAGACATTGATTCCTAGAGTCAGTCCCGAGGGCCCCAACCCGGAAGTCTGCATCTCCCTACCTGTCTCAGTTTAACTGTCAAGGATTTCATGGATTGATGAGGCCATGTTTTTGTTTGGCCACCACTGGCTCTTTTCCAACCTGAACCTATATCAGCTAACAATGCCCGTCGGGGAGGCGGTGGTTAGGCATGCGCACCACGTGACCTAGCCATCTTAGTCTATGTAACTTTATAACCTCGTCGATTGATTTTCCCTCTTTGCCCAACACTCTACGCCTAACGTCAACATTACTTATCTTGTGAAAAGCCTTAGCTGCAGCTCGATCAGAATTTTCCGTTGTTTTCAAGTTATGGCTTACAATAATTCCTAAGTCTCTTTACCCCTAACATCTGGCAGTTCTGTGTCCCCCAGGGAGTACGACGTGTAAAACTTCTGACTTAGGTGCATTACCGCGCTTTTCTTGGAATTACTTTCCAGACTCCAAAGGCTAGCCCATTCGGCTAATTTATCTAGATCGTTTTGTAGTACCAACCTATCATTGTTATTATTTACAATTCTCCATATCTTAATATCGTCCGCAAATAATAAGGAAGATGAGGTAAGAATTTTCGGCACTTCATTTACGTATATTAGGAACAGCAGGGAGCCAAGTACAGTCCCCTGAGGTACTCCACTTAGTACTGCTTTCAATCCTGACAGTACATCATTAACCGTTATTTTCTGCCTTCTGTCCATCAGGTAGTCACTAAACCACTCACACAAGCGTTGGTCTAATCCAAAACGTCTAAGTTTATTAAGAAGACCTAAATGGGATACCTTATCGGATGCTTTACTAAGAACGTTAAAGACAATGTCCAGCAGATGGTTCTTAACCCTGGCCTCCACCCAATCTTCTCTAGCTAACATTAAGTTTGTCAAGCAGGATCGTCCTGGTCGGAATCCATGCTGTTCCACTGCCAGTAAGCCATGTTTTTCCATATGAGCTAAGAGCTGATCCCTTATGAGTTTTTCTAACACCTTTGCTATAATGCAGATCAGACTTACAGGCCCGTAGTTAGATACTAACTGCCTGTTCCCATCTTTGAAGATGGGGCTTATAAAAGCATGTTTCCAGTCCGTGCGTAGCCTAGCCTGGGTCAGAGACATCTGAAAAATCTCCGTAAGTGGATTGTATATTATATTCGCCAAGGAGATAAGCAAACTAGGGTGAAGTCCGTCTGGTCCAGGTGATTTACCTGGCTTCAACCTAGGCAGTAGTTTGAGAACCACTGCATCCTCTACCACAGTTGCGGGCATTTTAATGGCAACATCAGTGACCTCGCTACACCCCTGAATGGTACGATTAGGCGAGAAAACATCGCAAAAGTATTCGGAGAGCTTTACAGCTTTTGTTTCGTCTGACTCGACAGCCTCTCCAGTGTTGCTAATGAGGGACGGTATGCCACTGCTAGTTTTAATCCTGCGTTTGATATAGCAAGCCTAAATGTGTTACGTGTCATAATAGTTGTGTTAGATGTTTCAATACAGGTCAGTTTTGTGAAACTTAAGTACTAATCAACTGAAAGCGACACAGATAAACTTAGTTACACATGCATCCCTAGCCATCGATTGCCTTCCAAGACGGGCGATGTCAGTCGAAATAAGATCAGGCTATTAAAGATCTAGTGGTGGTCAAAACAAAACATGGCTTCATCACTCAGTGAAATCCATAACAGTTTAAACCGACCAGTCACCCAGGGAGGTGTGTAGATTGCCTGACTGACTGGTCGGGGTCCTCGGGATGGATGGTAAAAACCAATGATGGTTACAGACAATTGGTCTGTCTGTCTGTTTTCGACATAGAACTTTGCACATTTGTGAGGCAGTTCAAGTCGCCACACTCCCTCCTTGTAGCACACAAAGCAACAGAAGAAAGTAGAAGAAATGCATATTAGACACAGTAAACAGAGGTGTGAGACAAAGGAATAATAGTAACGAAGAACAAAACAGTTTCATTGGAAATCGTGAGTCACAAGGAGTGGATGCATCTGCACCAGCCAGCCATTGAGAACGATCACTTTGAGCCATGTCATCAATTGTTTCCAATTACTAGTTTTTACCGTCCCGAGGACCCCAACCAGTCAGGAAGTCTACACTTTCCTACGTGGCTGGCTTAGACTAACTGTTGTAGATACCATTGACTGGTGGAGCCATGTTTTGTTTGACCACCGCTAGCTCTTTTCCAGCCCGACCCTATATCAGTTAACATTCCCAGTCGAGGAAGGCAATGGCTGGACTAGGAATACGTAACACATGTCCTAACCAACTCAGTCTTTGTAACTTCACAACTTGGTCGATTGATTTTCCCTGTTTACCTAGGATTCGACGCCTAACCTCAATATTGCTCACCTTATTATACCACTTCACACGGGAGATAGAACGTAGGCACCTATGATCAAAGAGAGCTAATCTTTTCATATCTTCCACTCTCAATGGCCAGGTCTCACAGCCATAAAGGAGACAATTGATGGCATAACTGGCTCAAAATCCTCGCTGTCAATGGTGCAGAAGCATCCACTCCTTGTGACTTATAATATCCAATAAAACTATATTGTTCTTCCGTATTACTATTCTTTTTGCCTCGTATTTCTGTTTATTATCTCTTTTTACTTTCTTCTCCAACTTTGTACGTTACATGTGTACGTGGAGAGTAGGAACTCGAGCGTCTGCATACATCTGTGTAAAGTTCTATGTTGAAACCAGTCAGTCAGTGAATCAGGTGCTCCTCATATTCACTTAAAATCTATGAAAATTTTGAGTCCACTGAGTAGTCGTCTTTCAACCAGTTTCTTTTTTTTTTTAATTTTTAACCTAACGAAGTAATCTGCGTGTACTTGATGCACTTAATTGTAAATATGTATGTAAATTTAGAAAGCACATATATCTTGGAATATTTGACTAATCAAACTTACGTTTTAAATTCAGTAGTATTGAGTATTTGAAAATGCAATTGACTAACCTTATAATGCATTTTAATGAGGTTAGAGATTATAAGGATGCATTGATTAGAGAATTTTTATCAAAGTGCTCAGAGAAGTAAATAGTCATACAATCTAGAGTATTGATAATATAGGGGGAATAATTATGACTGATGATGAGTCATGAGAAAAAGTGCACCATGTGTTGTTTCGTTATGCTTTGATTGTGAAGCTAAACATTTTGCTTTCTTTTGTATTTGTTTGGTTTGAATCCCCACTTTGATTTTTGATTACAGTTTTGTTAAATAATTTTAAAAAAAAATTATGAAATAGTGTTGTTAGTATTTAGCAATATTGAGGTTAGGCTTCGGTCGAGTTCTAGGTAGGTGGGAGGGGAAAGCAATCGACGAGGTTGTGAAGTTACATCGACTGAGATGGTCAGGATATGTGTTACGTATGTCTAGTCCAGCCATTGCCTTCCTCGACGGGGAATGTTAGCTGATATAGGGTCAGGTTGGAACAGAGCTAGTGGCTGTCAAACCAAAACATGGCTCCACCAGTCAATGATATCTACAACAGTTAGTCTAAGCCAGCCACGTAGGAAGGTGTAGACTTCTTGACTGGTAAAAACCAGTAGTTGGAAGCAATTGATGACATGGCTCAAAGTGATCGTTCTCAATGGCTGGTTGGTGCAGATGCATCCACTCCTTGTGACTTATGATTTCCAATGAAACTGTTTTGTTCTTCGTTACTATTATTCCTTTGTCTCACACCTCTGTTTACTGTGTCTAATATGCATTTCTTCTACTTTCTTCTGTTGCTTTGTGTGCTACATGGAGTGGAGTGTGGCGACTTGTACTGGTGCACATCTGTGCAAAGTTTTATGTCGAAAACAGACAGACAGGGAGACAGTATTTACTCTGGCACTCTCAGTGAAATAGTACGCCATCTCTGGTTGGCTATCGATCAAAGCATGTGTGTATTGCTGCTCACCACTTCGCTTTGTCCTCCTTTATGGTTAGCTGTGAGTGAGACAGGGTCATTGAATGTGGAAGACATAAGAAGCCCACTCAGCTGTCTTTGATCATAGGTGTCTGCGATATTGTGGTTAAGCATTGCTCGAGTGTCAGGTAAGTGGGAGGGGAAATCAATGGATGTGGCTGTGAAGCAGCTGTATCGATTGAAATGGTTAGGGCATGTGTTACGCATACATCCCTAGCCATTGATCGCCTTCCTCGATGGGCAGTCTTAGCTGACTGACATAGGATGGATCAGGTTGGAAGAGAGAAAACTAGTAGTTGTCAAACGAAAACATGACTTCATCAGTCAATGAAATGCATAACAGTTAGTTTAAGCCAACCTGCTAGTCACATAGGCAGATGTAGGTTGCCTGGCTGACTCGTTGGGGTCCCCGCAATGGTGAGAACCAATGACGACTGAAGACAATTAGTGGTATGCCCCAAAAGCATTATTGTCAATAGCTGGCTCAGATGCATTCCGAGGATGTCTAAGCTCGATATTGCTCACTCTATTATACCAACTAACACGGGATGTATATAGAACGCAGACACATGGTCAACAACAGCTGGCTGGGCTTTTCATGTCTTCACTTCCATTGGCCATGTTCCACTCACAACCACCTATAAAGGAGGACAAAGCGAAGTGATGAGCAGTACACATGTCTTTCGGTCGACAACTGGATATCATGTGCACGCCAGGGCTGGTATGAGTTTGCAGGCAAATGCCAAACGAGCCTTCTGTATCCGTGGTGAGATATCGTAATCGATCAACCCGCTAGGCTGGTTGGTGGAACTTCCCGAATAAGTGAAGTGGTCAACACGCCCCACCAACCACTTCACTTTTGCCTACCTGTAACCTAGGATTGAGTCGATTCAGTCCATTCCTGTAGCAAATAATATCGTACATTTGCCAGGAGCGCGGGAATCGCATGTCAAACATTCGAAGGTTGCTTCTCCTCAAGTTGCTCAGGAAACTCTGCATTTGGTCAGTCTTCACCTAGTTGGGAGGACTATATCATCTGCGTATTCGAAGTCAACGAGATTATACCCTGATGGTAACAAGTCAATCCCTGAGTCTCTGAAGTCAGTTGGAGTTAAGTCCATTAGTACATTTGTGACGAAATTAAAGAGAAATGCGGACAATGTGCATTGACGACGGACAACACTGGTTGTCATTACACTAGGCTTTTACCTGGTTGGCTGCATGAGTACAAGTAGAGTGCCTTGATCAGTGCAATGTATTTTCTCAGGATTCCTTTCACAGCCAAATATCGCCAGAGAACCTCTCGGTCGACAGAATCGAGTGCCGGCTTTAGGTGGAGAAATATTAGGATTATTGGACGGATGCCGCTAAGTATACTTATGTTCGTGAAGGGTGATCATGTGTTCAATACACCGTCTTCCTGATCTAAAGCCGGCCTGGTTCTCTGGTGTTTGTTCCTCCCGAGCACCACCTACTGAACGCATGATTATTGAGTCTAGAACTTCAGATACCATGTCGGTCAAGGTAGTCCTGTGATTATCACAGGAAGACTTGTCTCTCCTCTTGTATATCGGGACAATCAATGGCCTACACCAGTCTGACAGGAGTATCTGTGATTCCCATACGCTGCCTAATACCTTAGTTATCGCAGGCGGCAAACTGTCTCCACCGTACTTAAATACCTCTGGAGTCATTTCGTTAGGTCCCACTGCTTGGCTTTGTTTCAGACTAGTGACAGCTTTTGTAGGCTCAGTTAAGGACGGAGGACCTGTGTTTGTATCCCATTCAAGGATGTGTTGGATGCTAAGTGAGTTGATTGTGACTGTAGCCCAATTAAACTGCTCCTGAAATTGTTCTTTCCAGCGTTCTAGTCGTCTATCTTGGGAGCTAATTATAGTGCCACTTTCCTCAGAGATTGTTTCACTTATCGTTTGCCTTTTACCACCCGTTTCCCTGATAAGTCTAAGTAGTTATCTGGTTTTACCTCTCTCCGATGCCTTTTCCATCTCTTTCGCTTTTGTCGCCCACCACTGTTCACTGTTGTTACGAAGGCTTCTTGTCAGTTTACGTTTGAGTAGCTTTCGCTCCTCATCATAATCGGAGCTCACCGTAATCAGCCTTCTGGCATCAGTCAGTTTGGATGAGGTGGTAGGAATCCAATAGCTCTTACTAGCTTTAGGTTTCAGGTTATTAATAGCATTGACAGCTGTGTCTACAGCTAACTGTATGTTGTGCCAGGCTTCCTCAGAAGGAGTCTTGCTGTCGACCTCAGATACTCGTATATCTATTTCTTCCTTAAATGGGGACTCTCAGTGTCTCATTCTAGTTGATGGCGTAACTGTTTCACTGAGAACAGCTTTTTATGTCGGTTTAGACATAAACAGAAACATGCGTGAACCAAGGTGTGATCTTAGTCTACGCACAACCACTGGTCCTCCCAAGCCAGGTACCACCGTTCACCGAGACGAGTCAAAAGGTTATTCGCAACTGTCATCATTAAGGCTATATTCATCATAGAGTCAAACATTCTGCTGAATCACTGAGTCCCACAAGTGGAACCCATACAAATTTTATAGAAAGATTCTGGGCCCGTGTAAGAAGATTATTAGAATAGTAAATGGTTCCCGATATGATATGATGTATGGCAGCCACTTAAACGAATTTTTGTATCGACATTGATTTGATATGTGTATAGACACACTCCTATGAGAAACTGGGACCGATTTTTGCAGCATATTAGAGATGCATAATTATTCCCTTGGGTTCTGAGTGAAATATATAGAACTTCAACCAAACATCTGGACTTTGTTCTATTTTGTGCTGTCGTCCTCCTCATCTCCTCCTCCTCGTCCTCGCCACCCGCGATCTCCTCAGTGTGTCTGTCTGTCTGTTTTCGACATAGAACTTTGCACAGATGTGCACCAGTACAAGTCGCCACACTCCACTCCATGTAGCACACAAAGCAACAGAAGAAAGTAGAAGAAATGCATATTAGACACAGTAAACAGAGGTGTGAGACAAAGGAATAGCAGTGACGAAGAACAATGTAGTTTCATTGGGAATCATAAGTCACAAGGAGTGGATGCATCTGCACCAGCCAGCCATTGAGAACGATCACTTTGAGCCATGTCACCAATAGTTTCCAACCATTGGTTTTTACCATCCCGAGGACCCCAACCAGTCAGGAAGTCTACACTTTCCTACGTGGCTGGCTTAGACTAACTGTTGTGGATTCATTGATTGATGAAGACATGCTTTGGTTTGGCAGCCACTAGCTCTTTTCCAACCAATGTCAGTTAACATTGCCCGTCGACGAAGGCGATGACTAGGAATACGTAACACATGTCCTAACCAACTCAGCCGATGCAACTGTTTCACAACCTCGTCGATTGATTTCCCCTCCCACCTACCTAGAACTCGACCGAAGCCTAACCTCAATATTGCTCACCTAATTATACCAGTTCACACGGGAAATGGAACACAGGCACCTATGGTCAAAGACAGCTAATCTTTTCATGTCTTCCACTCTCAATGGCCAGGTCTCACTGACAGCCATAAAGGAGGACGGAGCGAAATGATGAGCAGTACACCCGCCTTTTGGTCGATAGCCAGCTGGATATCACGTCTACTAAGCCAGAGATGGCGTTAACTGGCATATGCAAAACTAGCTCTCTATCCGTTCTGAGATTTCGACAGAGATCAACCCGTTGGTGTTGGTTGATGGTACTTCCCAAATAAGTGAACGTGCGGTCAACGTGGTCTACCACTTCACTTCCTATTTCTAATCTTGGAGTCGGTGTAGTCCAGTCCTGTAACATCTTGCATTTGACAGCACGAGCGAATCGCATGCCTCCATGTGTGTCACCCTTGCACCAACGGTCCATTCTTTGCTGCCTATTCGCATTCCATTAGAGCAGTGGTCTGGCGATGGCGCGATGTCATTCGACGGCGTCTTCATCGTATATCCTGTATGATTCATTTTTATTATATATATATATATATATCATATAAATGTACTCTTTTGTATTCAATAAATGTCAATTTCCATCCAGAAGAGGAGGTTTGATTGTGGTTGCTTCGAAGTTATTTGACAATGGTGTCTATTGCTACTCTATATTGATTTTATTGATTTTTATGGGGTTTTATTGATTTTTCTTTCTTTCCTTTTCTTTACAGGAGAATCGCGATCTCATTCAATCATGGGCTCAATGCTTACTACCGTTCTCTGAAGATTCGAATGAATTCAATGCTCACTTACAAAAACTTTTGTCTTTTTTAACTGATATTAAAACTTTCAATGTGTAGAATTCAGTTCTATCTTGTATATTCTCTTCTCTTCTCTTCTATTGTGTTCTGTTTAGTGTCTTGTTGTCCCCTCATAGTCGTGTAATTTATGCGTGGAAACAATAAAAGAGGGGAGGGGAGTTGGGGAAATGAAAGTGTCATATGTGTGTATGTATTACTTACTTTTACAACAACACCGATAACAACAATATTCTATTTATTTCTGTACATTCATATTTTCTTTTTCAAATAAAAGCATTTATTTTATTTTTAAGTATTGATTTTCTAGGGATTTTGTTTGTTTGGATGAAGGATTTCGTCGTGAGCTGACATTATCAGTTAGAGAACTGCTGGAAAACCAGCCAGGGAGTACTGGACAGCTGTTTCTCTAGTTGTAGTTTAGGTCTCTTCGTGGGGAATTTTCATCTGAACTGATAACAACCACCAGTGGTGTCCGACAGGGATGTCCACTCTCCCAATTTCTGTTTAACTTTATCATAGATATGCTGATGGAAGTATCCTTAACTGAACTTAACAACTTAGGAATCGACTTGTTACCAGGGTGTGGTCTTATGGACTTAGAATATGCAGATGACATAGTCCTGTTAGGGGAGGATGCTGACGAAATCCAGCAGAGTCTTCTGAACACCTTGAGCTGAGCAGGAATCTTCGTATGTTTGGCATGCGATTCGCCTGCTCCTGTCAAATGTAAGATGCTGCTACAGGACTGGACTACATCAACTACTAGCTTAGTGATAGGGAGTGAAGTGATAGAACATGCTGACCACTTCACCTATTTGGGAGGTTGTATCAGCACCAACGGACTGACGGATTGGCGACGAAATCTCAGCACGGATACAAAAAGCTCCAGCTGCTTTCGCTGACTTACACCATCTCTGGCGTAGGCGTGACATCCGGCTATCAACCAACGGACGTGTGAACAGCTCACCAGTTCGCTCCGTCCTTCTCTATGGCTCTGAAACACGGCCAATACGAGTTGAAGACATGAAAAGGTTGACTGCTTTCGATCATAGATGTCTGCGATCTCTTTCTCACGTTAGGTGGTTTAACAAGGTAAGTAGTAATGTTGTCGTTAGGTGTAGAGTGTTGGGCAAAGAGAGAAAATCAATCGACGAGGCTATAAAGTTACATAGATTGAGATGGCTAGGTCGTGGTGCGCATGCCTAACCATCGCCTCCCCCCCGACGACGGGCATCACTAGCTAGCTGATATAGGTGCAGGTTGGAAAAGAGTAAGTGGTAGCCAAACAAAAACATGACATCAATCATTGAAATCCTTGACAGTTAAACTGAGTCAGGTAGGGAGGGAGATTCAGACTTCCGGGTTGGGGCCCTCGGGACTCCTCTAGGAATCAATGACTGGAGACAATAGGTGACATGGCTCAAAGTGATCGTTGTCATTGGCCAGCGCAGATGTATTCAGTCTCTGTAATCTTTCATATTCCTTTCCACCATTACTCATTCTGTTTCCTCTTATACTTGTCAAACTCTATTGACTCTCTTCACTCATCTTTTTGTCTAACTGTGTGTGATATTTGGAACGTGGCAAGTTGAAATGGTGCACTTCGGTGCGAAGTTCTATGTTGAATCCAGACAGAGACAGACTCTTCATCAGTACGCACCCACCTGCAGGGTTCGAACCCAGGACCTTCTAATTACAAGGCCAGCGAGCTCGTAGACCATTGAGCCACTGGGACCCGATTATTATTTCTTTTGTGAGCGTGTGTGTGTGACTACTTCTCATTTTTCTCATACAATCACTAAACCCAGTTGACATTGCTTTTAAAATAAATTTTGTTGTTTTTAGTATCTATGCTGCCAAAGAAGTCATTGTCAACGTTGTTCGCCTCCTTTAACACTCCCATAGTATCAGAATGTCGTATTTTTAAATGTCACAATGATGATGATGGTGATGACGGTGTTGAGTATTCGATCATTTCTAAGTGGAACCAGATTGATATTCTACGTAAAGATAATATTACATACTCACGAACACATTTAATAACGGTACCACATAATAATCATGAAAAATTGCAGGTGAAATTTGCCTCACAATTACACTTTTCTTCATTTGGGAAAGGTGGTTATCCTTCTAGTGGACAACAGAATAATGTTTGGGATATACAAACACCAGATGGTTGTCATAGAGCTGTATGCATCCAACCGGTTTCTTCTTCACCATCATCTCCACCACCACCACAAGTAAACTCAAATTCATCAAATTCTATCACAGCTAATTCTGAAGAAGCAAGTACTGTTGTACAATTATGGATTAATGGACGTCTTTCAAACTTTGTAAAACTTCCAACAACTCCTCCGAATGCTGTGCATGGTCGTGTATATCCTACAGAAGGTCGGTCATTTCATGGAGCTTCTTGGTCAAAGGCAAGAGATAAAATTGTCTATCTTGCAGAGGAGGTCCCGCCGGGTGATTCTTCAGAGGTAATTTTCTTTTCTCTTTTTTTCTGCATCTTTTTTGTTGTTGGTTCTTTTGCATATTTGAGTGTTTTATTACAACAAATGAAACGGGAAATGTATTTTCCACTGAAAGTCATTAAATCTTATATCTGCTATTTGATATCCTAAAAGTGACCTGTAGCGTACACCCCGGTCGGAAGTGATGGCGAGTGCTGGCCAGCGGCGACATTGGCTGGGGTGCCAGTCGTGCTAAATATGTCACGAATTGGTAGAAGTTAGAATTCATGGGCTAGCCATTGATTGAATCGGGTCCCAGTGGCTGAATGCCGGTATGCTAGCCAGCTTGCTTTGTGACCGGAAGGTCTTGGGTTCGAACCCTGGCTGTGGGTATGTACTGCCGATGATGCCCAAAACTAGGACGAAACAGCTGTCCAGTACTTCCTGTGGCTGGTTTTCAATGATTCTCTAACTGATATCAATCCGTGGTCAAACTCGTAAAAACAAATCTAATCCTTACAAACCAACTATAGAAAATTCAAGTATGTTAAAGTAGACTTTGTAACATACCTTTCCGGGAGAATTCCTGATGGAATGACTCCAGAGGTATTTAAGTAAGTTGGAGACAGTTTACTGTCTGCATTAACTGAGGTACTAGACAGCGTCTGAGGATCAGAGGAAGTACCAACGGGCTGGTGTAAGGCGCTGATTATCCCCATATACAAGAAGGGAGACAAGTCTTCCTGTGATAAACACAGAGGGATTAGCTTGACTGATATAGTATCTAAAGTCATATGCTCAATAATGATGCATAAACTAAGATGTGCTCGGGAGGCACAAACACGAGAGATCCAGGCAGGCTTTAGACCAGGAAGAGGGTGTATTGATCATATCTTCTCCCTCCGACAGATTCTAGAACAGAGTCATTCCTACCGGCGCCCAACAATCACTATATTCCTTGACCTAAAGGCGGAATTCGATTCTGTCAACCGGGAGGTTCTGTTGCGATGCTTGGCTGTGAAGGGAATCCCGAGAGAATACATTTCACTGATTAAGGCCATCACCCTACTCGAACTCATACAGCCAGGTGAGGGCTTACGGTGAGTTGTCATCTGAACTGGTGACGACTAGCGGTGTCCGTCAAGGATGCCCACTATCCCCATTTCTATTTAAATTTATCATAGGTATACTAATGGACTTAACCCTAAGTGATTTCAGCGACTCAGGGATTGATCGACTTGTAACCATCAGGGAATAATCTCGTTGACATAGAATATGGAGACGATATAGTCCTTCTAGACAAGGACGCTGAAAAAATCCAGCAACGTCTTCTGAACACCTTGAGCTGCAATCTAGGAATGTTTGGCATGCGATTCGCTCTCACATAATGCAAGATGATGTTACAGGACTGGACTACACCGACTCCTAGAAAGAAATAGGGAGAGATGTGGTTCTTGGAGCGCGTTGACCGCTTCACTTATTTGGGGAGTACCATCAGCTAGTGCCAACTGGCTGATCTCTGACGAAACCTCAGAACGTATACAGAGGGCCAGTTTCACATATGCCAGTTTACGCCGTCTCTAGCTTAGTAGACGTGATATCCAGCTGGCTATTGACCAGAGGGCGGGTGTACTGCTCATCAGTCCACTCCGTCCTCATTTATGGGTGTCAGTGAGACCTGGCCATTGAGAGTTGAAGATATGAAAAGATTAGCTGTCTTTGATCATAGGTGCCTACGTTCTATCTCCCATGTGAAGTGGTATAATAAGGTGAACAATATTGAGGTTAGGCTTCGGTCGAGTTCTAGGTAGGTGGGAGGGGAAATCAATCGACGAGGTTGTGAAACAGTTGCATCAACTTAGGTGGTTAGGACATGTGTTACGTATTCCTAGTCCAGCCATTGCCTTCCTCGACGGGGAATGTTAGCTGATATAGGGTCAGGCTGGAAAAGAGCTAGCGGTGGTCAAACCAAAACATGACTCCACCAGTCAATGATATCTACAACAGTTAGTCTAAGCCAGCCACGTAGAAAGGTGTAGACTTCCTGACTGGTTGGGGTCCTCGGGACGGTAAAAACCAATGGTTGGAAACTATTGGTGACATGGCTCAAAGTGATCGTTCTCAATGGCTGGCTGGTGCAGATGCATCCACTCCTTGTGACTTATGATTCCCAATGAAACTACATTGTTCTTCGTCACTGCTATTCCTTTGTCTCACACCTCTGTTTACTGTGTCTAATATGCATTTCTTCTACTTTCTTCTGTTGCTTTGTGTGCTACATGGAGTGGAGTGTGGCGACTTGTACTGGTGCACATCTGTGCAAAGTTCTATGTCGAAATCAGACAGACAGACAGATAGAATTCCTATATTATAAAATGTGTTTCTGTGTATACCTGTTTGATAATCAGAGAATGGGGTGTGGCTCACTGACTTTTAGCTAACCTTGGATAAGTTTAGAAAAGAGCTAGTGTTACTCAAAACAAAACATGACTTTATCAATCAATGAAATCCACAACAGTTATTTTAAGCCAGACACGGAGGGAGATGTAGACATCGTGGTTGGGATCCTCGGGATATGTTCACTACTTGAAGCGGCCCGAAAATCCTGAATAGCTCAGTGGTAACGTGTCTGACTGCAGCACTCACTGGGTGATGCTGCTTTAAATCTCAGAATTGACTTGAGTTCCTTTAACGTTTCAGATACGCCTCACTGACTGGTGACAGCCAACAAGCATGAAACCTAGGCCAGACAAGGTTTTCTGCTGCTTGACTCCAAGCATCTAATATCAAGAATTCACAGTACTACACTGCGATGGGTTAGCCATCTAGTGGCATGGTGGTCATATTGCAAACTTGACTGCCATAGAATTCAATCCACATCAAAATACAAAAGACTAGACGCGTGATGTTACTAGTTACTAACTAGAACCCATCCAATGTGTTTAATATATTCATTTATATGTATATGATTCGATTTTGTTTTTTAACATATATATATGCATATATATTTTACTTGATTAAGTCTTGTGGAGGTGATTCATCCTTTGCGTTTCAAGAGGATTGGGGAGAAGGCAATGAAGGCGTGCATAAACCAATAATTTGTGTACTTGATATCACCACTAAAACTGTTACACTGGCTCCATTGAAAGAAAATAATCTTAATTTGGCTTCAAATGAACCAATTTGGACTCCTGATGATGATGGTATTCTATTCATTGGTTATCCAGTAAAAGCGTATAATCTTGGAATTATGTATTGTGTTCAACGTGTATGTCGTCTTTACTTTTGGAATATGAGTAAGTAAGTATTTGTTGTATAAGTGTTGCTAATCTTCGGTGTTCTTATCTCTATTCTGTTCTATCTGGATTCAACATAGAACTTCGCACCGAAGTGCACCAGTTCCAGTTGCCATCTTCCAAATACCATACAAAGGTAGACAAGAAGATGAGTGAAGAGAGTCAATAGAGTTTGACAAGTATAAGGGCGAAACAGAATGGGTAATGGTAGAAAGAAATATGAAAGATTACAGAGACTGAATACATCTGCGCTGGCCATTGACAGCGATCACTTTGAGCCATGTCACCTATTGTCTCCAGCCATTGATTCTTAGAGGAGTCCCGAGGGCCCCAACCCGGAAGTCTGAATCTCCCTCCCTACCTGACTCAGTTTAACTGTCAAGGATTTCATGGATTGATGAGGCCATGTTTTTGTTTGGCCACCACTTACTCTTTTCCAATCTGCACCTATATCAGCTAGCTAGTGATGCCCGTCGTCTTACATTTGACAGAAGCGGGCGAATCGCATGCCAAACATACGAAGATTGCTGCTCGAGGTGTTCAAAAGACTCTGCCTCATTTTGTCAGCATTCTGCTCTAAAAATGCTGTCAATGAGTTGTAGTCATTTGTGTCACTTATCCGAAAGTCAAACAAAGCAGTATAGATAATTTTCAAGTATTGGTTTTGTAGGGATTTTGTTTGTTTGCATGTAGGATTTCATGATGAACTGACACATCAGTGAGAGAACCACTGGAAAACCACTATGGAGTACTGGACAGCTGTTTCTCTAGTCGTAGTTTGGGACTGTTCAACAGTACGCACCCACTGCCAGGGTTCGAACCCTTGGCCTTCTGGTTACAAGGCTAGCGAGCTCGTAGACCATTGAGTCACTGAGACCCGCCAATCCAGTGGCCAGTCCATGAATTCTAACTCCTGCTAATTCACAGTATTGCGTGACCACTAGCCAATGTCATTGTCGGCGAGTAATTGTCCTAATACTCTACCTTCTGTAACCTGTCGGTCACTACTTCCCAATATTCAGCGTCTTAATTGAGTTAGTCAGTAGCCATTTGTTAGTCTCTATGGTCTCCTTAGATAACCTTGTACTGTTGGGTCTTCCTCTCGAAAAATGCTGTCATGTGGCCATGCATGTTCATAACCTCTACCAATTAAGTCCTATTCCATGAATTTCACACCACAGAGAGAGAGATTGTTGAAATGTATGATGATTACAACTAGACTAGGAGAGCTGGAAAACCATAATTCCAATCCTATGGTGTAGATGATCTCCAGAATCCGTAAGGATGAAATAGTTTATGGACCTGTTCAAGACGCAGGCAACCATGGGGACTCACCTCCTGATGCCGGTTGCTCCACTGCCTTTTGAATCAAACTTGAAGTCAAACGCTGGGCCTGGTGAGGTGGTGGTTCTCTAAGGCAACTAACTACCTACTTCGACCTGTATCTCCAAGTGGTGTATCTTAGCCCTCTTACAAACTCTGAGACGACGATTTGTATGGCACATCTCTTCGTACTCACATTATTCAACAGGTCTGTTATTCGTCGTTCTATCTTTATTATTTTTGTAACTTGATTATGTCTAGTTTAACATTGATATTTAGAATATGGTAATTGCTTGGTATGTGATGCAAATGTGACAGTATTGTTGTGTGATTGGCACATCGGCGCGTTGATTTCTGATGAAATCTCAGCACAGGTTTATTATTTATTTAAACGCATAAAAAACTTGGCACAAAATGGCACCAAGAAGGATGCGCCACACAATAATAATAAAACAACATAAATCAAAAGAAAATAAATATAAGTAGAGAACGGATAAGGAACTTCATCTGGAAGGAAGACAGTCATGCTTAACAAGATCAGACATTGTTCGTTAACTATCATCGGGAAGGGAAGAAAGAAGGAAATTGCAACACGTTCGCCATTGATAACGATTCTTGGCCATATCCGATAACGTTTCGATCCATCGATTTGAGCTATCTCTCGGACCCCAACCAGGGAGTCGTGACACACCAACCGATGCTAATCTAGCACAAAAATCCTTCATCCCAGGATGCCACGTCATGGACTGACCACCCACCTCTCCGCCTTTTCCATCCCGTCCCAGGGCTGACTAGCGAACAGAGATCGGTACGGAAGCCTTTGGGATGACATTTGAAGCACATATCCAAGCGACCGGAGCCGATGTTTCCAGATGGCAACATTCAATGAATGGTGATCTCCACTGTGTTGAAACACACGCCGTCGAACCTCAGAATTACTCAGGCGATGATGCCATCGACGCAAGCAATCCTTTGGAGACAGCTGTGATCGAACAGCACAGGTACAGAAGGTGCCTGTGGCATCTGTCTGCCATCTTACGTCATCTCTAGCTTAGACGTGATATACGGCTGGCTCTCGGCCAAAGCAGTTCACTACAACCTACTTTATGGCTGCCTGTGAGACATGTCTATTGTAAGTGGGAGATATGAGATGACTAGTTGTCTCTTTGATCATAGGTGTCTGCGTTCTATCTATATCCCGTGTTAGGTGGTATAGTAGGGTGAATAATATTGAGGTTAGGTATCAGTCGAATGCTAGTATTAGAGAGAAAATCATTCAACGGGGTTGTGAAGTTGCATCGATTAAGATGGTTATGACATGTGTTACACATGCATTTCTAGCCATCCATCGCCTGCTTCGACAACAGGCACTGTTGACTGACTGACATAGGATGGATCAGGTTGGAAAAGAGAAAGCCTAGTGGTGGTCAAACGAGAACATAACTTCATCAGTCCATGAAATCCATAGTGGTTAGTTAGAAGCTGCCACGTCAGGAGATGTAGAATTCTTGGTTGGTTGGGGTCATTGGGATGCTAAGAACCAATGATGGCTAGAGAAAATTGTTGATATAGCTTAAAATCGTTCCCAATGATGGTGCAGATTCATTCACTCCTTGTGATTTGTCGTATCTAATAAGATTATGTTGTTCTTCGATTGTGGCAAATGGAACTTCCACACATCTTTGTAAAGTCCTATGTTGAAACCAGTCATTTAGGACAAATATTCACCGATGTTACTGGTTAGTGCCACTCGTACCACATCATGAATTGGTGGAACTTGGAATTTATGAGCCATTCGGTCATTTCCCAGTAGTTAATGCAACTTCCCAAATAGGTGAAGTGATTGATACTCCTCACCAACCATTTCATTCCTGCCAATCTTTAAGCTATGAGTAAGTGGATGTGGTCCATTCCTGTAGCAAATATCATCTTACATTTGACAGGAGCACAGGAATCGCATGTCAAACATTCAAAGATTGCTGCTCAGCTCATGGTATTCAGAAGACTTTGCGTTTTTTCAGCTTCTTCACCCAGGTAGGAGGACTATATCATCAGCATATTCTAAGTCACAGAGATTATTCCGTAATGGTAACGAATGAGTCCCTGAGTCTCTGAAGTTAGTTAGAGTTATGTGCATCAGTACATCTATGATGAAGTTAAAGAGAAGATATGGGGACAGTATGCGTTTCTAACGGACACCACTGCTTGTCATCGCAATTTTCAGATGACAACTCTCTGCAGGCTCTTACTTGCCTGGCTGCATGATTTCGAGTTGAGTGCCTTGATCAGTGTGACGTATTTTCTCCATTAGCTTAGTCGTGAATCTCTTAAGATTGTAATGAAAGGCTGGTTTATTTACAGAGTCAATGAATTCCAATGAAATGTTGATTTAATGATAATACTTTCATGTTAGATTATCTGAAGTCGGTGAGGACGCGGGGCGTGGGGGAAGGAGATGTTCATAGAGGGTCCTGTTCTCTTTCTCTCTCTTTATATATATATATGCAAACGTATACTATAGTTGACTATTTTTTGTTTTTGGTATGGCGAAAAGAAAATGATACCATCAAACCAATCAGTGATGCTGGTCGATCAGTTCACTGTCCTCGATTCAGTCCGAATGGTGAATATTTAGTCTGGCTTGATAATCCTGTTGGTGGTCCACATGGACAATGTTATACTTTAATGGGAATGATCTGGTCCTCGGGAGATTTTCAACCTAAAATTATTATCTCAACATCATCTGAAATTGATTACGAATTCTCAGGTAAATTCCTTTTTTATTTCTATTGTAACGACAGAAGACAAGGGCCAGGCAACAGATTGTTTATTGAGAAAATTAAGAGGTATTTATAGATTTTTATGTACATTATTATTCGTTAGTGTTAACAGAGAAGTAACTTCTTCTGATTGGTTCTTCTTGCTGAAGGTTATTCTATTATATAAACGGTTTGTGACTATTCCTCAGAAAGTTAAGCCATATATTTGCGAATCCTATTCGCACATGCTAAGTCTGCTGTGATTGGTTAGTGAGTTCCGCATGGTTAAACTTTGATATCGTCTTTCTCATGACCCGATCATGCGTTAGTGTGTGCCAGGTTCTTCTTGCGATTTGGTGAGGTTCATAAACGGCGTCGTCTAAACGTTGATTTGAGCAAACTAGTAGCACTTGCTGCTTCTTTGAAATACCAGAATGAGTTACATTCAATGCTTGCCAGCAACCCCACAAGTAGTATAGATGAACATTGGCTTCATGTGCAAGGTGCCATGCAAAAGGCGAGTGTAGCCGCTTGCGGTTTGAAAGAATGCTCCGCTAAAAACCACTGGGTTTTTGCGAGTTCCTTGCAACTCTTGAATGAACGCCGGACCGTTCCGGCTGGCAGCGAATAGAACGATAAACGAAAGGCGCTTATGCGCAAGTCTAGACAGTGTTTACGTAAGGACTGCGAAGCCTAGTAGTCAGAACGTGCGTGTGAGATAGAGTCAGCTGCTACATCTGGCGACAGTGAGAAGCTGTTCCAGCTCCTGCGAGCCATCGCCAGTAAGAAACAAGGTGTCAGCGAGACTGTCTGTGAGACAAATGGCACTCCAATTACCAGCCTGCAAAGATGCCTGTAACGCTGGGCCACCAGTTTCAGTATCCAACGTAACCAGCTCCAGTGCCACTTGGTCGGCCAATACCGACCCACCAATCAAACCGGAGATCCGTTAGGAACTCCAAGTACTAAAATTCCATAAGGCATCCGGTCCAGACAATCTACCCCTGACTCTTTTTAAAGATGGGACCAAGATTTTATCCTGGCTTTAATTGGATTATTCAGGATAGTATGGGAGACCGAGAATGTACCATCAATGTGGGATGAAGCCATTATCGTCCCCATCTTTAAAAAGGATCGACGTAACTCATGTAACAATCATAGGGTTATCAGTCTGTTACCACTTGCGTCTGAAAAATATTGGCTGCTATCTTGCTTCGCCGGCTATGCAAAACATGTGAGGGATTGATTCGTGAAGAGCAGCCTGCGTTTCGTTCAGGTCGTGGATGCATTGATCACGTGTTCACTCTCTTCATCAGTTGTTGGAACACCGCCATTCGTATTGCTGGCCAACAATCGTTGTGTTTCTTGATATTAGGGCTGCCTTCGATTCGTTGGACAGAACTGTGCTCTGGAACTGTCTTTTAGAGAGGGGTGTACCTGATCAGTTTGTGAACATCTTGAAAGCCCCATACAGAAACACCTCGGGTAGAGTGAGGGCAAACAACCAACAATTATCACTCTTGAAAGTCAACAGTGAGGTTAGATAGGGTTGGCCGATCTCCTCACTTCTCTTTAACTTTGCCATCTGTAACTTTCTGGAGTCAGCTATGAAGGGTGCATGTGAAGGTAGTGTTGATCTGATCCCAGGAAAGACTTTTCGACTTCGAGTATGCAAACAATATCGTCTTCATGTGAGATGGCATGCAGGCTTCCCAAATCGCACTTAATCAGTTGGCTACCAGTGTCTTTTGCTATGATGTTTTGCTTTGCGCCGTCTAAGTGTAAAGTGCTGTTACAACATTGGCAGGAGTCTGTACCTACACTCACTTTTTCAGTTGAACCGCTTGAAGTTGTTGATAAGTTCGTGTATCTGGGTAGTTGTGTGAGTGCTGGCGGAAAGGAGACAAGTGAGATTGACAACCATATCATGAAAGGTGGGATGGCATACGTTAACTTGAGCCACCTCTGGCACCGTCGCGACGTTAGCCTGGCTGTCAAAGGTCGGGTATACAATGCTTCGGTGCGGGCTGTCTTGCTCTACGCCTGTGAAACCTGGTGTCTCCGAGCTGAGGATGTGCAGTGACTCTGCGTGTTCGGTCATCACTGTCTCCACAGGATTGCTTTCGTTCGATCGCATCATCGCTTGAGTAATTCTGAAGTTCAGAGGCGTGTGTCCGAACACAGTGGAGATCACCATTTGTTTAGTGTCGTAATCTGGAAACACCAGCTTCGGTGGCTTGGATATGTGCTTCGAATGTCATCCCAGAGGCTTCCGTACTGATCTTTGTTCGCTTGTCCTGGAACGGGATGGAAAAGACGGAGAGGTGGTAAGCCCATGACGTGGCGTCGTGGGATGAAGTTTGTTTGTTTATTAGATGTTTCACTGTGTGATACGTAGTGTTTTTATTTTGTATTCTATTTGCCTACTAATCCTATAACTGCACACCCTTTTTCAAATTCTATTCATCCTATGAATTATTCTATATATTTGATATTAATTGTTTTGCCACTTGATATTTAACTTTGATTAGAATCACAAATATTTTAATTGCATTTCATACTGCTATTATTATTATTATTATTTTATGCATTCACATCTATGATTCAATTCCCCTACTGGATACAATTGTACAGCTTGATAGGTAGTGAATTCGTCGAAAAGAGTCTATTTGCAGAAACTTTTTTGTTAAGTAAGTAATTCTGTGATGTGATAATCTTGCGAACTTCTCTCTTCTTGGTGGACATACTTGTTTGAGCAGGAGATAGTTTTTTGCTGTAATCTCAGTCATGTAACTATCATTTTTGTATACACTAACATATTTATATAGTAATTAATTTAAATCATTTCATTTCATTTCCATTTTAGGACTGTATTGTACACTATCAGAACGTTGTTGGTCCAGTGACAGTCGGCGTATTGTAATCTCATCTTATCACAATGGATTTAAGGATGTAGGATATATTGTTTCAGTGACTGAATCCATTACTCAATCGAAACCTGTTATACTCCAATTGCCTGAATTGTATTTACCAGACAAAGCGTGTAAATTATCGTCATTGAGTATTTTAGACTTTTATGAGGATATATTAGTCTGCTGTACAAGTTCTCCAATTCATCCTCATCATTTAGCTGTATTAAATTTAAAAAATATAAATGATACGAATACGTCAATTGATTTTCACCAACATCAGTGAGTTTAATTTTTTACTTTAGATGATAATTCACAAGATTGATATCATGAGGTGACATCAGCTAGGAGAACCATTTGAAAATGAGGTGGGAGGAGGACTGGACAACCGTTTCGTCTTGGTCTGGGACTTTTTAGCAGTGCATATCCACCACAGGGTGTTGGAGTCTAGGACGTTCCGGTTACGAGGCGAGCTCGTAGACTATTCAGCCACTGCGACTCGTCTATCCAATAGCCTGTCCATGAATTCCAACGTCTGCCAATTCGTAATATATATATTTGTGGTGCGACCGCCGGTTATTGTCACTGGCTTAATAGCTATCCTTTTGCCTGATTTGGTGGACACCACTGGTTACGACTTCCGACTAGAACTTCTAGTAACTGCCTGTGTACAGCCAGTGGCTTGTGAGCATCAGACTGACTATCACGTGTTGGTTTGCTGGGATGTGATTGGCTACCGGACTGATAGCGAGTTGATATCAGTCTATAAGCTCATCTCGTAACCAATAGGTCATGGCTTTGAATCCCAGCAGATACATATTGATGAAGAGTCCCAAACTAGGGCGAAACAGTTATTCAGTAGATTTTCCAATGGTTCTTCGACTGATGTTAGCTCGTAATCAATCCTGTAACCAATTAAATCTCTGTAAAACAACACGTGACAATAATAATTGAAACAGGTGTCTAGTTATTTTTATTGTGTCAGTGATGGACAATTATTGTGAACTAACTAATTTTGAACTTGGAATTTTCTGCAGAAATTTTTACATCACTTCAAGCAGCTACACTGTACAAACGTTATTTTATTCATTTGGTAAAATATGGCGCCAAGAAGATGCGCCACCAAATAATAATAATAAATCAACATAGATTAAAAGTTAAAATAAAGGGGTGGAGAACGTATAAAGAACATCATGTGGAAGAAAAACAGTCACATTGAACAAGTTCAAACAGCATTCCCCAGTTATTGTTGGAAAGGGAAGAAAGAAGGAAAGTGTAGCATGTTCGCCATTGGTTGCGATTCGTGGCCATGTCTAATAACTTTTTGAGCCACTGATTCAAGTTGTATCTCGGTTTCCAACCAGGGAGTCGTGACGCACCAACGGATGCTGACCTAACACAAATATCCTTCATTCCACGATACCATGTCATGGACTGACCACCTCTCCGCTCTTTCCATCCCGTTCCAGGACAAGCGAACAAAGATCAGTACGGAAGCCTCTGGGATGACATTCGAAGCACATATCCAAGCCACCGAAGCTGGTGTTTCCAGATTACGACACTAAACAAATGGTGATCTCCACTGTGTTCGGACACACGCCTCTGAACTTCAGAATTACTCAAGCGATGATGCGATCGAACGAAAGCAATCCTGTGGAGACAGTGATGACCGAACACGCAGAGTCACTGCACATCCTCAGCTCGGAGACACCAGGTTTCACAGGCGTAGAGCAAGACAGCCCGCACCGAAGCATTGTATACCCGACCTTTGACAGCCAGGCTAACGTCGCGACGGTGCCAGAGGTGGCTCAAGTTAACGTATGCCATCCCACCTTTCATGATATGGTTGTCAATCTCACTTGTCTCCTTTCCGCCAGCACTCACACAACTACCCAGATACACGAACTTATCAACAACTTCAAGCGGTTCAACTGAAAAAGTGAGTGTAGGTACAGACTCCTGCCAATGTTGTAACAGCACTTTACACTTAGACGGCGCAAAGCAAAACATCATAGCAAAAGACACTGGTAGCCAACTGATTAAGTGCGATTTGGGAAGCCTGCATGCCATCTCACATGAAGACGATATTGTTTGCATACTCGAAGTCGAAAAGTCTTTCCTGGGATCAGATCAACACTACCTTCACATGCACCCTTCATAGCTGACTCCAGAAAGTTACAGATGGCAAAGTTAAAGAGAAGTGAGGAGATCGGCCAACCCTATCTAACCTCACTGTTGACTTTCAAGAGTGATAATTGTTGGTTGTTTGCCCTCACTCTACCCGAGGTGTTTCTGTATGGGGCTTTCAAGATGTTCACAAACTGATCAGGTACACCCCTCTCTAAAAGACAGTTCCAGAGCACAGTTCTGTCCAACGAATCGAAGGCAGCCCTAATATCAAGAAACACAACGATTGTTGGCCAGCAATACGAATGGCGGTGTTCCAACAACTGATGAAGAGAGTGAACACGTGATCAATGCATCCACGACCTGAACGAAACGCAGGCTGCTCTTCACGAATCAATCCCTCACATGTTTTGCATAGCCGGCGAAGCAAGATAGCAGCCAATATTTTTCAGACGCAAGTGGTAACAGACTGATAACCCTATGATGGTTAGATGCGCTCAACCTTCCGAGCATCCAACACCTCCCTGAATGGGATATAGATACAGGTCCTCCGTCACTAACTGAGGTTACTAAAGCTGTCACCAATCTGAAACTAGGCAAAGCAGCGGGACCTGATGGAATGACGCCAGAGGTATTTAAGTACGGTGGAGACAGCTTACTGTCCGGATTAACTGAGGTACTAGGCAGCGTTTGGGAATCAGAAGAAGTCCCATCGGGTTGGTGTAAGTCACTGATTATCCCCATATACAAGAAGGGAGACAAGTCTTCCTGTGATAATCACAGAGGGATTAGCTTGACTAATATAGTATCTAAAGTCTTAGGCTCAATAATCATGCGTAGACTGAGTGGTGCTCGGGAAGCACAAACACGAGAGAGCCAGGCAGGCTTTAGACCAGGAAGAGGGTGTATTGATCATATCTTCACCCTCCGACAGATTCTAGAACATAGGCATTCCTACCGGCGTCCAACAGTCATTATATTTCTTGACCTAAAGGCAGCATTCGACTCTGTCGATCGGGAAGTTCTCTGGAGATGCTTGGCTGTAAAGGGAATTCCGAGAAAATATATTGCACTGATTAAGGCACTCTATTCGTACTCATACAGCCAGGTGAGGGCTTACGGCGAGCTGTCATCTGAACTGATGACGACCAGTGGTGTCCGTCAAGGATGCCCATTATCTCCTTTTCTATTCAACTTCATCATAGATGTGTTAATGGACTTAACCCTAGGTGACTTCAGCGATTCAGGGATTGACTTGCTACCAGGGAATAATCTCGTTGACTTGGAATATGCAGACGATATAGTCCTTCTAGGCGAAGACGCTGACAAAATGCAGAGTCTTCTAAACACCTTGAGCGGTAATCTACGAATGTTTGGCATGCGATTCGCTCCCGCCAAATGCAAGATGATGTTACAGGACTGGACTACATCGACGCCTAGTTTAAAAATAGGAAGTGAAGTGGTAGAGCACGTTGACCGCTTCACTTATTTGGGAAGTACCATCAGCCCCAACGGGCTGATCTCTGACGAAATCTCAGCACGAATACAAGGGGCTCGTTTCGCATTTGTTAGTTTACGCCGACTCTGGCGTAGACGAGATGTTCGACTATCGACCAAAGGGCGGGTGTACTGCTCATCAGTCCGCTCCGTCCTCCTTTATGGTTGTGAGACCTGGCCACTGAGAGTGGAAGACATGAAAAGACTAGCTGCCTTTGATCATAGGTGCCTGCGTTCTATTTCCCGTGTAAAGTGGCATAATAAGGTGAGCAACATGGAGGTTAGGCGTAGAGTTCTAGGTAAACAGGGGAAATCAATCGACGAAGTCGTGAAGCTACAAAGACTGAGATGGTTAGGACATGTGTTACGTATGCCAAGTCATCGCCTCCCTCGACGAGCTATGTTAGCGGATATAGGGTCAGGCTGGAAAAAAGCTAGCGGCGGTCAAACAAAAACTTGGCATCAGTCAATGAAATCCACAACAGTTGGTCTAAGCCACGTAGAAAGGTGTAGACTTCCAGGCTGGGGTCCTCGGGACGGCAAAAATCTATGGTTGGAAACAATTGGTGACATGGCTCAAAAGCCTCCAAAGCCTCAGGATGGTCGGGGGTGGGTGTCTTGCGCTGCGGGTTGGCCACCCCTCCGCACACCTCTTGAAATGCTCCCATATGACCGTGCGTCTTACATAGCCTCTCCTGAGGAAGTCCTACTCACTGCCTTCACGTGGTGGAGGTGTTTCTCACTAAAGCGAGAGGGCAAAAGCGGATGCCCGGCGCTCTTCACCGGGTTGACTGTCCATTGGATGACAGTCTAGGGGAGATGGCTAAACCCTGATTCCAAACCTTCAACGACTGGCGTATGAAGCTCGCCGGAGCTCACCGGCAGACGTATGGACAAAGGGCTTGTTGGATGTCCTGGATGTCTGGCCCCATTCAAAAAGGCGTATGAACCGGACTCCGGTCACCGGCTGCCAATGGATAGTGGGCTCCCTACTCCACTCCTACTGCCTTGAAGGTCACACTTGGCTGTGTAAAGGCTAGAGCTGCACTCTCAAACAAAAGGCGGAGCGATGCTGGGGACATCACTCGTACCAAATTCCCAAGAAACTTCATGAACTCGTTCATGAAGCCGGCTCATCCTCCCGTAGGAGATAGCCGAAGTAAAGTAAAGTAAGTAAGTATGGCTCAAAATCGTTCTCAGTGGCGCAGATGCATCCACTCCCTGTGACTTATGATCTTCAATGAAATTGTTTTGTATTTCTTTATTACCCCTTTGTCTCACACCTCTGCTCACTGTTTCTATTATGCTTTTCTTGTACTTTCTTCTCTTGCTTCGCGTGCTACACGGAATGTGGCGACTTGAACTGGTGCACATTTTTGCAAAGTTCTATGTCGAAAACAGACAGACAGACAGATGGTTAGATGTGTTACGTCGACCCTTTCTGGAAATGAGGACCATAAACTACAGACAAAGGAAAGAGAAAGAATTGTAATATATGTACATGAGAGAATGAGGGAGAGAGAGTTTAATTACGTGGAACAAAACGCTGAAGAATAAGTGGATCTGAAAGATTATACAGAGTGAAGGTATTTGTCTTTCATTTGTGTAGCAGTTTGACTGTCTGTGAGTGAAACATGGCCATTGGAAGTGAAAGACGTAGAAAGCCTCACTAGTTGTGTCTTTGATCACAGTTGTTTGCTTTCCATCTGCCGTGTGAAGTGCTATTATAGGATGAGTAATATCAAGGTGATGCTTTAGTTGACTGTTGCTAGGCAGATGGGAAGGGAAATCAATAGACGACGAGGCTGTATAGCTACATTGACTGTGATGCTTAGGACATGTGTTAAGGATGCGCATCCCTAACTATCGATCGCCTTCCTCGATAATGGGCATTGTTAACTGACTAGCTGGGTCGAGTACTTGGGATGGGTGATAAAAACCAATGAGGGCTAGAGACAATTGGTGATATAGCTGGCTCAAAATCCTCGTTCTCAATGACTAGCGCAGATGCATCCACTTCTTGTGACTTAAAATATCCAAAAAATAATCATATGGTTCTCTGATTATACTATTCTTTTTGCATCATATCTCTGTCTACTGTCTTTATTTTGCGTTTCCTTTTACTTTCTTTTCTTGCTTTATGTGCTATATGTGAGGAGTGTGGCGTCTGAAAGTGCTGCACATCGATGCAGAGTTCTACATTCCAGTCAGTCAGTCAGTCAGTCAGTCAGTCAGTCAGTCAGTCAGTCAGTCAGTCAGTCAGTCAGTCAGTCAGTCAGTCAGTCAGTCAGTCAGTCAGTCAGTCAGTCAGTCAGTCAGTTAGTCAGTCAGTCAGGGGTGGTAGCGGTGACACGGTTTTGAATCTCACAGGTGACATGAGTGTTGCTTCAACAGGTTGCGGATATACCTCTTGGCTGACTGTGACTGGTGGTTGTCGATAATTACAAAACCCTCTAGGTCAGTCAAGGTTACCTACCTGTCGCCGATTGCCGCCAACCACCGAATATATTCAAATTTTGGTGTTGATTTCCACTAGGGAATTCTATATCAAAGTATATTTTCACATTTTTACCAAAAATTACTGTTCAGAATAAAGCTGATATTATTATTATTTTATTTTATAGATGGTTAATACTCTCTGATGGAATTGACTTGAAACAGTCTTCTGTCCGTTCAGTTAAAGGTATCGATTATGTTATACGTGGTGGTCAGTATGTAAATGGGAAGGAAACATTCTCTTCTTGTGATTATTTACTAATTTATCCAAAACTTGAAAAGGATGGTTCATTCAAACAAATAGATGGTAAGATTCTGTTGTTTTTGTTGTTGAATGTTTTCCTATTTTTTAAAATTTTTTTTGACGTTTAACCTAAATAAAACTTGACTGGGGCTTACGTAGGCATACGTAGCACATGTCCTAACTATCGTAATCGATGTAACTTCACAGGCCCTCGTCTATTGATTTTCCCTGCTTGCCTAGCACTCAACCCAAGTCTAGATGCTTCGCTGTAAAGGGAATTCCTTTGTCTCACACCTCTGTTTACTGTGTCTAATATGCATTTCTTCTACTTTCTTCTGTTGCTTTGTGTGCTACATGGAGTGTGGCGACTTGAACTGGTGCACATCTGTGGAAAGTTCTATGTGGAAGACAGACAGACAGCACTCAACGTCTAACCCCAATATTGCTCACCCTATTATACTATGTAACACGGGATGAAGATAGAACACTGGCACCTATGGTCGAAGACTGCTAGCCGGCCTTTTCATTTCCTCCAGTTTCAATGGCCATGTCTCACAGCTAGCCATGAAGTGGGACGGAGCGAAGTGGTGAGTAGTACACACGTACTTTTGTCTATAGGCAGGTGGATATCACGTCTACTAATCCAGGCAAATGCCATATGAGTCTTCTGTATCCGTGTTGAGATTTCGTCACCGATCAACCTGCTTGGCTGGCTGGCGAAACTTCTCAAATAAATGAAATCGTCAACACGCTCCACCAACTACTTCTCTTCTGCCTCTCTGTGAGCTAGGAGTTGGTCGATGTAGTGCATTCGTATAGGAAATATCGCATGTCAAACATTCGAAGATTGCTACTCAGCTGATGGTGTTCAGAAGACTGCTTTCTTTCAGTATCTTCACTCAGAAAGGAGAGCTGTATCATCAACATATTCTAAGTCAATGAGATTATTCCCTGATGGTAACAAGTCAATCAATCCCTGAGTTATTGAAGTCAGCAGTTAGGGTTAATTCCACTTGTACATCTATGACGAAATATTCGTGATATCTACATGCATATTTGTTTTATTAACAATATTAGATTGTTGAATACATTTACCGAGTTAAATTATGTAATATTTATTATTACTTATTATTTATTTATTATTGTTTAGTATCTGATTTCAATTTTAACGAAGATATAAGTGATCTGATCGCCAACCGATTGCAAGGTTTAATTGTAATGCCACATGGTGGTCCACATTCTGTTTCAAGACTAACATGGTCTTCAATGATTACAAGTTTTTGTATTTGTGGATTTGCTTGCCTATTAATCAATTATACTGGATCACTTGGTTATGGTGATCAGTTTATTCAGGATCTGATCGGATGTATTGGCGACAGAGATGTATCCGACTGTGTTCAGGTAGGCCCGCACTCACACTCTCTCATACACAGATACATTTTTAAATCGTGTACTTTAATGCATTTATAATAATATATATATATATATATATATATATATATATATATATATATATATATATCCAAAAGCAAGAGACGCCATCCGTGCCAAAAAAGATACTTTATATGAACCCCGACTTCTAAAGTGACTTACTGAGTGATGTCCTTAGGAGGAGAATTTCTACTTTTTTCAGAAAACCATTCTTTGCGTCAGCACTGAGTGTAGTGTTCTCTAGTCACCTGCTGATATGCAGAAACCCAAACGACAAGATCCTGCACCCGACCAATTCTGTGTGTATATATATCAGTTCACCTGTCGCTGTGGGGCGAGGCATATTGGTCCTTCGACGCGCATCCTGTCAGATAGGGCCAAAGAACACTATCCAGCGTGGCTGCAGAAAGGAAGTAGTGGCCGTATAGGGAGTGCAATAGTCGAACGTCTCGTCACCACTGGTCATTCCATCTCAACAGTCGCCTCCTTCAAAGTAATCTACAAAGTGAAGAACAACTTGCCAAAGACAATATGTTTCCGTCTTCTTTGCATTGCATTCATTCAGTTAGTCTGTCTGTCTATTTTCGACATAGAACTTTCCACAGATGTGCACCAGTTCAAGTCGCCACACTCCACTCCATGTAGCACACAAAGCAACAGAAGAAAGTAGAAGAAATGCATATTAGACACAGTAAACAGAGGTGTGAGACAAAGGAATAGTAATAACGAAGAACAATGTAGTTTCATTGGAAACCATAAGTCACAAGGAGTGGATGCATCTGCACCAGCCAGCCATTTAGAACGATCACTTTGAGCCATGTCACCAATAGTTTCCAACCATTGGTTTTTACTGTCCCGAGGACCCCACCCTGGAAGCCAGTCTACACCTTCCTACGTGGCTGGCTTAGACTAACTGTTGTAGATTTCATTGACTGGTGGAGCCATGTTTTTGTTTGTCCTCCGCTAGCTCTTCTCCAGCCTGACCCCATATCCGCTAACATTGCCTGTCGAGGAAGGCGATGACTAGGAATACGTAACATATGTCCTAACCACCTAAGTTGATGCAACTGTTTCACAACCTCGTCGACTGATTTCCCCTCCCACCTACCTAGAACTCGACCGAAGCCTAACCTCAATATTGCTCACCTTATTATACCACATCACAGGGGAGGGAGATAGAACGCAGGCACCTATGATAAAAGACAGCCAGATAGCCAGCCTTTTCATGTCTTCCACTCTCAATGGCCAGGTCTCACTCACAACCATAAATGAGGACGGAGTTGACTGATGAGCAGTACACCCGCCTTTTGGTCGATAGCCAGCTGGATATCACGTCTACTAAGCCAGAGATGGCGTAAACTGGTAAATGCGAAACTAGCCCTCTGTATCCGTTCTGAGATTTCGTCAGAGATCAGCCAGTTGGCACTAGCTGATGGTACTTCCCAAATAAGTGAAGCGATCAACGTGGTCTACCACTTCACTCCCTATTTCTAATCTAGGAGTTGGTGTAGTCTAGTCCTGTAACATCATCTTGCATTTGGCTGGAGCGGATCACATTCCAAACATTTGTGGATTGGAGATCAAGGTGTTTAGAAGACTCTGCTGGATTTTGTCAGCGTCTTCGCCTAGAAGGACTATATCGTCTCCATATTCTATGTCAACGAGATTATTCCCTGATGGTTACCAGTCGATCAATCCCTGAGTCGCTGAAATCACTTAGGGTTAAGTCCATTAGTATATCTATGACGAAGTTGAATAGAAAAGGGGATAATGGGCATCCTTGACGGACACCACTAGTCGTCACCAGTTCAGATGACAACTCACCGTAAGCCCTCACCTGGCCGTATGAGTTCGAGTAGAGTGAAGGCCTTAATCAGTGAAATGTATTTTCTCGGGATTCCTTTCACAGCGAAGCATCGCAACAGAACCTCCCGGTTGACAGAATCGAATTCCGCCTTTAGGTCAAGGAATATAGTGATTGTTGGGCGCCGGTAGGAATGACTCTGTTCTAGAATCTGTCGGAGGGAGAAGATATGATCAATACACCCTCTTCCTGGTCTAAAGCCTGCCTGGATCTCTCGTGTTTGTGCTTCCCGAGCACCACTTAGTCTACGCTTGATTATTGAGCCTAAGACTTTAGATTCTATATTAGTCAAGCTGATCCCTCTATGATTATCACAGGAAGACTTGTCTCTCTTCTTGTATATGGAGATAATGAAGGACTTACACCAAGCCGATGGGACTTTCTCTGCTTCCCAGACGCTGTATAGTACCTCCGTTAATGCAGACAGTAAACTGTCTCCACCGTACTTAAATACCTCTGGAGTCATTCCATCAGGTTCCGCGGCTTTGCCTTGTTTCAGATTGGTGACAGCTTTAGTAACCTCAGTTAGTGACGGAGGACCTGTGTTTATATCCCATTCAGGGAGTTGTTGGATGCTCGGAAGGTTGAGCGTGGCTGTGGGCAAATTAAACTGCTCCTCGTAATGCTCTTTCCAACGTTCCAGTCGTCTATCTTGGGAGCTAATTATAGTACCATTTTCCTCAGAGATTGTTTCACTTATCGTTTGTCTTTTACCACCTGTTTCCTTGATAAGTCTTAGTAGTTATCTGGTTTTACCAATCTCCGATGCCTTTTCCATCTCTTTCGCTTTTGTTGTCCACCACTGTTCACGGTCGCTGCGAAGGCTTTTTGTTAGTTTACGTTTGAGTAGCTTTCGCTCCTCATCATAATTGGAGCTCATCGGAATAAGTCTTCGGGCGTCAGTCATTTCGGATGAGGCGGTAGAGATCCAATGGCTTTTACTAGCTTTAGGTTTTAGCTTATTAACAGCTTTTAAAGCTGTGTCTACAGCTAACTGTACGTTGTGCCAGGCTACCTCAGGGGAAGTCGTGCTGTTGGAAGAACCAGAACTATGCACACAGAAGAAAATTATTCTACCACTTACACTATTATGGTAACAACTCTGTTAATTAGACTTAACTTTTGCTTGTATGCTTATTTTTCTACCTACTTAAATCTCTTGCGTAATTACGTATGTTATTTTGTCTCTATGGTCACCCTGAGCACAACTCTTTCACCAAACTATTCATGTTGTTACGTAACTATTCTTTAACAATCGTTTATGACAACTCATCAGTTTTGTTACTACCCACTTATATCAACATGCAATTCATTTGAACTTACTAATTGTATTTTCGTTTGACAAATTTAATGTACACACACACATACATACAAAACAACCATATATATATTTGCGATTGTACAGCTCTGAAAATGAATTCGCCATCGAGAAGAGACTCTTCGCTGAACTAGTGGTCTTCTGTCTATATTGCAAAATGTACCCATTAATTCTTAAGGAAAAACGTCGTTTGTTTTTGTTCAGTGACGAATTACAGTTTCTTTCCGATGACTTCATTTTCAAGCCAACTGTACAGTCGTATCGATAGTACGGAATGCTTAGTCAATATACGTGTGACAGGAATAAATACAATTAAAAGGATTATACGAGCTTGACCACGGATTGATATCAGTTAGAGAACCATTGAAAACCAGCATGTAATGCTGGACAGCTGTTTCATCCTGTCAGGCAATATCTATTCGCTGCCTTCATTTATTGAAATATGTTCTCTTTCAAGTAAGAAGATGAATGTAAATATCCGCCGTGTATTACGGGACTTATGGAGATAAAAGTTAACCCGAAAATAGTTAGAAAACTTTAATTTCGAGCTTATGCAACATATATAGGCTCCAGAATCCGAAGGTATCGGACGGTTTGTGTAAAGTTGTTTTGCTCACCTCAAGTCATAGAGAGATACAGCTTCTGGCTGTGTTCCGTTGTCATGTGAATCAGAATTCTAGGCGAAGGTTGGGAGAATAGTCACTTAAGAGAAGCGCACCTGCTTCGACTGAGGCGTCGTCCCTGAAGTATCTCAAGTGTAGCTTCAATCTGTAGTTTTAGTGTGATGTCTCACAAAGAGAAAAGCAAGTGACCCTCACAGCAATTATTATTATTATTATTATTCAAAACCCAAACTTGATACATCACTGACAACAAGAGGTGCTCTACACAAAAGTCTGGGATACTACTTAGACGCCTGAATTGATGCAGGTGATTGTTTTAAGTGGCTGTCCTCTGCAAGCTTTCTACTTCAAGTTTAATTGACAAGGCAGTAGAGCAGCAGCGTCCTCATGATTGTATGTGGCCAGAATAGAGATTCATACGCTATTTGATTCTTTCCGACCATAGATAGCTCATTTACTCCATAGGATTGAATTTATGGTTTTCTAGTTCTCTCCTACGTCAATCTGAATGTTCATGAGTCCAGTTGTAATGGTCATACATTTAAATTCGCTCTATCAATTTTGTGAGGAACACTCCTCCCACTGTGGCGTGAAGGCAGTGGGAATAGGACTTAGTTGGTAGAGGATACAAACATGCGCATGACTACATGACAGCATTTTTCGAGAGGAGGAACCGAAATTTATCTGCACCTTCAACAGTACTAGGTAATCTATGGAGACCAGAAAGACTAACAAATTGCTACTGACTAACTCATGAAGATGCTAAATATTGGGAAATCGTGAGCAGTAGGGTATAGTATGTCGGGTGTCAGGACAAATACTCACCAGAGATGACATTGGCTAGTGCCAGTCACACTATGTCATGAATTGGTAGAAAGTTGGAATTCGTGGGCTGGCCATTGAATCGGGTACCAGTGGGCTGAATGGTCTACGAGATCACCTTGTAGCCAGAACGTGGGCGCATAATGCTGAGGTATCCCAAACCGGTTTTCCAATGGTTCTCTTACCGATGACAGCTCATAATGAAATCCTGCAACCAGTCAAATCTCTGAAAATCAAAAATTCACCGTGTAAATACATTTCGAGTGTGTTATTGCGTCAGTGGTGTATAACTAGAGACTAGGTTATCGCTTAAAATAACAGAGTTGATAACGACACAAACATATTCACTTGACCTACGGGGCAGAAGCTACGAACGCGCGTCGTCATGTGTGCGAGAGAAAGGCTGAAGTCTACGCACTTCTGTTGGCCGTACCAGATCGTTTCTGGGAGAGGCCTCATTAGTTAACGAACTCTCTCGCATGAGTGAAATACCTTTGCAGTCATCATTATCTCTTTCAGGTCAAATCAATCCTGTTTGGCAAACAATGAGAAGAGTTGTCCTTTTAAAATTGGTGAATGTTGACTAGCCGTGGAATCCAGGATAATGCGCATTTCGTCCTATTAACCAATTAACTTCTAATTACATGCCCAGACATCGTCGAAGCACATCTGCACAAGAAACCGACAGACATGTCAATCTGAGACCGAGCATTTCGGTCCAATCAATCGACGGGAAAATTTAAAATTGAATTCAATTCAATATTTCATTATTCATATTTTGTGTTATATTTGTTATCTCTCTTCATCTGTATTTAGGCTACTAAAGATGCTTTAAGTTATCTTCAACAGTATGAATCCAATTTAAAAGCAGTTTTATTTGGTGGTTCTCATGGTGGCTATTTAAGCTTACATTTAGCTGGACGATATAATGATGATCTGTTCAGTGCAGTTGTAACTCGTAATCCTGTGACAAATTTAATCAGTATGATTCATACAAGTGATATACCAGATTGGTGTTTTACTGAGGCTGGTTTAACCAATCCAGGTGAATGGCCACTTGATCATCTTCTACCGACTACGAATGAATTAATTCGTTTAACAGATGTTTCACCAATGAAATATTTAAATGATACATGGTCTGTACCATTATTAATGTTGTTAGGCGGTAAAGATCGTCGTGTTCCAAATAGTCAGGTGAGTGATTTTTTATATTTTCATTTGTATGTCTAAATTGCGTCATATACATGCATACATACAGTTTGATGAAGTCTGAATGGAGAATTTTCTGTAGCTTAGGATACCACCTTTGCACATGCCTACATTTTCCGCATTCTCACATCATCGACGGTTATCCAGTGAAAATGTTTTTAAGTGTTGTTTTGGGCAGAGAAGTGATTCATTTCAAATGAGGTCATGAATTGTGTAATGAAGGTCAGTTAGAGAAGTATTGAAAACCGGGCCTACCTGGACAGATCTGCTTCACAACACACTTTGGTACTCTTCAACTGGAGGATAGTGTACCTGTGACCTTGATAGGCGATAACTAGGCATGCATACATAACACATGTCCGAACCATCTCAGTCGATCTAGCTTCATAGCCCCGTCGATTGATTTCCCCTCCCACCGACCGATGTCTAACCTCAGTATTGCTCACCTTATTATACCTACCATCTAGATAGATAGAACGCAGGCACCTATGGTCAAAGACAGCTAATCTTTTCATGTCTTCCACTCTCAATGGCCAGGTCTCACTGACAGCCATAAAGGAGGACGGAGCGAAATAATGAGCGGTACACCCGCCTTTTGGTCGATAGTCAGATATCACATCTACTAAGCCAGAGATGATGGCGTAAACTGGCACATACGAAACTAGCCTTCTGTATCCGTGTTCAGATTTTGTCAGCGATCAACCCGTTGGTGGCACTGGCTGACTGAACTTCCTTCCCAAAGAAGTGAAGTGGTCAACACGTTCCATCAACCACTTCACTCCGAATTTCTAAGCTAGGAGTGAGTGGATGCAGTCCAGTCCCCGTTGTCCATCACCTTACACATTTGGCTGGACTGAATCAAGTTCCAAACCTTTCGGAGATTACGGCTGCTCAAGATGTTTAGAAGACTCTGCTGTATTTTGTCAGCGTCTCCACCTAGTTGGGAAGACTATAATATCATCTACAGTCAACGAGATTATTCCCTGATGGTAATAAGTCAATCTCTGAGTCCCTGAAGTCACTTAGGGGGTTAAGCCAATTAGTACATGTATGATATAATTCAGTAGAAATGGGGATGGACAGTGTGTATCGCTGATGGGGACACCATTGGTTTTCACCACTTCAGATGATAATAATAATAATATGAGGTGCAATTAAAACTTAAATGTTTGTGGTGATAATCATAGTTAAATGCCAAGTGGCAAAACAATTAATTAATGTCATATATAGATAGAATAATTCATAGGATGGATAGAACTTGAAAAGGGTGTGCAATCATAGGATAGGTAGACAAATCGAATAAAACAAAAAACGTTACGTAACATTGCGTGAAATTTAATGGCATAGAATTTATCGTTGTAAAAAAGAATTGATCTAGAATGACAAATGGAAAAAGTGAAATAATACCGGGGACAGTTCAAAGTGAGAGTAGTAATAGTAACAATTGACGTAATAAGAAAAAGGGAATACAACGAGAATAGACAAAATGAATAATGAAAAATTGGTAGAGCTAATCCCTCTATGCTAAAGTAGGGTAATCCCCAATCATATTATATGTATGATATTATTACTACCTTATTTGGTCATCTCATATCCAAATGATTTCCAAGAAAGTGTTTCATCTAACCTACTACATTAAGAAACTCAGACTAACTGGAGTCACTCAACCTCTGCTTTCACAATTTGTCAACTCTCGTATCCTACCTATGCTACTTTACTGCTCCCCATTAGTCTTTCCTGGGTTACTGAAAAAGGACTATACCATCCTGAGAAGGATGTTGAAGGTAGTTAGTAGGACTAGCGGTGTAAAACTCAGTCAGCTCGTCACTACATTAGTAGAAAGGTATCTGAATACATGCGAAAAATGGTCTAAAACCATACTCTCTGACCCCCAACACCCCCTCTATTCCCAACTCTTTCCTCGCATCTCATCAGGTAGAACCGGAAATCGGTGCAAAATAATATATGCTCGTACAACCAAGTATAGGAACTCAACGATACCATATTTGGCCCGTGTTCTAGGTGACAGAGACAATGTTAGGCGCGAAACCTATGACCTGCTTTGTTGTTAATAACATAATTTTGACCCCTGTTATTTCCCCTCTTATTTGTACTCTATAGTGAACAACCTTCTTAAACATACTTAGCTACTTAAAATTATTATCATTGGCTTACTTTTTATTCTTTATTCTATTCCTTCTATTGTATATCTACTGGGTCCGACTATATTATCACTATGATTATTAAAAAATTGTCCTATCATTAACCATCATGTAATATTAGTTTTGTGATTGTTCTTTGTTCGGCACTATTTAACTGACAATCTTGGTTGTGAACGCCACTATCAGCATCTTAAAATTTTGTATTATGCAGGATTACTCACTACAATAAAAAAACACAACCTGAAATGTTTATTTTATGATTGTTTAGTGTTGTTCAATCAAATTAACTGATCATCTTGGCTATAAGCATTCTTAAGAACATTTCATAATTTTTTGTATGATTATAGCTGTTGCTGTTCACCACACATAGACATATCATAGCTTCCACTACCAAATACTGAAATATTTTTCATTATTGGTGTTTATTTTCCCTTCTACTTTTTGGTATTTTTATTTGCATTTTTTGTTATCCTTGTGTTTCTTTTTGGTTTTTGTTGTTGTTTTTTATATTTATGCTTTTTGTAATACTCCTCTTAAATGTACGATGAAATTAGATGCAATATTGTAGATATGTGCTGAAAATTCCACACTGTACCACAAGTACTGTTTCTGGAATAAAAGCGAAATTATTATTATTATTATTCGCAAATGCCAACCATCATGACGCGAGGCCAACGACGCCCAAAGCAAGAGAGAAAGAAGACAGACTGTTGAAAAGGCAGCATTTTCTGTCTTGAATGAACAGTGAAATAGCTTGACAGCAATTCAGAAAATATACGAACTTAAATAACTTGAAAGACACAGTTCTATTTAAAGATTAAAACGGTTAACAGCCATTAGGGTCCGGTGTTCGCATCCCTTGGAACGCTATTGTTGAACTCTGTCCACTTGAAACTCCCGGATGAAGAGGCTGTATTATGCAATAAACTATCCTGAAAATTATGCTTATTCTGTAAACTTATTGTGCATAATAAAGCTATTGTGGCGTCTGTTGCTCAGCGGTTAGGACTCTCGTCGACTATGCAAACGGTTCGGGGTTCGATCCCCTGTCGATGCACACTTGATATTAATGGTTGACCTGCAGAATTTGGCTACCGGCATCACATCATGAAAATTCCATACTTGTAGCAGAACAAATACGGTGTGGAATGAAGCTACAATCAAATTAAAGAGATGAAACTTTTCAAACAGAATGTAGTACACCGTATACAAAGGTGAATCCTCCTCTGCTGTGCTTACTGAAGCTGGTGTCCCCCAAGGTGCCGTACTCTCCCCACTTCTCTTTTCTTTCTTTCTACATGGCTTACCATCTTCAAATGACATTAATTTTGTCAAACATGCTGACGACCTAACTGTATCTTTCTTTGCCTGTCAAGTGTCAAAGTGACTGCTCTAAACTAAATGGCTTCTTATCAGAAATCAGCCAATGGTCCAAGGAAAATGGTCTCACCTTAAACGCCTCCAAATGCCAAGCAGTTGATTTCACCTTTAGGCACAAATCTGACCTAAACAAAGTGGTTAGCACTCACGAGGTGTGCAACATAGATGACACTGAAATTGAAACCAAGTCGGAAATTGAATACCTAGGCGTCACTCTATCTTCTGATCTTTCCTGGTCGTCTCATATCTTGACGATTTCTAAGAAAATATTCCATCTTACCACCTTCTACATCAAGAAGTTAAGACATTCTGGTGTAACCCAACCCTTACTCCTACAATTTGTTAACTCCCGTATTCTGCCTATTATTCTCTATTGTCACCCCTTAGTCTTTCCTGGGCTACTGAAGAAAGACTACACCTTATTACGCAGGATGTTAAAGGTTGTCAGCAGGGTAAGCTACGTGCCACTTAACCAGCTTGTTAATATTCTGGTTGACAGGCATATGGATTCATGTGAAAAATGGGGAAAATCCATTTTATCTAACTCACATCACCCTCTTCATTCACAACTCTCCCCATGTATCTCTTCAGACAAAACCAGAAGCCTATATAGGAAACTATATGCCCGCACTAGTAAGTACAAAAACTCATCCATACCCTACCTAGCTCGTGTTCTGTGCGATAAAGAAAGCATTAGGCGTGAAACCTTTAACTTATTAAGTAGTCAGTAGAACAACTGGATCTCGTCTTTCCAACTCATATCATTTACAGGTACAACGTTTCCTCTCTACCATTTTTTTTCATTCTGTATTTATTTTTGTTATGTGCTGTTTTGTTTCTCTCTTCCTTGCAAACTCTACTTAAAACATTCTTCTTCGTTCTTTCACACTCTGTATATCTCGACCATTTTGCTATCGCTTATGCCAGTAAATATGCTAATAGTATCTACTTTTCTAACACCTTCAAACACTGTTTAAATTTTGCCTTTGCTACCGACATGCTAGTATGTTGTTATCAAAACTGACTGAGATAACTTTAATCTACGTAGAACTTTATTTATTGTTAATGTAATAACTGGATGCAATACTGAAGTAAAATGCTGAGAATTCCATTCTGTATCACAAGTACTGATTTGGAATAAAGCTATTATCTCATCTTATCTTATAATTATTTGTATTATACTTATGATATTATCACTACCATAGTTTTTCTTAAAAATTTTCATGGACGTACTTTCAACTTTTATTCTTCTTCTTCTACTTTTGTTGATTTTCAGGGATTAACATTTTGTCGAAAACTTAAAGCATCCTGTCCAAATATCCCGTGTGAAATTCGTTTCTATCCTCATGATTCACATGCATTAGATTCTCCAGCATGTTCACTAGATGTCTTTATCACTACTGTGAATTGGTTCTTAAAACATCTGAAGGGGAGATAGAGAGACAGACAGACAGACAGATAGATGGTGAGGAATTCCCTGAAGATGGAGATGATGATTGGCGGTCAAATGATGAATGAAGTCAACTACTTGATTACTTTTCATTGTGCATTTAATACGACAACATGATTACTTGATTATTTAATCAAATCTTTGTACTGCTTATTACTTTTGTGTATGTTTTTAAAAACATTTTTGTCATAAAATAAAAATCAATAAATTAGAAAGGCATTACACTTTTTTCATCATTCGAAACTTTATTGTATAATTGAGTGGTTGTTGTATGATAATGTGTGATAATACTGAGTAATCTTGAAATATGGGAAAGAAATTCCACCCCCCAACCCTGAGATCGATCAATTTGATCCTCTTCTATGGCACTACTTTATTATTATTATTATCTATGTTTCCTTTAGTTCCTAGAGGAACTTACGGCTTCAGCCGCACGTCTCCATTGCATTCGGTTCTATGCCAACGTTTTCACCTGTATCCACGTCTGCCCACATGCTTTCATCTCCTCTTCACATGACCGCCTCCAAGTCACCCTTGCACTGACGACCAACTCGCCGCTTCCCATTCGGGTTCAACTCGAGCGATGGCCTGACGTGTGATGTCACTCACTTGATGATTTGTTTTCTCAGAGTATGGCCACCAATCCACCTCCATTTCTTCCTGCCTGTTTGTTGCACAGTTGGTTCCTACTGGGTCGGTTCGTTCATTGCCAGAGATCCCATCGTGTTGCTGATCTTTTCTGGCTAAACATGTGATCTTAAGTGATATTGAGCGAAGACACCTGTTCATGAAGGTCTGTAGTTTGTTCGGAGTGCTCTTCGTGATGCGCCATATCTTGAGACTTGAGAGCAACGGAAGCTTGTCTTCCTTTCCCGATTCTGGCTTCGATATCCGCATCAGTTGATCTGCTTTTAGTTGAGACTATGCTTCCCGAGTGGGTAGGTAAAGGAGGTTGTTTCTTTCAGGTTCCTCCCATTTTTGCTGATTATTGTCTGTTGTAGTTGCTGCTGGTGGTGTTGGCCAGGAATTTTTATCACCTCTGTTTTATCTATGTTCACCTGAAGGAAGTCCTATCTTTGATGGTTGTTCTGCCAACTTGTTGCTTTTCACTTGCATATCTTCGAGTTTGTGTGAAATCAGACATATATCATCGGCGAAGTCCGGATCCTCCAAGTTTGTCTTTTTGTGGGTCCATTTTATACCTTTCTCCTCGTTGCCCGGCCCGCTGTCTGTAGCATTATCCAGTCTACCGCCCTCGATCAGAAAAATCATTGGAGACAGTAGACAGCTAGCCAGCCTTGTTTGACTCCAGTCTTGACTTCGAAAGATTGTGTGAGTTTCTGCTTGTGGATTACTTGGCACGCAGCATTCTCGTACAACTGTTGGACGAGATGTATAATTGTTGGCAGCACCGGGTAGTAGAGAAGCAGTTTCCAAATCACCTCTTGATCGACGCTATCGAAGGCCTTTTCATAGTCGATAAAGTTGAGGTAGAGAGGTGACTACCATTCCGAGATCTGTCCAATGATGATCTTTAGTATTGTGATTTGATCGACGCATGATTTGTTCCTCCATAGTGCATGTACGACAATTCTAATACAGTATAAAAACTTACTTGTCAATCTTTGAGACTTTGTTTGTAGGGATGTGATTTGTTTCGAGTGTTACTATGGATTGATATCAGTTAAAGAACCAATGAAAAACAGCGGAGAGTACTGGACAGCTGTTTTGTCTGCCTAGTTTGTGTGACTTATCGACTGTACCAACTTAAGCTGGAACCTAGAACCTTCTGGCTACAAGGCAAGTTCCTAGACCTTTTGGGGGTATTGGGCCTCCATTCAATGGTCAACCAATGAATTCTAACTCCTACCAATTCGTGATAAATATTTAGTGCGACTATCGGCCAATGTCGTCACTGGCGAGTATTAATTCTCACTCCTTGCGAATGTTTGGGATGCGATTCGCTCCAGCCAAATGTAAGATGATGCTACAGGATTGGACTAGATTGATTTCTAGCTTAGAAATAGGGAGTGAAGTGGTTGATGGAACGTGTTGACCACTTCACTTCTTTGGGAAGAAAGTTCAGTCAGCCAGTGCCACCAACGGGTTGACCGCTGACAAAATCTGAACACGGATACAGAAGGCTAGTTTCGTATATGCCAGTTTACGCCATCATCTCTGGCTTAGTAGATGTGATATCTGACTGACTATCTACTATAGGACGTGTGTACTGCTCAGTAGTCCACTCCGTCCTCTTTCATGGCTAGCTGTGAGACATGGCCATTAAGAGTGGAAGACATGAAAAGGCTGGCTATCTTTCTTCGATCATAGGTGCCTGCGTTCTATCTACATCCCGTGTTAGGTGGTAGGTATAATAGGGTGAGCAATACTGAGGTTAGACTTCGGTCGATGGGAGGGGAAATCAATCGACGGGGCTATGAAGCCAGATCGACTGAGATGGTTAGGACATGTGTTACGCACACATGTCTAGCCATTGATAGCCTTCCTCGACGGGCGATTTCAGATGACATAGGGTCAGCCTGGAAATGAGCCAGTGGTGGTCAAACTAAAGCATGGCCTCATCAGTCAATGATATCGACAACAGTTAGTTTACGCCGGCCACTTATGAAGATGTAGACTTCCTGAGTGGTTGGAGTCCTCAGGGCGGTAAACACCAATGATGGCTGGAGACAATTATTGATATGGTTGGCTCAAAATCCTCGTTATCAATGCCTGGTGCAGATGCAGCCACTTCTCTTGACTTAAATTATCGAACAAAACTATATTGTTCCTTGATATTACTATTCCTTTTACCTCATATCTCTGTTTACTGTCTCTTCTTTGCATTTGTTTTTACTTTCTTTGTCTTCTCCCCTGACTTTGTGTACTGAGTGAAGTGTGCCGACTGGAACAGCTGCACACCGATGCAAAGTTCTATGTTGAAACCAGACAGACAGATAGTTCTCACTACCTACTGGGTGAACAATTGAGTGGTAGTGATAAGATTGTTTGTAATAATTAGGAAAAGTCAGGGTGTCAAATGGGGAATGATTATTCATCAATGAAAGTGTAGAACTACTTGCAGAAGTTTAAAGAAATGGATTACGCAATGTATAATTGTGGAAAAAATTTAGAGGCGTAATGAAGAAATAAATATGTGCTCAGATTGATTATGTAATAAGCAACTGGAGATGAAGTAGTTAGAATTATAAAGAAATAGAGGCAATAATAACTTATAAAAGGGTTTTTTTTTTGAGAAGGAGTAAATTGTCAGCGGTTTGCATTCATGCAGCGATGCTCAAAGTAGGGAAAGTGGCTGCATGAGTTTCTTCTTATTCACACACAGGTCTAATTTCTCCATACAGCTTCAGCTGTATGTGTAAAAGATGAACTGATAAAACAAAATCAATATTGGTCAGAATGTGATAAATAGCCCTTGTTTTTGACAACCCCATTCCGTAAAAATAAACACCATTGCTGCCGAAACTTCAAGCCGCCAGCCTGATGCCCCCCATGTTCCACTGGGGACATTAATGAATAAATAAAGATAAACTACCTAGTTTCGCCTCCTTTACGTGTATCTACAAGTCTGACTGCTCCTGTGAAACTAGCTACATCATGCGTTTAATTAGGCTGGTTGGTTTATCACCGTTTTTCTGAACATCATCTTGTACACACTTATGCAAGGGACAAACAAAATGTATTCGCGTAGCACAGTGTTAGCCTACCTTGTAGATAATGCAAAATAAGGTTGATGTTAGTAAAGCAAGTAAAGTTATTTATAATCGCATTCTGACCAGTATTAATTTTGCTTGATAAATTCATCGTCTCCACATACTACAGTTGCAGACTTGATGAACCCATTGCTAGAGAAGGTGTGGAAAGAGGAGAAGGTACCTGAGGATTGGAAGAAAGGATACTTATTCGAACTACCAAAGAAAGGCGACTTAAGTAAATGCAAAAACTGGCGCGGAATTATGCTCCTGTCCATCCCAAGCAAAATACTAAGCCGCATCCTCCTGGAGAGAATCAAACACGCCACGCTGGATGAAAAACTTCGACCGGAACAAACTGGATTCAGGAGAAACAAGTCATGTATTGATCCAGTTGCCACTCTATGAATGATCATTGAACAAAGCTTGGAATGGAAGTCACCTCTCTATCTCACCTTCATCGACTTTGAAAAGGCCTTCGACAGCGTCAACCGAGATGTCATTTGGCAACTACTTCGCTACTGCCAAGGGGTGCCATCGACAATTATACATCTCATCCAAGAGTTATACGACAATCCTGCATGTCAAGTAATCCACAACACGAAACTCACGGAATCCTTCGAAGTGAGGATGGGAGTGAGACAAGACTGTCTATTATCGCCAATGATCTACCTGATTGTTCGAGCGATGCTGAGGATATCACTCGTACCTAATTCCCATGAAACTTCATGAACTCTCTTACAAACAACTGTCGCCGCGCCTGGGCAGCGATGATTCGAGATGTTCATGAAGCCGGCTCATCCTCCCGTAGGAGATAGCCGAAGTAAAGTAAAGTAAATTCCTGATTGCAGTAGATTGGATAATGTGACAGACAGAGGCGGGCAATGAGGAAACAGGCATAAAATGGACTCACACAAAGACAAACTTGGAGAATCTGGACTTCGCCGATGATATATGTCTGATTTCTCACAAACTGGAAGATATGCAAGTGAAAAGCAACAAGTTGGCAGAACAACCATCAAAGATAGGACTTCACTTCAGGTGAACATAGATAAAACAGGGGTGATGAAGATTCCTGGCCAACACCACCAGCAGCAACTACAACAGACGACAGTCAGCATAAATAGGAGGAATCTGAAAGAAACAACCTCTTTTACCTACCCACCTACCTACCTGGCAAGCATCATTTCAACTACAGGCGGACGGAACTGACGAGGATATCAAAGCAGCGAGGATCAGAAAAACAAGACAAGCTTTCATTACTCTCAAGTCTGTGTGGAGGTCAACAGCACCCAGCATCAAAAATAACATCCGGATTTTCAACTCCAATGTGTAGTTGAGTGCTACCCACTGTGCGGATCAGAGACTTGCACTGTGCGGCATAAAGAGCATCTCAAACAAACTTCAGACCTTCACTAACAGTTGTCTTCGCTGAATACACAAGATCAGAAAAGATCAGCAACAGGATGGGATCTCTGTCAATCAGCGAACCAACCCAGAAGGAACCGATTGTGAAACAAATAGGCAGGAAGAAACGGAGTTAGATGGATCGGCCATACTCTGAGGGAACCATCGAGTGAGTGACATCACTAGACAAGCCATTGCTCGAGTGGAACCCGATGGTATGGGAAGCGGCGAGTTGGTCGTCAGTGTGAGGGTGACTTGGAGGAAGTCATGTGAAGAGGAGATGAAAGCATGTGGACAGACTTGGAGCGGGGTGAAAAGTTGGCAGAAAATCGTAGGCAATGGAGACGCACTGCTGAAGCCCTATGTTCCTCTAGGAATTAATGTTCATAATAAAAAATAATCAGATTCTTCAAAAATGTACCAGGGAAATTTCTTTGTTAAAGAAATCAAACAGTTTAAGCTCTTCGATCACCGGACACCTGATAGACACAGAACACGGAGTAGACGCTCTGGGGGCAGTTAAAATAAGTAACAAACGGAATAGCTTAAGCCTCCTTTGGTTTTCTGAGTCTGTGGCAGTAAAACAGTTGGAACCTGACCTGACCTATGTATTCAAAGGGAATCTGTCGTTCGTCTTCAGTTACCCTGGTGACTCATCCCTTTGTTTTCTAATTTCATTAATTTACCTTTCCAAGTGCCACTCCCTTCTGCCTTGACCTTCTGGATTCTACTCGCCACATATTACATCATTACCATTTCATTTGACCTCTTCTTCAACAAATTTTCATCTTTTGTTATCTAACTGTTGTAATACTTCAGTTACCATATCATCTTGATGTTTTATCTCACAATATGCCTGTTGACAAACAAGATTATAGGTTGTACGCAGCTGATAAGAACCAATGAAATAATATGGAACCATGGTATTCTACACCAAGGTTTGTTCTTTCTTTGCTCAAACGATACATTTACTAATACCTGAGTTAATTTTAGTCTCTGTCTTACCTTGAGTTACTTCTGAAGTCAAACAGGCAGGATGGGCCCTTTCACCTTCGACTTCCACGATACATTTCATGGTGGTGGTGGGGGGGGTCGTTTTTTGTGCCTACACTATTACTCATTTTATAGTTGTTCTTTTTTACCTCAACACGAAAAATGTTATGCATACATGATATGACAGAAAGATCCCTTTTTAAATGTTGACGAATTGCGATTTTACTTTATAAGGATACTCATTGTTGACTTGAGTAGTGTTGGGAAATATTGACTGTGTTTAACCTTGTCAAGCTGTGATTAGTCGTTGGGAGGTGGCGGGATGAGAATAATTGGTAGTACGTTTATAAGTGTGTTTCAATAATTTTAATTGGTGAAACTTTATCTCTTCTTCGTCGATATGGTGTACACTTGTGAAGAAGAAGATGCAGCTGTCCAGTTTTCCCAGGTTTTCCAATCGGATTCTGTAACCGACGTCGGCTCATAAAGAAATCCTGTCTGTCTGGATTCAACATAGAAGTTGTCACCGAAGTGCATCAGTTCCAGTTGCCACGTTCCAAATATCACACAAAGTTTGACAAGAAGATGAGTGGGGAGAATTAATAGAGTTTGACAAATATAAGAGCGAAACAGAATGGGTAATGGTAGAAAGGAATATGAAAGATTACAGAGACTGACTACATCTGCGCTGGCCATTGACGACGATCACTTTGAGCCATGTCACCTATTGTCTCCAGCCATTGATTCCTAGAGTCCCGAGGGTCCGGAAGTCATAATCTCCTTCCCTACCTGACTCAGTTCAACTGTCAAGGATTTCATGGATTGATGAGGCCATGTTTTTGTTTGGCCACCACTTACTCTTTTCCAACCTGCACCTATATCAGCTAGCTAGTGATGCCCGTTGGTGGGGGGGAGGCGATGGTTAGGCATGCGCAGCACGTGACCTAGCCATCTCACTCATATCAAATCTTTGCGAACCAACATTTGAATATCAATCCTATGCTGCTTACTAGCAACTGGCCATATACAGGTAGGTAGTTGGTTACTTGAAGTTCTAGTGAGAAGTCGTGACCAGTGAGTGGGGTACAGCTGGTCGGGTATGAGGACAAATACTTGTCAGCGATGATATCCGGTTAGTACCAGTATCCCCATGTCGTCAATTGGCAGAAGTTGGAATTCATGGGTTATTGTATTAGGTCCCAATGGCTGAATGGTGGTATACTATCTGGCCTTGTAACCGAACTCTGGCATGGGATGTGTGCTGCTGAAGGGTCCCAAACTAGACAGACGAAACATCTATCCAGTACTCACTCCTTGATGGTTTCAGATAGTTCTCTAACTGATGCCACGCCATGATGAAATTGTGTAGGTAATCAAATCCGTGCAAACCAACATTTGAAGATGCAGTTAATTTTGTATTAGCTTGGAAATTCGTCTTTTGTGTGTTTTACTTTGTATGTTGGTATCTTTTGATATGATATGAACCACAGTGAAATCTTTTCATCACACATTGTTCTCCTTTCTGTGTGTATTCTAGTAATCACTATGGATACTATTGATAGTTATCTTGGCGATTTTCTGGAAAATGATGATGAGGATCAGGAGAATAATAGCAAAGTAAGTGTATAAAGCTTTTTATCCTTGATCAAATGGTTAATATTCATTTCTTAGGGGATTAGTTTTAATCGGTTACCATATTTTTCAGTTGCAAATATGATTCAAACCGTCAACTTCTTAAGTCTCCCCCCTGACATCAACGATCTGTTACGGTCAAGGTTGGGTTGATCCCAGTCTTCCTCTTGAAATTTCCTCTTATTTCCATGGTTTCATAGCCTTCGTCAAGTAAATCCTGTTCACTGCTCTCACGCAAAGGTTGGGGGTGTTCCTCACAAGAGTGAAAGGGTGAATTCAAACGTCTGTAGCTTAGAACCGTACTGGCAGTCATACAGGTCCACCTAGACGGTGGGAGACTGATTTAAAACCTGTAGTGTACATGATTCCAGAAATTGAATACCTAGGCGTCATTCTATCTGCTGATCTTTGCTGGTCGTCTCATATCTTGACGATTTCGAAGAAAATATTCCGTCTTACCTTCTAAATCAAGAAGTTAAGGCATTCTGGAATAACCCAACCCTTACTCCTACAACTCGCTAACTCTTGCATCCTGCCTATTATTCTCTATTGTTCCCCCTTAGTTTTTCCTGGGCTACTGAATAAAGACTATACCTTATTACGCAAGATGTTAAAGGTTGTCAGCAGGGTAAGCTAAGTGCCACTTAACCAGCTTGTTAATATTCTGGTTGACAGGCACTTGGACTCATGTGAAAAATGGGCTAAATCCATTTTATTTATCTAACTCACACCACCCTCTTCATTCACAACTCCCCCTTGTATCTCATCAGTCAGGTAGACCAGAAGCCTATATAGAAAACTATATGCTCGCACCAGCAAGTACAAAAACTCAACCATACCCTACTTAGCTCGTGTTCTGTGCGATAAAGAAAGCATTAGGCGTGAAACCTTTAACATATTAAGTAGTCAGTAGAACAACTGGATCTCGTCTTTCCAACTCATATCATTTATAGATACAACGTTTTTCTTTCTTTCTTTTCCTTTTCTCTTTTTTCTATTATGTGCAGCTTTGTTTCTTTCTTCTGCTTACGCCAGTAAACACGCTAGCATCTACTTTTCTAACACCTTCAAACACTCTGTTCACTTCTGGATTTGCTACCGACATGCTAATATGTTGTTGACAAAACTAACTTAGATTACCCTTAATCTGTGTAGAATTTTATTTTATTGTTAATTTACTAACTGGATGCAATGCTGTAGTAAAATGCTGAGAATTCCATTCTGTGTCACAAGTCCTGTTCTGGAATAAAGCTATTATCATTATCAAAAATCAAAACTAGTGATGATTCGGCGAAGAAACCCCATTTTCAACGGATTTATTACCTATCAACCTGTACAATCGTATATATATGGCTTTTTTTGAGAAATTATATCCGTTGAGGGAACTGAATCAAAGGTGTGTATGCATAAAATAATAATACTAATAGTAGTATGAAATGCAATTAAAACTAAAATGTTTGTGATTATAATCATAGTTAAATGTCAAGTGGCAAGTGGTGAAACAATTAATGTCATGTATAGAATAATTCATAGGATGTATAGATGCTGGGAGAGGTGTGCAATTATAAGATTAGTAGGGAAATTGAATAAAATAAAAACGTTACGTAACATTGTGTGAAATTTGATAACATACAGCTTAATGGAGGATTTCATCATGAGCTGACATCAATTAGGGAGCCACTGGAAAACCATGCAGTACCGGACAGCTGTTTCGTTCTAGTTTGGGTCTCTTCACCAGCACGCACCCACCGGGGTTCGAACCTAGGACCTTCTGGGTACAAGGCCAGTGAGGTCGTAGACTATTGAACCACTATTCCGCAATGTCTTCCAGTGATTCTCTAACGGATGTCAGCTCATGATGAAATCCTCCATGCGATCAAACAAGATCCCTACAAAACCAATACTTGAAAATACAATTTAATGTTGCATAACAGAATTGGTTTAGAATAACAAGTGGGACGAATGAAATTACATCGGGGAGAGTTCAAAGTGAGAATAGCGATAGTAACAATTGACATAATAATAGAAAAGTGTACAATTTCAATAAGCAAAACTCAACGAAAAATAAGTAAAGCCAAAATATGATTAGAGATTGCCATACTCTTTAGCAGTGAGGGATTAAGACGATGAAAGTTGGAACTTTTCTGTATACAGAGATCTGGCTTCTCTCTTTGTGATGGCCAAAACTTCAGCAATACAACAGATGAGTTGGGCACGTAGTGATTTGGGTAAATTACTTTTCGCCTTGTACATGACTTTAAAGGCATAGGCTATTAAGATAACGTGATCATTATCGAACGGATGTTCAATGATCACGCTTCTTATTGCTCCACTTCCACCTCTTCGCAACAACCATGCAAGGAGATAGTGTTCTTGCATCCTCTTGGACAAAACTCCAGTCGAACGACCGAGCTACTATACTCTACCACCTTAGTGTTCAAGTTTTTCTTTCTTATATCAGTGAGAGTTATACTACTGCTACAACTTTATTTAAGTAATGTATATATTTGGTGTTATTTTAAAAAAAATAGTTACAAAACATGAGATCTGGTGTAATATTTCTTGTTGATTGTACACCTACAATGCTTGGATTAACGAATAATAATGATAATAATAGTTCAATAAATTCATCTGGAACAACCACGTCGACACCAACGACGATGACAACAGAAAGCGGATTTAATTTAAGTTTGTTATGCTGTCAAACATTTCAACAAAATAAAGCCCTTCATAGTCCATTTGATATGATTGGTTTAGTATTAATGCGTACTGTAAGTGGATTATTTATTATTATTTTAAAACATTAATTAATTAATTAAATCATTATTTATTATTATTTTTTAATTGTCAGTATTTTAGTTATAATTAAAAAACAAAGGACATAGTTCAGCGAAGAGTCTCTTTTTTTCTCTTCGCTAGTGAATTCCTTCACTTAACTATACACTCGCAATTCACAGAATATGCACATTTGATCATTATTATTATTACTATATCCCTTAATTCCTAGAGGAACATAGGGCTTCAGCTGCTCGTCTCCATGCAAAGAAGAGACAGTAAACAGAGATATGAGGTAAAAGGAATAGTAATATCAAGGAACAATATAGTTTTGTTCGATAATTTAAGTCAAGAGAAGTGGCTGCATCTGCACCAGGCATTGATAACGAGGATTTTGAGCCAACCATATCAATAATTGTCTCCAGCCATCATTGGTGTTTACCGCCCTGAGGACTCCAACCACTCAGGAAGTCTACATCTTCATAAGTGGCCGGCGTAAACTAACTGTTGTCGATATCATTGACTGATGAGGCCATGCTTTAGTTTGACCACCACTGGCTCATTTCCAGGCTGACCCTATGTCATCTGAAATCGCCCGTCGAGGAAGGCTATCAATGGCTAGACATGTGTGCGTAACACATGTCCTAACCATCTCAGTCGATCTAGCTTCACAGCCTCGTCGATTGATTGAAATGTAGAAATAACAAAAATAGAGAGGATGTTTGGATAAAAAATTTAGTGGGATCATAACGAATGTGACGAATAATTGTCTATGCAATCAGAGATTAAATATGTAGAAATAATAAAATGACAAACCAGACAGGAAATTCGGACATGGAAATATGGTAGTGTAAATAGTGGAGGGATTAAGAAAAACTTAAAAATAACATAAACACACATGAAGTTTGGATAAGAAAGGCAATGGGATAGTGACTATTAAAAGAATTACCTATTTATGATGGCCACGGCAAGGAGAAGAGTTGGTGGTATTTCGTTTGGATACATCGTGTGGGTTTGAGCTTTTGGATGGCTAGTGCCTCGGCTATGCCCAGGGGTTTTCATTTTACTCCCTTTGATGGGTTTGATCTAATCTTGTAAATTATTTTGAAGGATTTTCAAATGGCGCTGAATGTCCTGAATTGGCGAGATGTTCTGTCACTGAGCTTTATACGCATTTTCGTTCTCCTTTTGCTAGTCAGGCTGGATATTGTTCAGGAGAGCGTTTTTCAAGTTGGCGGATGGTACAGCCGACGTACTCAGCTCCGCAGGACCAAGTAAACTGGTATATATGTACGTTAAACTGACCCAATGCGACAGCTTTTGTTTCGCGTTCTGGATGGACAGTTTCTTGCAGGAAAACGTCAGTCGTAGTCTTGTAGCAAAGTATGTTTTCCTCAGATGTCTGCAGAGCCATTTACGAAGGATTTCTGCTTCAATGTCACCTTTGAATTCTAGAATAAGCAGTAGTATCTTCTTCGGGACGGATTGAACTTGTTCGGAAGTCTTCTTTGGTTTGAGATTCTTGTCTATGAACCTCGGCGGAAAACAGTTTTCCATCACGGTTTCTCGGATATTAGTCAGTTCTTCATCAATCACGTCCTCGCTGCATATCTTCCGAATCTTCGAGGAAAGAGTGCATGTAAGGTCCAGTCATTGTAGTCTTTTTGTATATAGACCTTTACAAAGAGTTGTCGGTGTTTCTTGTGAGATAGATGTCAAGGAAGTGGAACATTCCATCGGATTCAGCTTCAGAAGTAAAGTCAGTGTTTTGGCGGGCATTATTGAAACTTGGGCACTGTGGTAGAGTATAAGTCCACTATGGGTGTGTGATTTATTGAAATAAAATCTTATCCATAATGGGCATTATTGAAGGTTTGAAGTAAGTTTTCAAGGTCCAGGTTCTCATCCCAAATGATGAAACTATCATCAATGTATCTCTTGTAGACATGGAGGTCGTCAATAGCTGATGACAAGAAGTTGTCTCCGAGGCTGGCCATAAAACAGTCGGCTGCAATTATGTATATGGTGAAGTTAAAATATCATAGTTAAAATCCAGGTCTTTCAAAAGTTGACCTTCAAAAAGCGATCATTTACAGGGAATGCTATGAAATGTCACTCCAGATGAAATCATATCTGTCTTTTTGAACCTGTAGAGGGTGGACACAGTATTCTACTTATTTACTGGGTACTTTTTCCGAAAAATCGATACTGTTAGGTGGAATTGTGGCTTTTAAGATCAAGGTTAAGTTCAGGGTCAAATTTAGGATTACGGTGAGAATTAGGTGTAGGTTGAAGAATAGTATCAGAAATATTAATGGATCTCATTCTACCATGCCACCTACAGTCACCTGGATGAATGGAATATATATCGCGCTTGGTGGGACTTCTCTATAGATGATCTGTGTGTAGTGACTGGGAGACATTCTTGCAGCACATATAAGCTACAACTATACAGTGTCATGTCATGTTTGCAATGGTTTTTCAGTGTATTTTTCGACGATTATGCGACTTTCTTCTGCCTGAATTCTGATTGGTTGGTTGTTCAGTGTCACTGTGGTTTTGGCTATGATAGTTTTCAGATTTTCCCATCGGTGGATTGGACCGAAGTGCTCGGTCTATGGTTGACATGTCGGCTTCTTGTGCAAATGCTTCGACAATGTCTGGGCATGTAATTAGAAGTCGAATGGTTAATAGGATTCCACTGCTGATCACCATCCACCAATTAACTTCGAATTACATGTCTAGACATCGTCGAAGCATCTTCACAAGAAGCCGATATGTCAAGCTGAGACCGAGGACTTCGGTCCAGTCGACCGAAGGGAAAATCTAAATTTGGATTAAATAATTAACATGACCCGTTGCACAAGAGTTGGTTCTCGTGGCCTAAGTGGTCTAGTGAATAACGCTTTGAAGTTTGAAACTGTGGGCACTGAGTTCGAGCCTCATTGGGGAATGCAGGTATATCCGGATGACGAGTCCCAAATAGGACGAAATGTGCGTTGTCCTGGATTCGGCTTCTAGTCACCATCCAACAATTAAGTCTGCCATATGTACTTAACATTGTATGTGTGTGTGTGCATTAGCTTTGTCCGATAAAAATCAAAATAAGTCAGGGTTATTGTTATGAATACATTTGAAAAATCCGATGAATAATGAAATTGTAACCAGGGTGATATGTTGTAGTGATATGTTTTCAAAATACATGTATTTTGAAGTTATAGAGAAGATTTGTAGCTAAGGTGAATGATTTGCAATTAGTTGTGTTCTCTGAGGAGCTGGTTGGTTTAATTGAGGAGCTCATGTCGTCCTTCTGGACAATATCTTCCTTCAGTGCAAGTTTTAGCAGAGAATTCCTAGAAACCCGGTACTCAAACGAATATGCACTTAACAAATACGTTAATATAGACCAAATCTAACAACTAATACGAAGTAAATCATGTGAGGAGAAAGTTTAAAATCCAAGTCAATAAAAGTATGATCAATACAGATGTAAACATGGTTTACCGGGAGACGCAATTCTATCACTCATGGAGAATTTATATCAGTTCACTTTCTGCTAAAACTAGCGCTGAACATGTTGCTCAGAAGAATGACGAAAGCTCCGCAATTAAATCAACCAGCTCCTCAGAGAACACAACTAATTGCAAACACATATTTTTTATTTACACATAAAAGAAGTCGAGTAAGCGTAATGGAGTTACGTAATAAGATGAATAGTTTATTAAGCGAGTTGTGATTAGAATGCGTATAAAAACGAAAGAAAATATGGCATTATATAAGAATTCTAAAAATCACAAATTTTATAAAGAGTTAGAAAATAAAAATACAAACGATTGATGGATGGTGGCTAGCCGTGGAATCCAGGATGCACATTTCGTCCTATTTGGGACTCGTCAGCTGGATGTACCTGCATTTCTCAGTGAGTGATGATGTTCCCACCGAGGCTCGAACCCAGTACCCATAGTTTCAAACGCCAAAGCGTTATCCACTAGACCACTTCAGGTGGCTCTCGTGGCCCAAGTGGTCTAGTGGATAACGCTTTGGCGTTTGAAACTATGGGTACTGGGTTCGAGCCTCGGTGGGAACATCATCACTCACTGAGAAATGCAGGTACATCCAGCTGATGAGTCCCAAATAGGACGAAATGTGCATCCTGGATTCCACTGCTAGCCACCATCCACCAATTGTATACTAACTAAATGCCCGGACATCGTCGAAGTATCTGCACAAGAAGCCGACATGTTAACCTGAGACCGAGCACTTCGGTCCAATCAATCGACGGGAAAATCAAGAATTCAATTCATTAAAAAATACAAACCGTTGTTATTATGGTAATAGGAGTGGTTATATACATAACTCTGGTTTCTCCGACTAAGTGGCTAAGACTTCAGTAATACAAAAGAGACGAAAGCTTATTGTCTTTGGTAGATTGTTCTTCACTTTGAAGAAGGCATTCTCTGAGACGCAATGAACTGTGATTGACGAGATGTTCAATTATCACACTTCTTATACAACCACTATTACCTCTTTCTGTAGCCACGAGGGACGGGATATGCGTCGAACGACCACTAATATCTGGCTCCACAGCAAGAGGTGAACCGATATATGCTCATAGAAGTGACCAAATGCGGGATCTTGTCCTTTTAAGGCTTTTGTAGATCAAAAGTCAACTGGAGAACACTATTCTTCGCACTACTGCGAAGAATGCTCTTTTCAAAGATGCTAAAATTCTTCTCTTCAGTGAGGGAGGATATCGTAAACTGACTCTTCCCTGAAATCCAAATTCATGTAAAGTATCTTTTTTGAAACAAGTTATGTTTCGTTCCTTTGAACCTTTCGGTTTGATATTCTTTTCGATGAATATCTGGGGCTTTTCCAATGTTGGTTTGGTCAAAATATTATCCCAGTTGCGTTTATTATTCATATAATTATTGCAACAATCAACCAGAGTTGACTTAAGTCATTCAACGTCTTTAGTTAATGAGGGTATTAATCCTTCGGTTTAAGTATAAAGACTTTCACACTGAACTTGTGCATCCATTTTATTAAATCTAATATGGCTATAACAAAACTTAGGGTCAAGAAATAAAACTTGCAGATCGAATTCATCAAGGACTATATTCGCAAAGTTATAGCCATAACGACTTGAGTTCAACGGAAATCTTGTTTCAGGTGTGTCTTCTGATTCAGAAAAATAAATCGACTAAGTAAGCTTATATACATAAACTTATCAAACATTTCCGATAATTTCCTCTTCTGGCTCTACGATTATATATACATATTTGTATACACAGAATATTCTAGAATAATCGTCATGAAGAATATTGGTGTGTTTTTTAAATAATATCGATTTGTTTAGTTAGATCACAGTGGAATTATAGTTCAAGAAAGACGCTTAAGTTACAATAAGCATAAAAATGTCATAGCAAATAGAATATCAAATAAAACTAAAGAAATTTCCATGACAAATTGAGGATCATGAAAACCTTGATTGAGGGTCAAGGTGAAGACAGTGTCTGAACCAGATTCTTTTGGTTACATAAGTTAGGTTTCAGCCTCAGCAATATGTGGTAGACGAATTCTTTAGAAGACAAAGTTAAGATTAGCTATCTGGTATGCACGGTAGATGACTTTGAAAGTCGTCTGGTTAACATCAATTTTGTGTTCTGTTTCTACAAAATGGGAAAAAAATTGAGCTGAGAATAGATTTTGTTTTACCTTTACTTCACCACTATGCTGGGTGATATTCAGAAATCTGACAATAAACACGCCTAACTGTGTGGCCTATGTAACTGGCCATATATATAATTGTAGAGCTAGAAAAGGAAATTCTTTGTTCAATTTTTAAAAAAATTTTTTCCCCAGCTTTTTGAATGAATATTTTTCTTATTAAAACTTATTGAAATTCAATTCACACTGATACACAAGATGATTGATGCACTTTCGTTTTCCTTTCTTCTACTTTTTTATGTCTCTGCCTTTTCTACAGAATGAATCATCACCTGATATGAAAAACATTATGGTCTTACAGGTTTGTCGGTCGATTTTCTCCCCATTTTTCTAAATTTAATCATGATCTCTGTTAGGTTTGATCTTTTAAAAACGAAAATGTCAGTTCTGTATGTATCGGTATTTTCATAGGCGAAGGTAATGCTGTAATTGAACTGATCTGAGTAGATCCGTTGCTACTTTGTCATGTCTGCGCCTGTTAATTACTACAACGGTAGTGAAGTCGGCTGGTACGCGCTAATACGTCAATTTGTCCGTTGTACCTTCCGATTCACTGAGCCAGGCAAATATCAAAAGACAAAGGTTGGCTGGCCTGTGACTGTAAGATATTGTATTATGTACATCACTTAGGTTACAAGACATCATATTTATACATTTTTTTTAAACCGTAATAAAGTCGGCTGACAATCGTGAGCCGAATTATTGGCTGGAAATGGTTATTCTCATTGGTTGGGGGCGATCCGATAAAGACCGAGGTGAGACAGTAGACGATGAGGAAAAAGAACAAGAAATTCACCAAAGATATCTGTCTTTTTGGCGATTTCATTCTCAAAGTCATTTGTACAATCGCATTTATATACAGAAGTTTACATAGATACAATTATTATTTAGTATACAATTGGTGGATGGTGGCTAGCAGTGGAATCCAGGATGCGCATTTCGTCCTATTTGGGACTCGTCAGCTGGATGTACCTGCATTTCTCAGTGAGTGATGATGTTCCGACTGAGGCTCGAACCCAGTGCCCATAGTTTCAAACGCCAAAGCGTTATCCACTAGACCACTTGGGCCACGAGAGCCACCTCCTGTGCAATGGGTCATATTAATTATTGAATTGAATTTTTGATTTTCCCGTCGATTGTTTGGACCGAAGTGCTCGGTCTCAGGTTGACATGTCGGCTTCTTGTGCAGATGCTTCGACGATGTCTGGGCATTTGATTAGTATATAATTGGTGGATGGTGGCTAGCAGTGGAATCCAGGATGCACATTTCGTCCTATTTGGGACTCGTCAGCTGAATGTACCTGCATTTCTCAGTGAGTGATGATGTTCCCACCGAAGCTCGAACCCAGTACCATCCACCAATTGTATACTAATCAAATGCCCAGACATCTCCGAAGCATCTGCACAGGAAGCCGACATGTCAACCTGAGACCGAGCACTTAGGTCCAAACAATCGACGGGAAAATCAAAAATTCAATTCAACAATTATTATTTATTCATTTAATTCCACATAGTAACGAAGGTGATAATAATTTTCAACTTGATATGAAAGTTTGAAGGTACGAATATATAGATTACAAGAGTCTTAGAGGCAAGATTACATAGGATTAGAAAATAGTTACAACGTATGCAAAAAATTAATATTTAATGACTGGAGAAATAACAGTTTTAAAGGCGAATAAAAGGTGACAATTAATTATTTTCAACTTGATATGAATTACAAGAGGCTTAGAAATAAAAGTTAGACAGGGATAGGTGTGAACAAAATGAGCATGGAAACAAATTGAAATCAAAATTTTCAACTTGAAATGTAAGTTAGGAGGTGTAAATATAAATTACAAGAGGCATCGAAAAAAAAATTACACAAGATTAGAAAATAATTGTAAAATGGTCTTTCTAAACAGTACAGCAGGCTAGCATGATAAGGAGACCTCCTTTACGACTGATAGGTATCCAACTATAGACGTTTGTAAGTTGACCATTCCATGTTGGTTTTCTATGGATAGATCTTTTCAGAGTTCCGCTATCTCTTCTTGTCAATTCAACATCCAGGAATGGAATCTTTGATCCATTTTCAACTTCCATTGTGAATTTAATTGAAGGATGACAGTTATTAAACTCATGAAAGATACAATTTAAATCGGAATCATCCTGACTAACTATACTGGTGTCATCGACGTATCTTTTGTACAGCAGCAGTTTGTCCATTGTTAATTTTAAGATGCCAAAAGTGGGCCAAGGAGGGAGCTCATAGCAATCCCATCTTTCTGTCTGTAGATGACGTCGTTGAGTGTAAATTGTACGTTGAGTGTGTGTGAGTAAACTGTACTCAAAACGTGGTCATCAGTAAATATTACTGTATAACTGTACTGTGAGACTTTATCAAAATAAACGTTATCCACAATAGAATTATTCTCTACCAACACAGGGATTCTGCCACATTTAGATAATGCTATTCATCAATTTTATAATGAAACAATTTGAAATTCATAGTTGTACTTCTTGCAAGCCTGTAACATATCAGAAGCGAATTAACTAAATCAAATGCCTATTTCGTTGGTGGTCGTCAATCTTCAATGTACTCAACAAATGTAGTATTCAGAACTTGAAATTTTATTTGTGTGGTAATGGTTAGCATTGGAAGAGTTAGGAGTTATCATATACATATCTCTACCTGTACTTGACACATCCTATTTTCATTTGAAGGATCACATGAAGATGCTTGGTACAGCCGTCATAGTCTTTTCTACCTTCAACCATGTGCATTCTGGGACAGATAAAAACGACCAATGGGTGTTTGAGAACATATCACCAAAGAGTTATTATATCGTTGATGCAATCAATTCTCGAGATATCACGATCATTTTGATTGGAAACTAGTTAGTAACTGGTGTAAAGTGTGTCTAGTCCTCTGTTTAGTGCAGACTGAATTCTATCAGTCAGATTTACAATGTGGCTACCATTCTAGGTGGCTCACCATCACGGTACACTTGCCTGACCAAGGTTTCGTCCTAGTTGACACTTATAAATCCGCAATGCCTACCTGCAAACCTTGAAGGGGTTCACGTCTCTCCTGACATTTCAACCCGCGTCACCCAAAGAATATTGCAGTCAGAGACGTATCACTGAGCTATTCGGGCTGGCTAGCGATTGACTTCCTGTAGGACTGTAAAGCTTACTTATGATTGGACACTAGTTAGTAACCAGTGTAATGTGTTTAGTCCATCTTCGCGATTGCCTCCAAACATTTAATGTTAAGAATATCGACATCATAATGATTCGGAACCCCCCTCCGTTCAACATTTTAAAATCTCTAATCTAGGGTATTACCTCAAATTTGAATCAGTTTATCACTTGTTCATCTATCTATCTATCTATCTAATAATAATAATAATAATAATAATTTGCTTTATTCCAAACCAGTACTTGTGATACAGAATGAAATTCTCAGCATTTTACTACAGTATTGCACATCCAGTTTGTACATTAACAATAAATAAAATTATACATCCTGCGTGGTTAGGCAAAACACAAATACAATCTATTCATAGCTCTATTCTATCCCATTTTGTAGATACATAACACAAGATTGATGTTAACGAGGCGACTTTCAAAGTCATCTACCTCATATCAACCAATCATGACTTTACCTTAAGACTTCGTCTACTACATATTGATTGGACTGGCTGTTGGGATCGACACTAAGAAGCCTAACTCATGTATCCAAAAGAAGCTTGTTCACACACTATCCTTGGCCCTCAATCAAGGTTTTAATGATTGATCCTCAATTTGTTGTGGAAATTTCCTTAGTTTCATTTGATATTCTTTTTGCTGTTACATTTTTATGCTCATTATAACTTGAGCGTCTTTCTTGAATTGTTATTCCACTGTAACCTTAGTTAAAAAATCGATAGTACTTTGTTTGGACACTAGTTACCAGTGTAATGTGTCTAGGCTTTTGTTTTGGTGCAGACTAAATTCTATCAGTCAATCAAGTTTGTTATTTGCTGACGAGTGCCAGCTCGCACGAAACCTAGATCCGGCAAGGCTTCCTGCTGACTGCCTCCAACCATCGAATGTCATCAAATCAATAGGGTTTTTAAAAAAAAACACCAATATTGTTATTGACTACTATTCTAGAATATTCTGTGTATTTAAATATGTAGAGCCAGAAGGGAAAATTATCGAAAGGGAGATTTTCTTTGCTCAATTTTGTTTTTCTAATTGTCAGCATTTATGGCTGTTGAAATTTCTCATCGGTGGTTAATTTACCATTCCCCATCGTCTGCTTGTTCTTCTGCTTCTCCTTCCCTTTTAGCCTTTAGGTCTAGCTGATGCTACGCGTATATTAGAGATTGAACGAATAAGACAGTTGAAACCAGAAGAATTAGAAAAACGTTTTGGTACAATCGTCGGTCAGACTAATAATACCACTACAGCCTTTCCTTTACATGAGGCATTATGGGCATGTCAAAATTTATTCATCACATGGTATGTTATCTGTTTATATAAAGGGTGGGTGGTGTTTATGTTCTACTTGCTGAGCTGAGTAGTTTTGATTGTAGAGCTGTCATTCTCCTCCTAGGCAATTTGTCTTCAACTATTTTACCTCAAATTCATTGACTTAAACATTTTTGACCTTGAAATCATTTCGAAACTGCTTCATTCCTATAGCTGGGCACCCATTGGTTGAAAACGAAACCTGGTCCGGTCGATTGCCACTTACATTCGGCGAATATGTAGCCCTGATACTCTGGAGGATGAGGGAATTCCTTTGAGGAAAATCCTAATAGAAAATGGATTTCCACCGCATTTTATAGACAAGAATATACATTCACATCCTATAAAACATGACTTATCACACGCATCCAAGAAAATCTGTAAATGAGCTTGGAATTCAAAGGGGACTTAGCTTCCGTTATCATGAAAAGAAGGATATCACACAGTCCCTGAAAAGAACATTCCCTGCTGCATCTCTGAGAATAGCCTTTACTAGTCGACCATTACTGTGCAATAACCTGCTGGAGGACAAGACCCCGCTGTTGACCTACTCTATGTGTGTGTTTATCAATTCACTTGCTCGTGTGGAGCTAAATATATCGGTCGTTCGACTCGAGGTTTGTCCAAGAAGGTGAAAGAACACTATCCTGCACAACTGTTACGAAGAGGTAGGGGTGGAGCAAAAAGAAGCGCGATCATTGAACATCTCGTCGATAATGATCACGCTATCTCTATAGCCTCCGCCTTTAAAGTCATCTACAAGGCGAAACGTAATTTACTCAAATCACTACGTGCCCGACTCATCTGCCGTGTTGCTGAAGCTTTGACCATCGAAACAGAAAAGCCAGATCTCTGTATACCGAAAAGGTTTGTTCAACCCCTCCAACTTTCATGGTCTTAATCTCTCTATGCTAAGATATGGTAATCCCCAATCATATTTTAGCTCTACCAATTTTTCATTTTTTTCATTCTGTCTATTCAATTTGTTCACTTTTCCTTTATTACGTCAATTGTTACTATTGCTACTCTCACTTTGAACTGTCCCCAGTGTAATTTCACTCGTTCTGCTTTTCATTCTAAATCGATGCTATTTTTACAACGGTAAATTCTATGCTATCGAATTCCACACAATATTACGTAACGTTTTTATTTTATTCGACTGGTCTACTAATCCAACAATTACACACCTCTTTTTCAAGTTCTATCCATCTTATGAATTATTCTATCTATATATGACATTAATTTGCTTTGCCACTTGACATTTACCTATGAGTATAATCACAAACATTTTAGTTTTAATTGAATTTCATACTACTATTAGTATTATTACTTTATGCATAGACACCTTTGATTCAGTTCCCTCACCGGATATAATCACTTTTTAAAAAAGCCGTATATATATACGATTGTACAGGTTGATAGGTAATAAATTCGTTGAAAGTGGGGTTTCTTCATTGCATCATGACTAGTTTTGATTTTCTAGAATGTTATGTCACAAATCTTTATAAAAATCAATAAACAGTTATGTGATGATGATGCCACATGCCACAAGTGATTCACAACGGATAGTCTTTGAACTGAAGATAGGAGGAAGGTGTGGCTGCCTATTATTACCAACTGTATTTCATCATTGTGATGAACTGGATGATGCGGCAGGTCATGGTTGAGTAATAAGACGAGTATATGTTGAATCGAACAGAACACCTGAGAATCTAGACTCTGTGAATGATTTATATCTAATGTCATCACACAGACTTCAAGATCTACAGATGACAAGTAACAAAATGGCAGAGGTGGCGGTCAGAGAGGGCAGGATTTCAGGTGAGCATAAAGAAAACAATGGTGACCATCAACAATAAACGTTAATCACCATCAATAGGGGGAATCTAAAAGAGGTCACCTGTGCGATGGTTTCAACTTGAATCAGCACTCACGAGGACATCAAAATGAGTGTCAAATCAGAGTTGGTACATGCTTCAGAGACCTGGTATTTCCAACTGGTAATTGAAGACTTTCACCAACATCTGCTTTCGTTCAGAACTGAAGATTAAATGGGCAGTTGGAAAGGATAAAGCGCTATGAACTCTGGTGACAAACCAAAGAGGAACCTGTGGAAGGCAAGGGAGATGTTTTGAACATACTCTCAGGAGACCATTAAGTGGTATCAGGTGCGCCAAGTCGTCGAATAGATGTCATAATTGGACGTCTTATGGTGACATGGAGGAGACTGTGTGAAGAGGCAGTGAAAGCTTATGGACAATTTTGCGGAGTCATCATTATCAAAACGAATCTTTTCAACTCTGTCCTGTTTCCCTTCCTAAATCGGATCATGTTATTGATGCTTATTATTGTTGTGGTGAACTGGATTATGCGTGAGACTATTCGTCGGGAGTGAGGAGACAGGAATACACCGCACTGATGAGAACACTCTAGAACATTTGGATTTTGCGTATGATTTATGTCTAATGTCATGCAAACTCGAAGACTTGAAGGCTGGACTTCAGGTAAACCTACAGAAGACAGAGGTGATGAAGATAACCAACCGATAGCAACAACAACAACCGGTGCCAATCACCATCAACACGGGAGAGATTTGACAGAGGCTACTTCTATCACTTATATAGGAAACACAGTTTCAACCACAGACCGGCAGAACGGATGAAGGTATCAAAGCCAGGTGGAATAGGAAAGGTGAGATACACTTTCATCAACCTGGCAGCAGTTTGGAAATCTTCTGGACACCGATGTCAAGTCAGTCAGCTCTTCTATATGGGTCAGATATTTTTGTGTCGAACTCCTTCGCTAATATGTAGTGAATTGCAGGATGGTAGCTCTCGAGAAATTCCAAGATATTCTCCAAATTCTCCTCCTTATTGGAGATAATGAAAGTACCGTCCACCTATCTCTTGTAAAACCCGAAGCTGGCAATCATTTTCGTTAAGTATGTGTTTTCTAGCTTTTGACATGAAGAAATCTTCAAGCAACGAGCCTAGTGGTGTGTCCATAGTGATACCATCTTTCTTTAATCGATATATTTCATTACTGAAAAGAGAATTGGACACTTAGATTGTATGTTGACACCTCTTTGCTGAACGTCTTTTCTGTTACTTTTGTCTAGGGAATTTCTTTTTGTCAATGGAATTGTATGCATAAAACGAGACATCCTGGCAACACTTTTTCGATTTTTCTGGCCTGTTTCCACTGAGATTCTCAGATGGAGGGGAGGTATATATTTCGCGTAAAAATTAATCTATACGAGCCACTAAAGAATGTGTTGATGGCACAGGAGCAGAATTCTCGCCAACCACGCCTCATTTGGTCCGGTGTTCAATCCCCTGGCCAACGCACTCCTTTACCTCTCTAAGACTGATAAAGAGGGAAGGTTGGGCATGAGGCTTGCAACCCCTGCTCGTAAAAATAAATATCACTCCTACAGAAAATTAAAGCCTGTAGATTGAAGGTGCCCTATGTTCCACTGGGAACGTAAAGGAGAACCACTAAAGAAGACAGTACATCTCTTTCAAGTATCATTTTGAAGAGATATGTCTGATTTCAAGCTTCAATGCAGATTGATGTTAGATAGTGGGTCATTGAAAACTAGCATGGCGTACTGGCCAGCTGTATAGTATATACCCTTGAAACCACCGTGGATCGAACCCAGAGGCTGGCTACAACACGAAGTAGTCTCTGTTTCCAGTGATAAATTGCAGGCTAGTCCACCAGGTGGAATGTGACGAATAATCACTCCTCGAGGACACTGACCACAAATTGGCGAAAATTTAAATTCATAGAGCATCTAAATGGCTCAATGGTATACGAGCTGGCAATGGGTGTGAACTGCTGCTGAAGAGTCTAAAATAAGGACTCTCAGTGGTACTGTCACTGATATCAAACAATCAATAAATATCATCGTTATAACATACTGTAAGGGTTTAACATTTAAAACATCTATTCGCAAAATATCACTTTTTCATAAGAAAGAATTATCATGACTCTGAGAGTCCGTTTTTCTTACCTCATTAAATAAGACATCTTGCTTGAATCGGTTATTCATCCTTATGTTATTTCTTTCTATCTCTGAGCTATATTAAACAAAAAGCGCTTTAAACAGTCTCCATTTAGAGTGTTGATTTGTGTTCGCATAGAGTAGTTAGTACTAACCTACTACTCATAATAATAATAATTGTTTCATCTACTCCTCTCTTATATTTTAGTTCAAAATCATTTGGTATTAAGCATATCTTTCTGTTTACTGATGATCCTGATCCAGTGAATAGAAATGTTAATCTTAAAGTAAGTTCATGGAGTAGAGTGTGTGTGTAGATGTGTGTAGATGTATAGAAGACATACATTGCTGTAATTTGTATTTTACACTTGCCTTAAATAACTAACTAAAATTTGATTGGTTTGAGTTTGGTTTCAGTCAAGCCGAGTACTCTGATGGTGGTGGTGGTGGTGAGCTGATGAGTGAGTGCTCTGCCAGTATTTGTGTTACTAAGAGACCACTCCAACAGTTATACGACAATGCTGCATACCAGCCAAGTAATCCACAATGGGAAACTTACGGAATCCTTCGAAGTGAGAACGAGAGTGAGGCAAGGCTGTCTACTATCGCCAATGATCTTCCTGATTGAAGTAGATAGGATAACGCGACAAACAACGGGCAGTGAGGAAACAGGCATAAAATGGACTCACACAAAAAGTAACTTGGAGGATCTGGACTTCTCCAATGTGACATATATGTCTGATTTCTCACAAAGTAGAAGATATGCAAGTGAAAAGCAACAAGTTGGCAGAACAAGCATCCAGAGGTGATAGGACTTCAAGTGAACATAGATAAAACAGAGGTGATAAAAATTCCTGGTCAACACCAACAGCAACAACAACAGACAACAATCAGCACAAATGGGAGAAGTCTGAAAGAAGCAACTTCCTTCACCAACCGACCAGGAAAGCATCGTTTCAACTACAGGCATACGAAACTGACGAGGATGTCAAAGCCAGAATCGGAAAAGTAAGACAAGCTTTCATTACTCTTAAGTCTGTGTGGAGGTCAACAGCACTCAGCATGAAAAATAAGATCCGGATTTTCAACTCCAATGTCAAGTCAGTCAGTGCTACTGATTATACGGATCAGAGACTTGCCTAGCGCGTCATAAAGAGCATCTCAAACAAACTACAGACCTTCATTAACAGTTGTCTTCACTCAATACACAAGATCAGAAAAGATCAGCAACAGGATGGGATCTCTGGCAATCAGCGAACCAACCCAGAAGGAACCGATTGTGAAACAAATAGGCAGAAAGAAATGGAGATGGATTGGCTGGCTATACGCTGAGGAAACCATCAAGTGACATCACACGTCAGGCCATGGCTCTAGTGAAACCCGAAAGGGAAGTGGCGAGTTGGTGGTCAGTGCAAGGGTGACTTGGAGGAGATCATGTGAAGAGGAGATGAAAGCATGTGGGCAGACTTGGAGCGGGGTCAAAAAGTTGACAGAAAACCGAGGGCAGTGGGGACGCGCAGCTGAAGCCCTATGTTCCTCTAGGAATTAAAAGAAATAAAAATAATAATAAATAATAATCACTCACATTTCCCCACAACTGGAAGGATGTGACAGAGCTAGAGTAATACAACCACTTGATGGCGTGAATGTAGGTGAAAGGTACAGTGAGGTTTAAACCGATGACTTAGTGGTTAGAAGTTGCACGTCTAAAGCTGAGATCTCAATGGAAAGCACTGCTACTTGATATGGCTACTTGCCTACTACTACTCATATCAATCATTCAGTAGTATGCACCAGTTATTTGATAATATTGTTATCATCAGTTGTTTATATGGTATCTGTAAAATGAGTAAATTAATTAGATCACTTATGAAAGAGATTGTCAATATTTTTGTCAAATATCCAGGTCGCGAAGATCCTGGAGGATTAAGCCTGACACAGAATGCTACGCACTGACTACGAACTGACGGATAAAAACAGAAAGCGGTTGGACGACAGAGATTGTTTATTCTTCAAGCGATAATAAAGGATAGTTTTAATGTTTAATCAGTGCCAAAGCCTGTAAATGAACGTTTTTATCATATACAACAATACTTCTGATCGTATTTCTCCAATATTCGGTTAACCAGTATACGATTATCTAATGATAGCCTTCTTGCGCCCGCCAGTATTATGGAGATCAGTTCGAATAAACAAACGATTCAATATTCACCAGCATTATCAACTTCCTTATTCAGTATATTGAATATATATTATCCAGTTGACCAATAACACTGCCAACTGGCCACTCCAGTGGAGTTGCATTCAAACCAGTAACCTATTTTTTTCAACGTGAAAGTGCTGAAGGGATTCAGATGTATAGTTTCAGTGTGATTATAGGTTGAATGATGTGAGTTATAAGGGAAATAGTTATTCAGTATAACTGAGGATTAATCACAGTTAAAGACAATCCATGTGTGTAATTTCAACAGTTAACCTTGTCTTCCGTGGAAATTACTCAGTGAATGAACCGCGTTCACTCACTCGATACTTACTTTACTTTACTTTACTTCGGCTATCTCCTACGGGAGGATGAGCCGGCTTCATGAACGTCTCGAATCATCGCTGCCCAGGCGCGGCAATTTGTAAGAGAGTTCATGAAGTTTCATGGGAATTTGGTACGAGTGATGTCCCCAGCATCGCTCGGCCTTTTGTTTGAGAGTGCAGCTCTAGCCTTTACACAGCCAAGTGTGACCTACAAGGCAGTAGGAGTGGAGTAAGGAGTCCACTATCCATTGGCAGCCGGTGACCGGAGTTCGGTTCATACGCCTTTTTGAATGGGGCCAGACATCCAGGACATCCAACAAGCCCTTTGTCCATACGTCTGCCGGTGAGCTCCAGTGAGCTTCATACGCCAGTCGTTGGAGGTTTGGAATCAGGGTTTAGCCATCTCCCCTAGACTGTCATCCAATGGACAGTCAACCCGGTGGAGAGCGCCGGGCATCCGCTTTCGCCCTCTCACTTTGGTGAGAAACACCTCCGCCACGTGAAGGCAGTGAGTAGGACTTCCTCAGGAGAGGCTATGTAAGACGCCCGGTCATATGGGAGCATTTCAAGAGGTGTGCGGAGGGGTGGCCAACTCGCAGCGCAAGGCACCCACCCCCGACCATCCTGAGGCTTTGGAGGCTCGATCAGAGTATATGAGTCGGTGATTGGTAATTTGCTCGGATTTAGAATTTAACATTCTATGTTATTGTGATCTTAGGATTTTCTGTCAATTTAGAACAGTTTCCTGAGGTTTTAAACAAATTTGATTGGTTTGTCTGTGTAACGGGAGAAATTTGAAAGAGGTGACCTCCTTCACTTATCTAGGAGGCATCGTTTCATTCACATCCAGCAGGATGGATGAAGATATCAAAGCTAGCCAGCCAGAATTGGAAAGGCAAGACAGATATTCATCACTTTGAAATCGGTTTGGAATTCTTCCTCATTCAGTCAGCATAAAGAACAAGATTTGGATTTTCGACAAAAATTTGTGGTTGGTCCTTCTATACGGGTCAGAAACGTTCACTGCGCGTCAGCAAAAAGATCTCCAGTGGGTCATTGCAGACTTTTATCAACAACTGCCTTCTCTAGTCAGAATACTGACGATCAAATGACCGGAAAGAATTGGCAACAAGAAACTGTGGCTGGCGATGAATTAACTCAGAACGAATTGCTCAACAAATATTCCGACGTAAATGGAAATAGTTAGGGCACACGCCACTGAGGAGATTGTCGGTTGATATCGTGCGCCAGGCTTTCGCTGGAGTGGAGTCGTAATGGAAAACTCAGCCAGCATAAAGAACGAGATTTGGATATCCAACACAAGTATGAAGTCAGTCAGTTTTTCTGTACGCGTCAGAAAATTACACTGCCTATCAGTCACGACAAGGATTTCCAACAGGCTACTGCAGCCTTTTATCAAAAGCTGCCTTCACTGGTTGGCTGGCTGTTTCCATACGGAAGATCCAATGGCCAGCCTGAAAGAATTAGTAACATGGAAATCTGGCTGGGAACAAATCATCCAAGAGCCGATTGCTCAACTCATTTGTCAGAGAAAATAGAAATGGATCGGACATACATTGAGGACGCCGTCGAATGACATCCCGCCCCAGGCCTTCGGATGCAGTTCAAATAGCAAGCGACGAGTGTGTCGTCAGGGTGAGCGTGACATGGAGGAGGTTGTGTGAAGAAGAGATGAGAGAGTTTGTGCAATCGTGGACCCAGATGAAGAGGATGGGAGAAAATAGAAGAAAGTGGAGAGGTGTTGTTGAAGCCAGGCCTATGTTCCACTCGGACGGAACCCAAGGGAACAATAATAATCATGATAATAGGTAGATTAGGTTTAGTATGTAGTTACACAAACTAAATATTCATATTGTGTGTTTTTGTAAATTGAATTAGTAATGGAGATCTGGCTCATCGGTTGAAGCAGTCGATGCTGTGTATGTATTTATGTATATAAATTGAATTGCTCCTGTTATAAGTGAATTTATTTGTAATTTCATTAAATCAATTATTCTGTTGACGACTCAGTAATTAATCAAAATAATTCTCTTCTTTTTCGTTTAACCTCTTTTTATTCTGATATTTTCATTTTGTAGAGAAGAGCAATCGCTAAAATGGCAGATATGAGACAATATGGTATAGAACTTGAGGTTATTCCAATCAAATTAGAAAAGTCACAATTTCAATATGAATTATTCTATGATGTAAGTAAATTCTACTGCTTTTACAATGATTACTACTCATAATAATAATAATAATAATTGTGTATACGTATGTATGTATATATATAAACGACCCACTCGTTGTTTTCCATTAGGACTGCACTCCAGCGAAGACCTGACACACGTTGTCAACCGATCATCTCCTCAATGACGTGTGTCCAATCTATCTTCATTTTGTTGAGCTCTTAGTTGGTTCATCGTCAGCCAGAGTTTCTTCTTTCTAATTCTTTCTTGCTGGCTGGCTGGCCGGCCAGTTGGAACTCCTTTTATCGTCACACACAGTGTGAGTTCCTCATCCCGTATAGAGGAATTGCCCAACTTGACATTGGTGTTGCGAATCCCAGTCTTGCTCCTTATGCTGAGTGTGTGCAGAAGGCTTGTCTTGCCTTTTCAAGTCGCCTGGATTTGACGTCTTCATCCGTTCTTCTGACTTGAAGTCACCTCTTTCAAATTTCTCCCGTTTTATAGAAGAACCAATCAAATGTGTACATCGCTTTACAAGATATCAACCATAAGCAGGTATTTCGAGGAGAAATTATCTCCCAGGTTGTGAGTAGTAGGGAAGCGTCTGAAAGCTTCCATAAACACACAAACCACTCCTGTTCATCAGCCACTTTCATCTTCTTGCTTTCCTGCCACTGTTAATAATATTCCACAGACATACAGATTGCTCATCTTCTATTAACTCTGTAACTACTAATAGGAATCCGTGCCAGTGAAGCACTGCTCCCAGTTCCTTATAACCATGCTGTAAACTTCATACTAGTGGTTTCAATGTCTGTACAGCAGATCTAACTAACTAACTAACGAACTAACCAGAACACTGTCACTTATTTCCATGGTGTGAGCAGCCGGGAAGCAACAACCGCCCAAACACTTCCAAAAGCATACGAAGCCCTCCTGAGCATCATTCCCCTGTATCTTTTAGAACTCTCTCAATCTAAGCATCTGATGAATGTTGTGTTTGAGAGACACTCATATACACTTAACCTCGTCCGGCCGACGCACAGTGAATTTACAGACTTTAAGCCTATGAATGTCAAGAGATTCTTCAACGAGTTTGTGTGACCTTGTTGGTGTAGGAACAGGATTTAGGGGAAAGTTGTCTGTGTTCTGTTCGGTTAAATATATTCTCTGAAAATTCACGTGAGTTCAGATCTTAATTTGAAGTCGCTAGTTAAACATATATATATATATATGCATGCAGTCAGCATCGCTTCAAATACAGGAAGAGGATCCGTGGTGCGCGGGAGGGGGGGGGTTCACAAGATGCATTTTCATTAGGCTACCACAGATTTTCGTAGATTTCTTCTAAGAAATCAGAAGTGGCAATAACGATCGATTAAATTAGTCAGATTTTTGAGTTACCCGCAAAATCCGAAAACACCGGACTTTGTATATAAAATAATTGATATGATCTACGGATCTGAAATAGTGAGGTGTCTATTGCTGAATGCCGTCAAATGCACTGTCGCTTTACGTCAGTAAGAAAAAAAAATTTAAAAACTGTGTCGAGGGTGATCCATGGTCATATGAAAAAGCACGCGAATATTCTCATAAAGAATAAAAGAGAAAGTAGCATATAAATAGAGCGGGTTCGAACCCCTCACTGGTGGGCGCGTACTGCTGAAGATTCCAAAACTAGGCTGACGAAACAGTTGTCCAGTACTACCTGGCTGGTTTTCCAATGGTTCTCTAACTGATTGATGTTAGCCCATGATGAAATCCTCCAATCAATCAGAATATTAATATATGAAGTGAGATTAACTTCATTAGATAACAACAGACAATAGTTATGATTTAAGGAGGACAAAAATGAAAATATATCGATTCATACTACTTATTAATTAATATTACGTAGTGTAAGGTTAGACACGTGGAAAAAAGTAATGAAGTATTGGTAGGAAAGGAATAAACACTTATATCAACAACTGCTTTCTCTGTGTGTTGAAGATCAGATGGCCGGCCGGAAAGGGCTTATCAGCAAGGAACTCCGAGAATAAATCAACTAAGAATCGATTACCTAGAAAATATACTGAGGGAAATGTGGATGGATTGGACATACAGTGAGTAAACGGTTGACTGACATCACATCTCACGTCTTTGTAGACACAGATGAAACAGTACAACAGAGTGAAATAAAGACATGTTGCTAAAGTCCTTAGCACTACTAGGAACCCAAGAAGATTAAGGTTATATGACTTTTCAAGTATTGGTATACTAGGGATTTTTGTTTGATTGCATGGATGATTTCGTCATGAGCTGACATCAGTTAGAGAACCACTGGAAAACCAGCTGGGAGTACTAGACAGCTGTTTCTCTAGTCCTAGTTTGGGATTCTTCACCAGTACGCACTCACCAGGATTCGAACCCTGGACCTTCTGGTTACAAGTCCAACGAGCTCGTATAGCATTGAGCCACTGGGACTCATCCAATGGTCCTTGAATTCTAACTTCTACCAATTCACTATATAGCGCCTCATCTTCAACCTGCTGTACTCCAGGTTAACTGCCTGAATAGGGCCAGTCACTAGTTAGCATCAGATGAACTTTCAAGTATTCGTATTGTAGGGATGTTCGTTTGACTTGTTTTCGTAACATTTCGAGCAAAATTATTGTCTGTGATCACACCAACTGTTGAAATTGTTTTTATTTTTGTAATTCAAGCCTTTATGAATTGTAGTTCTATGGGTACCTACTGTCGACGAGTCCCAAACTAGGACGAAACAGCTGTTTATCACTCCTAGATTTTCCAATGGTTCTTTAAATGATATCAATTATTCGTGGGCAAACTTGAAAAACAAACGAATTCTTGAAAATTAATCTGATGCTTGGTAGTGACTGGCTACAAAATGGAGTTTCCTGTAGTTATAGTGAGAATTTGTAGCCAATGAGATCCATCTAGTCGGTAGTGAGGAGGGAGTTTCCGACGATGACATTGGTTGGTGGTCGTGCTAAAACCACGGATTCGTAGAAGTTAGAATTCATGGGCTGGTTATTGAGTAGGGTCTTAGTGGCTCAGTGGTCTACAAGTTTGCCTTGTAACCGGATATCATTCGTATATCAATCAGCCACTCACTGGGACCCGATTCAATGACTCATGAATTCTAGCTTCTACTAATTCGTGATTTAGCGCGACTCCAACCAACGTCAACAATGGGACATCCATCCTCACACGTGACTGGATGTGGACCTCAATGGTCACAAATTCTCAATCCTGTAGCAAGTCACTAGCGAGCATCAGATTAATTTTCTATAGTTGGTTTGTGGGTGCGTACTGCCGATGATTTCCAAAACTGGGATGAAACAGCTCTACAGCACTCCCTGGTTTTCAATGGTTATGTAACTGATCAACTCGTAAAAACGAAAATAATCCTTATAGACCAACTATAGAGAATACAGATTCTGTTATTAGCACTCTCTCTTTCCATTCAATGTTCACACTAGATTTCAGAATACGCACATTGTTCTAATCGATATTGTGGTTTTTGTCCCATGGATGTGTGTGTGGGTGTGTGGCTATAACCGATTTTTTTCTAAATTGTTATAAGCTTGGGATGACCTTTAGTTAGGCGTTTATTTTCATTCACTGTTATTTTGAACGATGATCTCGATGTTCGATTCACATATTTAGTCGGATACTGGACACAAGATATTTTTCCAGTTTGACCACGGATTGATATCAGTTAGAGAACCATTGAAAACCAGAGAGTACTACTGGACAGCTAGCTGTTTAGTCCCACTAGTGTGAGACTCATCGACAATATACACCCATCGAGCCCAGGATCTTCAGGTTGCAAGGCCAGCTCGCAGAGCATTCAACCAATGGAATCTGACTCAATGACCCATGGATTCTAACAGGACATCATATCTTCACCCTCCGACAGATTCTAGAACATAGGAATTCCTACCGGCGTCCAACAGTCATTATATTTCTTGACCTAAAGGCAGCATTCGACTCTGTCGATCGAGAAGTTCTCTGGAGATGTTTGGCTGTGAAAGGAATTCCGAGAAAATATATTGCTCTGATTAAGGCACTCTACTCGTACTCATATAGCCAGGTGAGGGCTTACAGCGAGCTGTCATCTGAACTGATGACGACCAGTGGTGTCCGTCAAGGATGCCCATTATCTCCTTTTCTATTCAACTTCATCATAGATGTGTTAATGGACTTAACCCTAGGTGACTTCAGCGATTCAGGGATTGATCTACTTGTAACCATCAGGGAATAATCTCGTTGACTTAGAATATGCAGACGATATAGTCCTTCTAGGCGAGGACGCTGAGAAAATCCAGCAGAGTCTTCTGAACACCTTGAGCTGCAATCTACAAATGTTTGGAATGCGATTCGCTCGTGCTGTCAAATGCAAGATGATGTTACAGGACTGGACTACACCGACTCCTAGATTAGAAATAAGAAGTGAAGTGGTAGAGCACGTTGACCGCTTCACTTATTTGGGAAGTACCATCAGCCAGTGCCAACGGGTTGATCTCTGACGAAATCTCAGCACGAATACAGGGGGCTCGTTTCGCATTTGTTAGTTTACGCCGACTCTGGCGTAGACGAGATGTTCGACTATCGACCAAAAGGTGGGTGTACTGGTCATCAGTCCGCTCCGTCCTCCTTTATGGTTGTGAGACCTGGCCACTGAGAGTGGAAGACATGAAAAGACTACCTGCCTTTGATCATAGGTGCCTGCGTTCTATTTCCCGTGTAAAGGTGAGCAACCTGGAGGTTAGGCGTAGAGTTCTAGGTAAACAGGGGAAGTCAGTCGACGAAGTCGTGAAGCTACAAAGACTGAGATGGTTAGGACATGTGTTACGTATGCCAAGCCATCGCCTCCCTCGACGAGCAATGTTAGCGGATATAGGGTCAGGCTGGAAAAAAGCTAGCGGCGGTCGAACAAAAACTTGGCTGCACCAGTCAATGAAATCCACAACAGTTGGTCTAAGCCACGTAGAAAGGTGTAGACTTCCAGGCTGGGGTCCTCGGGACGGTAAAAATCTATGGTTGGAAACAATTGGTGACATGGCTCAAAATCGTTCTCAGTGGCTAGCGCAGATGCATCCACTCCTTGTGACTTATGATCTCCAATGAAACTGTTTTGTTTTTCTTTATTACCCCTCCTTTGTCTCACACCTCTGCTCACTGTTTCTATTATGCTTTTCTTGTACTTTTTTCTCTTGCTTCGCGTGGTACACGGAATGTGGCGACTTGAACTGGTGCACATTTGTGCAAAGTTCTATGTCGAAAACAGACAGACAACAGGACATTTTGTAAATTACATTATCGTGGGGAGTAACTTTGCTTGAAATATTACCAAAGAGAAACTTATTACTGTGTGTAAACTATTGAAATATAGTTATAATTTATTTTTCAGGTATTGGTTTTTTAGGGATGAAAAGTAATTCATCGAAGAAGACATTACGAAATGGTCGCTCTATGTCGTGAAGTGGCAGAAGTTAGAATTCATGGGTCATTGGATCGGGTCCCAGTGGCTCAATGGTCTACGAGCTCGCTTTGTAACCAGAAGTGGGCGCGTACTGCTGAAAAGGTCAAAACTAGGACGGGGGAAACAGCTGTCAAGTACTCCCTGGCGGTTTTCCAGTGGTTCTCTAACTGATGTCAGCTCATGATGAAATCCTCCATATAATTTATTTGACCTATTCCACAATGCCCAAACTGTTTACCGACATTAGTTTTATGCTTCGATAATTTAGTTTTAGACTTCAAAGCATAGAATTCAGCATGGTGCATAAAGCTTTAATTTTCTTTTTTTCGCCTTCTCTTTATATAGGAGCTTCTAGAAGATGAAATGTCGCTTACGGATCTGAATAAATCACGTTATCGTCCTGATCCAACTGAACGTCTTGATGAATTATTAAGTCGGTATGTTTAGTTTTGTTTGCATTTTTTTTTATTTGTTATGACATATGCCTTAAAATTACACTTTTATATTTGGATGATGCTTGCTTGCTTATTGGCTGGCTGACAGTAGAATCCAGAACACGCATTTCGTTCTACTTGGGGCTCGTCAGCCGGATATAATTGCATCCTTAGTGTGAGTGATGTTTCTCCCACTGACATTCGAACTTAGCAGTCATTGATTCAAAATGCCAAAATCGCAGTTCACTTCATCACTCCAGTGACCTCTTGTACAATGAGCATCACTTGTTATTTTATGTTGTATTCGACTCGGTATCTGTTGATACTGTCACCAACAATGAAGTAACATGTTGGTCTTCAGACATTTTCGAAGTGGTTGGGAAACGGTAGAAGACGAAATACTCGATGAAAGAATGTATATCTGCAATTGGGTATCTGTATATAGCCAAATTATGTACCATTTGCTGTTTGGATCTTCCGTGTTGTGGTACTTTTGGCCTTCCTTCATCATATTGTGTTTCTTTGTGTTTCTTTCACGTCGCCCATATATCTCCAAAAAGTTGTATCATTTGCCTTCTCTGAAATCAATTGTATCTTCTTTCTATTTGATATTTTTATATATATCTTTATATACTACTGATAAATCTTCTCAGTAGCACTAGCCACAGTCGTAGTGACCAAATTTATGGTCACGGTTATGGTCTGAATGCAAGAAACTGATCACTACATCATACTGTCCAGCTGAAGAAAATTTGTTGAAACACGCGCTATCACGAAATGTTCCAGACGCAGAGAAAAGATGAACATTCTTCAATATTTTGGCGTTTCTATTAAACAGCGATAATGGCAACATCAAAACTTAAATTTACCTCAACAGTGCCGTGAGAAAGCCGGCTAGCTATACATACATTGTAGATTTCTAAATACAAACTGTACTGTAAGACATCCAAAGTACAACTTCTAAAGGTACCGTAGAATCAATGATGAGAATATTCCACATAAGGTGGTATCGAAAGCCTTGTCCTCAAAAACATACAACAAGCCTTTAAGCAGACAGTCCCTGGTCAGAACGACTTTACTCACCTAAAACAAACTCATAGTGTTAAGCCGCACATTGTCAATGCACACACAGAATGTACACAAAGCGAAGTATTACAATTGAAGATTAAACAAGGACAAAGGTGACTAACAAAGTTTGATTGGTGAATAGTGACTAGCAGTGGAATCCAGGATAAAGCGTATTTCGTCTTATTTTGGTCTCGTCAATTAACTGGATGTACCTGCATTCCTCAGTAAGTGACCGAGCCTCGAATCCAGTGCCCATAGTTTCAAACACCAAAGCATTATCCACTAGACCACTTAGGCCACGACAGCCACCTCTTGTGAAACGGGTCATATTGTAACGACAGAAGACAAGGGCCAGCCAAACAGATCGTTTATTAAGGAAATCAACAGATATTTATAGATTTTCATGTACATTATTATAGATTATTGTAAGCAAACAAACACAGTCTTCTGATTGGTGGTGGTTTCTCGTGGAACGTTAATCTTTCATCTATTTGTGGCCGTTTATTGAAGTTCAGATTATCTATCTGTAAATTGTATCTGCCTACGCAAATTCTGCTGTGACTGGTTCTTGAATCAGTCTTTGTTCTTATTTTTCTCACGACCAATATTGGGGACGTAAGCATTGACATAAATTATTGTCTACGGATTCGGCTAGCAGTCAGCTCTCACCACAATATTAATTATTTAATTGAATTTTAGATTTTCCAGTCGATTGATTGGACCGAAATGCTCGGTCGCAGATTGACATGTCGGCTTCTTGTGCAGTTACTTCGACGATGTCTGGTCATTTAATTAGAAATTAATTGATGGATGGTGACTAGCAGTGGAATCCAGGGAATGCAGACACATCTAGATGACGAGTCCCAAATAAGACGAAATGCGCATCCTAACTGGATTCCACTGCGAATCATCATCAACCAATTAACTTCTAATTACATGACCAGACGTCATCGAAGCATCTGCACAAGAAGTCGACATATCAACCTGAGACCGAGCGCTTCGGTCCAATCAATCAACAGGAAAATCTGATATTCAATTAAAAGAATTCGATTTTGTTTTTATAATTTCCTTACATATTTGAACTGATTATCTATCTAGTTTCGTATTGTTATTATTATGGATATTTTTTCCCCTATATTTTTCAAACCTACTGTAGTGTTAATTGTCATGAATTACGTCGATCACGTGTATGCCGTTTACCGTTTCATCTTGGACCATCGTCAGAATTGGCTTTAGGTGTTTCCGTTTACTGTTTAATTCGTCCAGTACACTTGCCTACTCCAGCATGGCTTTCATCTACTGACAATAAACCAATTACAGTAAGAAGGCAATATTACAAGGTCATAGATCCATATGGTTCATATGATCCAGTGAAAGATGCAGTGATCGCTGATCATGATCTAGTTCGTGGTATTAAACTTGATGGTCGTTATGTCTGCTTTGATAAAGATGAAATTAATGAAGCAATGAAAAATATTGCACCGGTTGGTAAGCTTTTCGGTGAAATTTTATTTTGTTGATGTATACTACTTATAGATTGATATGAGTAGTTGGATGTCACTCACATCAATCAGTAGTGCTTGCTAGACAGATTATCAAAGTGATTTAACCACCACTGGACAACTGTTCCTCTTGGTTGTAGTCGATGTCATCAGTTTTTCATTCGTTTTGACTCAGTTTACACCATTCGACTCCTAATTAACTACTTAGAGGGAACTGGTGACACATTGAATGGAAGTGATGACTTTCGATTTCCACAGTCCGTGGTGAAACGTCTTCAAATTGAAGTATGCGCTGAAGATGTCACCCAGTAGGGCGATGAAAGCTTCGCAAACTAACCATCCAGCTCAGAGAACAAAACCACATCAAAATATTTTACATTGGAAGCCGATAATATTGCTGAATACTACTTTGTGTGACTGATTGTTGCATCCAGCCTTAGTTCAGTATTCAATAAGTATACATTGTAAAAGATTTACGGAAATACGGTGTATTCGACCTGACAGAGATGTATATCAGTGTTATATCTGCCTGAATTTCGCCTAATATATACTGGCCGCCAATAATTATACATCTCACCCAACAGTTGTACGACAATGCTGCGTGCCGAGTAATCCACAACGAGATAATCACGGAATCCTCCGAAGAAGTGAAGACGGGAGAAATACAAGCGGGTTTCCTACTATCTCCAATGATTTTCCTGATGGAGGGCGGTAGACTGGATAATGTGACTCATAGCAGTCAGTGAGAAAACAGGCATAAAATGGACCCACACAAAAAGAGACTTGGAGGATCTGGACTTCGTTGATATATGTCTGATCTCTCACAAACTGTAAGATATGCAAATGAAAAGCAACAAGTTGGCAGAAGAAGCATCCAGAGAAGATAGGACTTCAGTTGAACATAGATAAAGCAGAGGTGATGAAGATTCCTGACGAACTGCAACAACGATAGACAACAATCAGCATAAATGGAAGGAATTTGAAAGAAGCAACCTCCTTTACCTGCCCACCTACTTGGGAAGTATCGTTTCAACTACAGGCGGATGAACTGATGAGGATATCACAGTCGCGAGGATCGGGAAAGCAAGACAGGCTTTCATTTCTCTCAAGTTTGTGTGGAAGTCAACAGCACTCTGCATGAAAAATAAGATCCGTATTTTCAGCTCCAATGTGAAGTCAGTGCTACTTACTATACGGATAAGAGACTTGGCACCGCGTCATGAAGTGCACCTCAAACATACTACAGAACTTCATCACACAGCTTTCTTCACTCAATACTACTCAAGATCAGGTGGCTGGCCAGAAAAGATCAGCCACAGAGATCTCTAGCAATGAACGAACCTACCCAGCAGCAGGAACCAGTTGTGCAACAAATAGGCAGGAAGAAATGGAGGTGGATTGGCCATATTCTGAGGAAACCATCAAGTGACATCACTAAACAGGCCACTGCTCGAGTGAAACCCAAACGGGAAGCTGAGTGTTGGTCGTCAGTGTGAGGGCAGGGTGACATAGAGGAGGTAATGTGAAGAGGATATGAATGTATGTGGGCAGACGTGTGGAGCCAGGTGAAAACACTGACAGAGAACCGAACGCAATGGAGACGTTCGACTGAAGCCCTATGTTCCTCTACGAACTAAAGGAAACGATAATAAGTATATATTGGTCGTAGCTTCTAACCCTTAAAATGACTACATGTCGCAGGTACAATGCACTCATGGTAACCATCGTATTACGCGCTCTGTAAAGGCTATCATCAGTCATCAATTCTTTAAACTCTTTTGTGAATTTCAAAATTATTCGAGGTCCGTCTGTTCGATTGGACACTAGTCAGTGACTAGTGTAGTATGTCTAGTTCTTTGTTTATTACAGGCTGAATTCTATCAGTCGAATTTGCAATGTGGCCAGCATACTACTAGATGGCTCACCATCATGGCGGTACTCTCTTAATTGTCATTAGATCATTGGAGGCAGTCAACAGGGAACCTTGGAAGTAGATTTCATGCTTGTAGGCGTTCGTGATCAAGGTGTATTTGCAATCCTGAAGGAAGCTATCCTGGATCACCCAGTGATACAGTGTAAAGTATGCGTATTGAAAACGAGGTATTTCAATTCCTATCGAAGGCTGAAACTTTTAGCTCAGTAGTCTTTGGCGGTCAACTCCCAACAAGTGGATTGCGAGTTCGAACCCCACCATACCGATACAAAATGGCTGAAGCCCATCGGTAAATACTTGAAAATGTCAGTGTTTGTTGAGCCACCTTTAGTGTGTTTTTTTCACAAGACGGTACACACTGTAGACATTTGTTTGATATTGTTTAACTGTATGTATTTCATCAAATCATGATGGAAAACATGCATGTTCAAGTGTCAAAACTCGAAAGATGACTGACTGAGTTTCAGCGTTAGATTTTACTTAGAGACGTTTCAGTTCAAGGTGTCACATTCCACGCAGCACACAAAGGTAGGGAGAGGGGAGAAGGGCGAAATTCAGACTGGCCTTAATCAGCAGAAAGGTACTTGAGAAGGAAATCAACAGGGAAAAGCATGAGGACTTAATGGACGACACATAATGATTTTATTGTTGGTATTACATAGTTGGAAGCACTTAACATAACATAACATAACATAAGATAAGCTTTATTCCAAATCAGTACTTGTGATACAGAATGGAATTCTCAGCATTTTACTACAATATTGCATCCAGTTTTTTACATTAACAATAAACAAAGTTCTACATAGTTTAAAGTTATCTCAACAACATATTAGTATGTCGGTAGCAAAGCCAAAATTAAAGTGTTTGAAGTTGTTTGAAAAGTAGATACTACTAGCATATTTACTGGCGTAAGCGATAGCAAAATGTTCGAGATGTACAGAGCGTGAAAGAACGAACAAGAATGTTTTAAGTAGAGTTTGCAAGGAAGAGAGAAACAAAACAGCACATAACAAAAATAAATAGAGAAGGGAAAAAATAGGGAGAAAACGTTGTACCTGTAAATGATGTGAGTTGGAAAGACGAGATCCCCTTGTTCTACTGACTATTTAATAAGTTAAAGGTTTCCCGCCTAACGCTTTCTTTGTCGCACAGAACTCGAGCTAGGTAGGGTATGGATGAGTTTTTGTACTTACTAGTGCGGGCATATAGTTTCCTATATAGGCTTCTTGTTTTCCCTGAAGAGATACATGGGGAGAGTTGTGAATGAAGAGGGTGATGTGAGTTAGATAAAATGGATTTTCCCCATTTTTCACATGAGTCCAAGTGCCTGTCAACCAGAATATTAATAAGCTGGTTAAGTGGCACGTGGCTTACCCTGCTGACAACCTTTAACATCCTACGTAATAAGGTGTAGTCTTTCTTCAGTAGCCCAGGAAAGACTAAGGGGTGACAATAGAGAATAATAGGCAGAATACGGGAGTTAACAAATTGTAGGAGTAAGGGTTGGGTTACACCAGAATGTCTTAACTTCTTGATGTAGAAGGTAAGACGGTATATTTTCTTGGAAATCGTCAAGATATGAGACGACCAGGCAGAAAGCCTCTCCTGACCTAGGTTTCGTGTTGGTGGTTGACCCTTACCAGTCAGCAAGGTGTATCTACAACCTCGAAGGAACTCATATCCCTTCTGAGATCATAACCCTCATCACTCAGTGAATACTGCCATCACAGACGTTACCACCACTGAGTTATTCGGGCTGGCTTGCGATTGACCTCATGTTGGACTGTATTGGATATTTTTGATTGAGTACCAGTCGGTGACTAGTGTTGATTGTCTAGTCCTATCTTTGGTGCGGACTGAATTCTATCAGTCAAATTTGCTGGATGGCTCGCCGTCACGGTGCACTTCAAATTGCTGGTATTAGATGGTTGGAGGCAATTGGCAGGAAACCTTGTCTGATCTAGGTTTCTTGCCATCTGGCACACGTCAGCAAGGTATACCTGCATTCTTGAAGGAACTTATATCCTTTTTGTGATTTGAATCCACCTGTAAAGCCAGTACATAAGTGGTTCAATGATAGAACTCTCGCCAACCACGCCTCATGTGGTCTGGTGTTCGACCCCCAGCCGACTTTATGTGATCACCATGCGACTAGGTGGCTTGTCATCATGGTGCATTGCACTGTGAAGTTTTGATAGTGGATGTATCCATGACATTGAGAACAATTTTCAACCCATGCCTCGTTACTTGGCCTGGCTCAAACCAACCACTAGAGACTTCATCATGTACATATGCCTCTGCATTTATTCGCACATGCGATTGTCGTGTTATCGTTTTCGTATTGTGGTTGTTGTTGTTGTTGTCATTGCGGTCTCTATTTTATGCTTTCTCTCAATGTTCATTTATGCTGCATTTATTGTCTATCTCTTTCCCTGTGTCTCTTTCAGGTATCCACCTGTTAGGTTTTATATCAATGAAATTTTTAAAACGTTTCTATTATATTCGTCCAGCACAATTTATTTACCCTGATGAAGCGTCGATACACGGAAGTTGTTTATGGTTTACAGCTCTGTTAAATCGTTGTCTAAATCGTAAACTTTTAGCTATAGCTATATATGTTCAAAGAAGGGGACAATTTCCACGTCTTATTGCACTTTATCCTCAAGTAAGCGATTCACATTTCATGATTATTGGATTGTCTTGTTTATTTGTTGTTTGTTGTTGTGATTATGTCACTAATGACTGTGAAATTGGATGTTACTCGTGTTAGATGAAAGTAAAACACTTTGTACAATGAGAACCTTAATGTTGCGTAGTTTGCTAACTGGCCTAAAATGTGGGTGAATGAGGGGGGAGGGGAAATCAATCGACGAGGCTGTGAAGCTACCTCGAGTGAGATGGTTAGGGCATGTGTTACGCATGCACCACTGGCCATCAATCACCTTCCTCGACGGGTAATGTTGGCTTACATATGATGGATCAGGTTGGAAAAGAGCCAGTGGTGGTCAAACCAAAACACAGTCTCATCAGTCAATGAAATCCGCAACAATTAGTTTACGCCAGCCAGCCAGCCACGTAGGAAGGTGTGGACCTCTTGGTTGGGTTCCTCGGGACGGTAAAAACCAATGAAGGCTAGAGGCAACTGGTGATATGGCTCAAAATCCTCGTTCTCAATAGTTGGCGCAGAAGCATCTACTCCTTGTGACTTATCCAATAAAACTATATTATTCTTCCATATTACTATTCTTTTTGTCTCATATCTCTGTTTACTGTCTCTATTTTGCATTTCTTCTCTTGCTCTATGTGCTACATTTGAGGAATGTGGCGACTCGAACTGCTGCACATCGGTGCAAAGTTCTATGTTGAAACTAGTCAGTAAAGGGGGGGAGTGTTGAGCCTGTGGGGCTAGCGAACCTACACCACAAAACCCATCAAACTGCTGGGGAAACTTCAGCGTATAAGAGAAAACATTAAATATACAAAAAATATAAACAAACTTATTGTTGGTCGAAAATGGGAGAGGCAAAATGACATAGCAGCCTGGTGAAAGCCCGCCTTCGGGAAGCCAGTCAGCCAGCCTATGTATCTTCTTTCGATGCAAGCAAGAATAAGAATAGGGACGTGGAATGTCCGTACATTGTACAAGGCTGGCTGAGAAGACTATCCAGATGGCCAAAAAAATGAGAATATGTGGTATCGAAGACTTGCAGGGGAGAACCAACAGACTGGCTGAAGAAGCAGACATTGAAGACTGGACTCTAGGTGAACATCGAGAAGATGGATGCGATGAAGATAACCAACCAACTGCAACAACAACAACCAGCACTAATCACCATCAATTGGAGAAATTTGACAGGGGTTGCCTCCTTCACTTTTCAACTGCAGGCAGAAAGGATGGTAATTTCAAAACCACAATCAAAAAGACAAAGCGGATCTCCATCACACTGAAACGAGTTTGAAAATCTTCTGGATTTACTCAGCGTAAATAACAAAATTCAGATTTTCAACACCAAAGTTGAGTCACTTCCACATAGATCAGAAACTTGCTTTCTACTTCATGAAAAGCAATGCCATCGGTCTACTGAAGACTTTTTACCAACCACTGCCTTCGCTATCTCCATTTTAAAGATCAAATGGCCGGCCTGCCAGAAAGAATTAGCAACAAGAAACTATGAGAACGAACCAACTAACAACCTATGACTCCACAAATATTCCGGGGAAAATGAAGATACCTAGGGTACACGTTGAGGAGATCATCGAATGACATCACCAGCGCGCCATCACTCAAGTGTAGTCCGAATGGGGAACGACGAATTGAGTGTAGTTGAGCGGGTGACGTACAGGAAATCGTGTGGCGAGGTTGAGATGGAAGTCTATAGGCAATCGTAGATCCAGCTAAAGTGCTGTTGAAGCCCCAACCGACAGCTGCAACTTTAACGCCGTGGTGGTTGGGCTCGCATATCGCAATGACTCAACAAGCTCCACTGGCTGGAACTTTTGTTCCTGCAGGTTCTATCGTGCCAGGAAGGTTGTTAGGATAGCAATTAGACTAAAAGTAGCTACTGGAATTGTGGGCGAAGTCGTACTGCTGGGTAGCCGGGATGTAACAGGAGTGGGGTGTTTCCCTCAAATGACCAGCATGCCAGCCAGCTATGCTGTCTCTCCACTCCATAGAGAGAGACGGGAGTTAGAAAGGGTCGACCTCAACAAATCTACATCCCGACTTAACCTACGCTGGTCCGTAATCAGCGGTAAGTTTACTGGTACGGAACCAGTCCCAAAACCAGTTCATGGTCTGAAGCAGTTTTCCTTTGAGCTCTGCGGTCACGTGATACTAACCCTCTTTCTGTTTCAGGTACCCAAAGAATCGACCAACTTCCACTGTGGGGTGAACTGTGAAGTAATAACAGCCCACACATTTCCAAAAATCTGTTGAAGCCTTATTTTCTACTCTGAACTCGAGGGAAAAATAATAATTGCTCTTATGATAAATAAGTGAAAGAAGGTCTGAGACTATTAAAATCAACTCTCAATGTTTCATATTGCAGTTGATATGATTATGAACAACAAAGCGTGCTCAAAACATGAGAATACTGCCTCACTGTGTCTGTGACACATTCAATAAACACGTTGTTTTAGAAATAATAACAGAGAAGATTTGTAGCTAAGGTGGATGATATTGAATTAGTTATGTTCTCTGAGCTGAGTTGGTCGACTCAGTTGCGGAGCTTTCGTCGTCCTTCTAGAGAACACCCCCTTTCAGTGCGCGGGTCTTAGTATGGAATGAACTCATTTAAATTCTCCATGAATGAATGAATGAGATAATTCTATCGCCTCGCAACCACTGTCATGACCAGTTGTTAATTTACCCCTCTATTGATCATATTTTTATTGACTAGGGATTCGAACTTTCTTGTCACATGTGATAATTTACTTTTTATTAGTTGGTGTTGAAGAGGATGAAGGGAAAATACCTACTACTACTACTACTGCTTCTAACCGTCTTCAAAAACAATCGATATCCTGACAATTTAGACTAAATTTATCAGCTAATAAAAAGTAAATTACATGACAAGAGTTGCCAGGAGGATATAAATTCACTTCATCCACAAAAAATCTCCACTGAAGGGGGTTGTTGTCTAGAAGACGGGAGGGGGACGACGAAATCTTCACAATTAAATCAAGCAGCTCCTCCTCCTCAGAGAAAAAAAATGCCCGTAGTTTATTCCCTTATAGATTACATCTCATATTATGCAATACGCTTTTTTAGGATACAGTTAACGGGATCTGATCGGTTTTATAAGTTTTTCTTTTTAATAAAAATCAATACTTCATATTAGTTTGCTAATTTAAAGGTATCACACAGTGAGTGAAACAGTATTGCTATTTACTGGATGACAAGGTTTCGAACACAATTTATTGCTGTTCATAATCATACCAATCAATTATAATCACACGACTTTGAAACTTGAGTTTTATAGTTTTCTTTGTTCTCTCCTGTTTGTCGTCGTTGTGGTAGTGGAATTTTCCAGATGTCTGGGTGGATAGCTGTTGGATCATTCCTATTACACGTATTTCCAGTTGATTCGATAAACAAAGCTCCAGTTATCAATCTCTCTGTGCAGTGTGGTCACCGATCTAGATGATTCGCCATCTCTCTGCACTTTTATTTGACGGTAGCTGGTTGGAGACAGTCAGCGTGTTGTGTATTCGAATCTTCAAGGAAACATTATTTCCTTCGAGATCGTAGATGGGTCTTGCTGACAACAATGCCAGTAAGCATGAAACCAAGGTCTAAAGCTTCTTGTCACTTGTCTTAAACCACATAACATTATGTGTTCAAACCTCATTTCATTGACATCAAACCTGAAGTATGTGGATACTGTCAGATGCCAGCGCTATGCATTCATTATCGTCTATAAGTTAGTACAGAAAAACGTTTATGCCAACTAACCGAATCCCATTAGATGTTTGTCATAATTTTTGAGTTTGTGATATGACAATTCTTACTCCTATAATTACTATTATTATTATTCTTGTTTAGGCTGAAGAGGTAAATGAAGTTAATATTCAGACTATGCCACCTGGATTTCATATTATATTTTTACCCTATGCCGATGATTTCCGTGATATTGACATTCCATCTGGGGAAATAGGTAAGTTAAGTCGTTTAACTAAACTGATATTTAATTTCACTTTTCATATTCAATTAAACATTCATGATGCGTTATTTAAAATGAATAGGCATTTAGAAAACTGGTTATTTAGTTAGTTAATTTATTCCTTAACGTTCTAATTAGAACATAAGGCTTCAAGCTAGAGTTCTAAAGTTTCGTTAGCATTGGTTTTATTTTCTTACGGTGTGAGATTTCTAGCTTCATGACCACTTTTCCCTTCCATCTTTACTAGCTAGGCGGGCGAGGTAAAGGAGTACGTCATCTGCTGGGGATCGAACCCTGGATGACGTGAGGCGTGATTGGCGAGCGTTTTACCGCTGAATCATTGATATACAGGCTTTACAGACAGTCTCGAATCGCAAAAAGGACTGCAGATATGCCTTACTGACTCGTAAATATCAACCAGCGTGGGACCTAGGTCAGGTAAGACTTCCTGCCGATCGCCTTCAATCATCTAATACCAATGATACTGTAACGACAAAAGACATGGACCGGGCAACAGATCCTTCATTCAGGAAATCAAGAGATATTTATGCACTTTTATGCACATTATTATTCGTTATTTTAACAGAGAAGCAACGTCTTCTGATTGTTTGTTTTCTTGCTGCTAGTGACCGTTTCTTAGAAAGTCAGACCATATGTCTGCTAATAGTATTTACACACGTTAAGTCTGCTGTGAGTGGTTGGTGAATTCCTCAAGGTTAAGCGTTGCTTTTGTTTGTTTTCTCATGTCTGTTTTCGACATAGAACTTTGCACAAATGTGCGGAAGTTCAAGTCGCCACATTCCGTGTAGCACGCGAAGCAAGAGAAGAAAGTACAAGAAAAGCATAATAGAAACAGTGAGCAGAGGTGTGAGACAAAGGAGTAATAAAGAAATACAAAACAGTTTCATTGAAGATCATAAGTCACAGGGAGTGGATGCATCTGCGCCACTGAGAACGATTTTGAGCCATGTCACCAATTGTTTCCAACCATAGATTTTTACCGTCCCGAGGACCCCAGCCTGGAAGTCTACACCTTCCTACGTGGCTTAGACCAACTGTTGTGGATTTCATTGACTGATGCCAAGTTTTTGTTTGACCGCCGCTAGCTTTTTTCCAGCCTGACCCTATATCCGCTAACATTGCTCGTCGAGGGAGGCGATGGCTTGGCATACGTAACACATGTCCTAACCATCTCAGTCTTTGTAGCTTCACGACTTCGTCGATTGATTTCCCCTGTTTACCTAGAACTCTACGCCTAACCTCCATGTTGCTCACCTTATTATGCCACTTTACACGGGAAATAGAACGCAGGCACCTATGATCAAAGACAGCTAGTCTTTTCATGTCTTCCACTCTCAGTGGCCAGGTCTCACAACCATAAAGGAGGACGGAGCGGACTGATGAGCAGTACACCCGCCCTTTGGTCGATAGTCGAACATCTCGTCTACGCCAGAGTCGGCGTAAACTAACAAATGCGAAACGAGCCCCTTGTATTCGTGCTGAGATTTCGTCAGAGATCAGCCCGTTGGGGCTGATGGTACTTCCCAAATAAGTGAAGCGGTCAACGTGCTCTACCACTTCACTTCCTATTTTTAAACTAGGCGTCGATGTAGTCCAGTCCTGTAACATCATCTTGCATTTGGCGGGAGCGAATCGCATGCCAAACATTCGTAGATTGCGGCTCAAGGTGTTTAGAAGACTCTGCATTTCGTCAGCGTCTTCGCCTAGAAGGACTATATCGTCTGCATATTCCAAGTCAACGAGATTATTCCCCGGTAGCAAGTCAATCCCTGAGTCGCTGAAGTCACCTAGGGTTAAGTCCATTAACACATCTATGATGAAGTTGAATAGAAAAGGAGATAATGGGCATCCTTGACGGACACCACTGGTCGTCATCAGTTCAGATGACAGCTCGCCGTAAGCCCTCACCTGGCTGTATGAGTACGAGTAGAGTGCCTTAATCAGTGCAATATATTTTCTTGGAATTCCCTTTACAGCCAAGCATCTCCAGAGAACTTCCCGATCGACAGAGTCGAATGCTGCCTTTAGGTCAAGAAATATAATGACTGTTGGACGCCGGTAGGAATGCCTATGTTCTAGAATCTGTCGGAGGGTGAAGATATGATCAATACACCCTCTTCCTGGTCTAAAGCCTGCCTGGCTCTCTCGTGTTTGTGCTTCCCGAGCACCACTCAGTCTACGCATGATTATTGAGCCTAAGACTTTAGATACTATATTAGTCAAGCTAATCCCTCTGTGATTATCACAGGAAGACTTGTCTCCCTTCTTGTATATGGGGATAATCAGTGACTTACACCAACCCGATGGGACTTCTTCTGATTCCCAGACGCTGCCTAGTACCTCAGTTAATCCGGACAGTAAGCTGTCTCCACCGTACTTAAATACCTCTGGAGTCATTCCATCAGGTCCCGCTGCTTTGCCTAGTTTCAGATTGGTGACAGCTTTAGTAACCTCAGTTAGTGACGGAGGACCTGTGTTTATATCCCATTCAGGGAGGTGTTGGATGCTCGGAAGGTTGAGCGTGGCTGTGGGCAAATTAAACTGCTCCTCATAATGCTCTTTCCAACGATCCAGTCGTCTATCCTGGAGCTAATTATAGTGCCATTTTTTTCCGAGATTGTCTCACTGATGATTTGTCTTCTCCCACCCGTTTCCCTGATGAGTCCAAAGAGTTGCCTGGTGTTGCCTATCCTCAAAGCTTTCTCCATCTCTTTGGCTTTTGTCGCCCACCACTGTTCACGGTCCTTGCGGAGACTTTTCGTAAGTTTCCTCTTGTGCAGCTTTCGCTCCTCATTGAATTCGGAGCTCGCCGGAATAAGTCTTCTAGCATCTATCAGTTCGGATGAGGCGGTGGAGATCCAGTGGTTTTTACTCACCTTTGGGTTTACCTTATTCACAGCTTTTACAGCTGTATCTATGGCTGCCTGGATATTTTTCCAAGCTTCTTCAGGGTGAGCACAGCTGTCGAACACAGATATGTGTTTAGCTAGTTCTTCCTGAAATACGGATTTAGTTTCCTGATCGAGCTGGGGACGTGATGGTTTTACCGCCAGCTGTTTCCTACGTCCGTTCAGTCGTAAGCACACCCGAGCGCGGACCAGTGCATGGTCGGTATCTACGCACGTGTTCCAGAAGGAGCGACAATCTCCTACCGACCCACGCCAACGATAGCTTATTGCTATGTGGTCTATTTGTGTCCAGCGTTGGTTTGATGAAGGGGGTCTCCAAGTCAAACAGTGTCTCTCCTTGTGTTTAAAGTTAGTGCTTACAAGAAACAAATGATTATCAGAGCAGAACTGTAGGAGACGGTCACCGTTGTCGGTTCGCTGGCACGGAGCTCCATAGGTGCCACCGACATGACCCCGATTCGAGATGTGAACATTAACGTAAATTGTTGTCTACAATTTTGGCTATCAGACAACTCTCAACACAATACTAAATTTCATGATTTACAAAATCTCAGCTTTTATATGTAACAAGTGTCCTTCTCTGTTTTCTCAGTGGAACATTAAGCTTCAGGCTTTCAAATTTCCGTAACGAAGGTGCTCATTCCTTTGTAGGTTGGAGTTGCTAGCTTCATTTACACCCAACCTCTATTGTTTTACGGGCTTACTAAAGGTTTACGCAATGTATCGACTGGGAATCGAATCCGGACCACGTGTGTGACTGATTGGACTGACTGACGAGCATTCTATCACAGGTTGTATTTCTTCAACTTATATTTTGTTTGAATGCATATAAGTAAAATGGTTTAAGTATAATTTCCTCACTCTAGCCAATGAATCTCAAGTGGATATTGCTAAGGCAATGATACGTAAATTAATGGTACCATTTAGTCCTGGACAAATTGAAAATCCCTTGCTACAACGTTATTATTCTCTACTTGAAGCGTTAGCGTTTAGTAGAGAATCTCAATCTGAAATTATTGATCATACATGTAAGCTAATTTTATGGTTATTGTTATTGTTGATTCGATTGCATGTTGTTTTTTTCGTGGCATTTTATGTAATTACGCCAATGTACACTATCTTCCATGTAAATGTGATCTCCGGTTATTGATCAAAAGGAGAGATTACTATACAACAGGTCACTTCATCCTTCTTCAAGGCTGTGTGACATATAGTTGTTGAAAAAGGCGATCTATGAACAGACTAGCTGCCTTTGACCATAGATGTTTGCCTTGTATTTTCCATGTTAGATGGGGTCATATGGTTGATAATAATTAGGTTAGGTGTAGAGTAGTATTAGGTAAGAAAGGAAAGTCAATTGAGGAAATTTGGAAGCAGCATCTATCAAGATGGCTGGGGCAGCGGTTATCCATGCTAATGTGTTGCCTTCCTCAGTGAGGGGTGTTACATAACATAAGATTAGATTAGCTTGACCTACATGCTAAGAAGCAATACCTGGAGACTGTTGGTGGCGTAAAGGCATTCATTCTTTGTCATTAATCGATATTTTGACAACACAATAAGAAGATGTAGTTTATCTGAAACGTGTAATGTATTGACGCAACACATTTCGGACATTTTGCTCACACACGTACTTATCATACACAGTTTTTATAGAAGGCAAGAAGGCAGTATATCGCTAACATACGTTAAAGAGAATAATGATTGCCTGCCATTTTTAGATGTACTCATAACCCGCCGAGAAGATGGGTCAGTAAAACGATCTGTCTACAGAAAGTCTACATGGACAGGATAGTATTTAAATTATCATAGTTTCCATCCATTACAGTATAAAAAGGCGTTGATTAAGTGTTTGTCCAAACGCAATCACCGTATATGTACTGGCGATACAACTGAAGAAGAAAGACAACAACTCACTGAAGTATTCTTGGATAACAATTACCCACTGATGTTTATTAGGCGTTATGGAAGTGTCAACCACACAGCTTCACCAATCCAATCAGTTCCCAAAAAGGATGTTTACATATCCTTGCCATTCAGAGGTGATCAACTAAATCTGGTCACTAGACAAAGACTCAAGGCCACAATTAATAGAACGTATTATGCAGCTAGACTTATCTTCATAGAGAAAAGGAGAACTATGCTGTCCTGTAAACCCTCACATAATCCAAACGATAGTGTCACATCCCACTGTGTTTATCAGTTTACATGTATGTGTGGAGGCACGTACATAGGGAGGACCTATCGATCTCTGCAGGTTAGGGCTACTGAACATATTCCAAAGTGCCTGCAAAAACAAATAAAATCGCCAGACACAACTGACGCCGGAAAAAGATGTGCGATATCATGTATAGCAAAGCACAGTATAGAGACGGGTCATAAGGTTGATTTCAACAATGCCTTTGAGCCGATATATAAAACAAAGTTGGGTTACATACTTAAATTCATTGGAATCTTAGTCATAAAGAAACTTAAACCTGTCTTATGTGTCCAAAAGTTATTTGTTATTACCTTAAACCGAGGACTAATTTACTTCATAATATTTTCAACCCCTTCTTTGCCTTGTTTCTTCTCTTTTTATCTTTCTTGCCCACACCTTTTGCGTCTCCCTACCCATTATTTGTGACCTTGACCTGTACACAATCTGACCTGTAATGTAATTATTATACTGCTTTCTTGCCTTGTATAAAAACTGTGTATGACAAGTCCGTGTGTGTGTGATCAGAATGTCCGAAATGTGTTGCGTCAATACATTACACGTTTCAGATGAACTACATCTTCTTATTGTGTTGTCGAAATTCATAAAGAGAACTAATTGCTTTTTAATTAATCTACATGTAATTGTACTTTCTCCTGGTCCTTTCCGTTTTGTGGATACTTCCTCTTTATTCATGTGTGCTTTATGAAGTGTAGCAATATGATGTGCTGTATTTTTGTGCAAAATTCCAGGTTGTAAATTCACTTCATGAGTGCACTTTCATCTAAACGGCATATGATCAACGCAGAGGTTATATATGTAGAACTTCAGGTGAAATAGATGTTTTTTTGTTAGTAAGATGACAAACCTTCGTCTTCTGGCCTAACGTGTGCTTACTTGCCGAAAAATATTCTAGGCTATATGAGAAAAGCACTGCACTACCCTGATGATGATGATGAGTGATCATCTTCTATTGTAAACAGTAGACAAAACCTTATCTGATCGGGATGTTAAAATACATTTTAGTTATTCTAATAATTTTATTCGAATCGGCTGGTTATTAATAATGTTTACTTTGGATTGGACACTAGTCAGTAACTAGTGTGTAATATGTCTACTTACTTCTTAGTGTCCAATCAAAAATATCCAATACATTCCTACAGAAGGTCAATCACTTGGCAGCCCGAATAGCTCAATGGTGGTAACGTCACCTCTGACTGTAGTACTCACTGGGTGACGCGAGTTCGAATCTCAGAAGGGACATGAATTCCTTCGAGGTTACAAGTACGCCTTGCTGACTGATGAGTGCTGACTAGTACGAAACCTAGGTTTGGACAGAGTTTCCTGTCGATTACCTCCAACCATCTAATACCAACAATTAATAATGTTGGTTAGTTGAGAGTACAGTCAAATCGCTTGTTATTGAATCACCTCGTACTAGTCGTTTGATTTCATTTAACTAATTAGATGGTGGATTTAATTTTAGTAATATGTATATTCTGTTGGGCTGATAACAAGATTCTTGAAGATTTGAACTTCGTGGACGATGTAGGTCTAATATCTCACAAATTCTAAGAATTACAGACTGAAACCAACAAGTTGACAGAAGAAGAGGCGATGTTTCTGCACTCAGTCAACATAAAGAAAACCAATTCCGATTTTCTCCACCAATGTTAGATCAATTCTTCTATGTGTTGTGAGTCACAGACTTCAGGAGTCATGGAAAGCCTTTCAATAGGCTACTGTAGTCTTTTATCAACAGTTGAAGATTATATGGATGGACAGAACTTTGGAAATGAATCAACACAGAACCTGTTGCTCATCAAATATTCTGAAGAAAGTAGAGATGAATGGGACATAGGCTGGAGTGATGGTTTAGTGACATCGTGAGCTTGGCCATTGCTTAAATGGAATCTGAATGTGAAACAATGTGGATCAACGTCGTGACCTTCAGACGTTGAGGCCGAAACGATAAAATTTAGTTACTGAATCGAAATGGGTCTGCAATCTCCAACGTTTTTGGTAATTACATCAATATAGTGTGATAGTCGAAATATATTTTTTTTATTTACAGCTTGATTCCACACTGTATTTTTGGTACAAGTATGGAATTTTCAGCATGGATATCGGTAGCCCAAATTTTGCAGGCCGACCATAGATATCAGGTGTGCGCCGGCGTGGGCTCGAACCCCGGACCATGTGCATGGTCGGCGAGAGTCCTAACCACTGTGCCACCGACGCACATATATATGTGTGTGAACTGTTAAATAGTTTTAAGTTGGGACGAAATTTCATGAAGATGTATTTTCCGTTGTAAGTTGAGCCACTTGCTAAAAATGTATATTATCTACATTCACTGTGCTTAGAACATAGGATATAGATAGATTTTTCAAACACATTAACTCACAGGTGCAGGCAATCCAATTCACTTATGAATTGGAGAGTCGGGAAGGAGAGCTCCCAATGTTACATTGTAGCGTAAAATGGAAAGAAGATGGGAAGTTAAATACTAGTGTAGAAGAAATCCCCATTTAGACATTTAGAATACAGAAAGAATGAGGGAAGAAATATTTACTTTTCAATTAGATCCGTTAATTATTAACCCATTAACTATTGTTAATAAAATTATCGCCACTTGATTGGCAAACTGCTGTATTGTAATTAAAATGCTATACGTGTATATTAGAGTAGAGCCAGAGATGAGGATCTAATTGAAAAGTAAATATTTCTTCGCTCAATCTTTCTGTTTTCTAAATACTAGTGTGTTTTTTAGAGGAAACCCACACATTCAAACAGATATTTGCACTTCCGATCATCCCATCTTATATCAGTAAAAGTAGGATTGGTGAAATGTTTAAATGACAGATCACAAAAACTAAGTAGTACCAAGTAAAATCTAAGACAGGAAGTGAGACATATAAGAGAAGTCTTGAACTTAATAATTAGTCTGATAAATTAAACAGAAAGTATGTAGGGAAATGTAAAAATAAAAATAAAATAAACAATGAAAGTAGTGATAATAATAATAATAGTAATGACGACATGCATGTCAAACATGCTCAAGATAAGGACGACACGAACAATAAGGAATCTAAATCATCACTAGTAATTCCATGCAAGGAAGGAACCTCGGAAACCACCTTACGCAGAAAACCTTAACAAGACAGGAATAACAGTGGCATTCAAACCACCCACAAACTCAATTAGAAACAGGCTGTGTCGGTTCAAGGATCAATCCTGTGGAGCCTTTAAAACAAAACAATTTAGCTATTCTAATACCCTGCCTGCAATGATTATCGGGTCAAATAAGTAAGTTAACCTAGTAGAACAGGGTCAGTCAGTCAGACAAGCCGAGCATGAAAACCTAGCAGCAAAATCTAGATTGGTTGACCCAAATAAGATAAGAAATCTAGAGAATAGTTCAACCATAGCACTGACCACATGCAATTACACACAACCATACAATAGGGTGATGGGATAAGATGACAGTTTCAAAATCTAATGTCACAGGTTGGCGGGAGAGACTGATAACAGAAGCTTAGTTTATTGTTTAAACTGCAAATACATATAATAGGAATGACTCAACACCTGTCCCAGACATCTGGTAAACTCTATCACCACTGCGAAAAATATGAGATGAAAAAAGACTATAAAAATCAAATTTCGAAGTTGTGTGATTATAATTTATTGGTATGATTATGAACAGCAATAAATTGTGTTCGGAACGTCATCCAGTAAATACTAATACTGTTTCATTGACTGTGTGATACATCTAATAAACAAACTAATATGGAATTACTTACTGCCACAGTGCCCAAGTTTTACACATATTTTTCTATGATTAGCCGTCACACAGAAGGTGTGCGCGTCATATTTCCAACTGCATGGAAATGTCAGTGTGATTCAGTTTATAAAAATGTTCACCATTTCAAATACCCTGTCACACCACATGTTCTTTGACAACTTCAAACTCATGAAAACTAGTCGGATGCTTGCTAGTGACCGGCTACAGGATGAAGTTGCTCGGAGTGAGTCTTGGTGAGAAGTCGTGACCAGAAGTGTCCAAGAAGTCTGGTAGGGGAATAATTACTCACCAGCGAATCGGTAGAATTTAGAATTTATGGCCTGACCATTGAGTCGGGTGTCAGTGGCTGAACGGTCTACGAACTTGCTTACTTGTAACTACAAGGTCGCGGATTCGAACCCTGGCAGTGGGTGTGTACCAGCGATGAATCTCAAACCAGTTCTCTAAGTGATATCTCAATCTGTGATGAATCCTGATCCACGTAGACAGTCCCTATCCCAAATATGATTTACTTTTGATTATGAAATAAAATGGAATCTCTTTGATGTATTCTTACTTTCTTTTCATAATTCCCCAAAATCAAGTGCCTAAAATTGGAGCTATGAAAAGAAGAGCCAGTGTAGAAATTGAAGCCTTCAGACAATGTTTCAACTTGGAGGCAGCGAACTCATCAAAGGTAAAAAGGAAGCGAGTTACATTTGACTTGCCTATAAATTATTTTATGATAATTATTATTATTATTGAAACACAAACTTGGTATATTATGAGCAATAAAATATCCCATAGTTCGTGCGAATTTTCGGATACTACTCGAACGCCAAGACTGAGGCAGGTGGTCTTCCTAAGAGGCGAGACGCTAACCCTGCCCCCCCCCCATCGAGGCTTCCACTTGAAGTTTGATCCATGAGATAGTGAAATTGTTCAAATAGATAACAATCAATGTGATCTACATAATACTATAAATGGTAATGAAAAATAGCTAGAATTTCCAGTGGTTTGATTTAATTTAACTCCCTGAGTTCATTCAAATAGAGGAAACCGTTAATGAACTGGGCTTCGAATGAGTGGAACGCCATTTCGGTGTTGATATCACCTTGATCTAATAGAGAAGATTCATAGCTCAGGTGGATGATTTGCAATTAGTTGTGTTCTCTGAAGAGCTGGTTGGTGTAATTGTAAAGCTTTGGTCATCCTTCTGGTGAACATCTTCAGTGCAAGTTTTAGCAAAAAATGAACTGATTTAAATTCTCCCTCCATGAATGATGATAGAATTGTATCTCCTGGCAACCATCTTCGTAGATGATAGTCGATTTACATCTGTAATGATCACTTTTTTTATTGACTTGGATTTTAAACTTTCTTGTCACATGTGATTTACTTCTTATTAGTTGGTAAATGTGGTACCAGGTTTCTAGGAATTCTCTGGTACTTTCGGTGTTTTCTCTGTTTAAAAATTTCGACATTATACCAATCAAATAACTTCGATCTGTCTAGTAAATATTAGTAATTCCTGTGAACAGTATCCATCTACTCGAGTATTTCAGTCAATTGATTTATACCTTTACTTATCCATTCACATTCTACACTTAGTCCCATGAAAGTGATTATTTTACAGAAACGTATATTGCATTTTTTGGCATGTGTCGTGCTGAAGTAATTTTGAATAGATGCATCAACTATTTAACTGATAGTTTAAGAACAGAAACATGAGGGGAAAAAAGTATTTCCTTTTAAAATGCTAAGATAAGTATTGGGAGTAGATTGTGGTCATTAGTTTGGTAACTTAATCTAATAATCAAACCTCTACCTCAACTTTATAGACTTTGAGAAGGCCTTCGACAGAGTTGATTGCGGAGTAATTTGGAAATTACTCGAGTACTACGGCGTACCTCAAATATTCATCAACTTTATTCAACAGCTGTACGACAACGGAACATGTCAAGTGATCCACAACGGAAAACTCAGCGAGGCGTTCGGAGTAAACACAGGAGTCAGAGAAGGGTGCTTATTATCACCAATGATATTCCTAATTGGGATGAACTGACTGGATTATGCGTCAGACAGTGAGTAGGAAACGGGAAGACAGGGATGTCATAGACCGACCGACGTAAAGAACCTAGAAGACCTGGATTTCATGCGTGGATGATTTATGTTTGATGTCACACAAAATCGAAGACTTACAAGCGAAAACCGACAAACTGGCCGAAGAAGCAGTCGGCGAAGACAGGACTCCGGGTGAACATAGACAAGACGGAGGTTATGAAAATAACCAGCCAACAACAAGAACAGCAGCAACATCCAGCGTCAATAACCATCAACGGGAGGGATTTCAAAGAGGTTACTTCATTCATTCACTTATCTAGGAGGCATTGTCTTAACTACAGGCAGTCGGAACGGACGAGGATGTCAAACCAAGCGGGAATCGAATCGGGAAGGCGAGAAACACATTCATCAACCTGAAACCAATCTGGAAATCAGCATCACGTCACTCAGCATCAACAACAAAATTCGGTTGGATTTTCAATACAAGCGTCAAGTCGGTCAGTTCTTCTATACGGATCAGAAACTTGGCGGGCGGGTGACAAAGAATATTTCCAACCAACAGCCTGTTGCAGACCTTTATCAACAACTGCCTGTTTAGCTGGATCTATACTGAAGATCAGATGGCTGGGCCAGAAAGAATCACCAACTATTGGAAACTATGGGAACAAACAAAACAAGAACCAATCAATCGCCCAACGAATTTGCAGGAGAAAGTGGAGATGGATTGGACACTCACGGCTGAGGAGGCCGCTGGGTGACATCGCGCGCGTCAGGTCATTGCTCGAGTGGAACCAGGTTGAAAGGGAAGCGGCGTATGGGACGTCCAAGGGTGACATGGAGGAGGTGGTGTGAAGGGGACTTGAAAGAGTATGGACTAACATGGATGGATGCAGGTGAAAAGTACAGCAGAAGGAAGACAGAAGCAAGTGGATACGTGGAGTTGAAGCCCTATGTTCCACTAGGAACCCAAGGGAGCAATAAATAATAATAATAATCCTTTTCCTTTCCTAGTGAAAAATAGAAGTGCAAGTTTGAGGTCTGAATTTTTAGTAATAGTATTTCTTTTTACGTGGTAGGGTTGCTACTCTCACCCCCCAACTTTCCTTCTTTACCGGCTTTGCTACCGACTAAGCGCGGCTTAGAAGTGAGTCGTCGCCGGTGAATCGAATCTCGGATCATGCAAGTGTTTGGTGAAAGAATATTTTTACCACTGAGATACTGCACGTGATCTGAGGAGTGGACTTTTTCATTGTAGTCGGTGAATATTAACTTGAAAACGCGTTAATAATAATAAAAGTACTACTTGTGCGTCGGTGGCACAGCGGTAGAATGCTCGCCAACCACGTATGTGGTCCGGGGTTCGAATCCCGGCCGACTCACTCCTTTACCTCACTAATATTGATAAGCAGGAAAGGTTGGGCATGAGGCTAGCAACGTCATCGAAACTTCAAGCCTCTAGTCTGAAGCTGCCCTATGTTCCGCTCTGAACGTAAAGGAATAAAAAAAAACGATCTCGTAGAAGATTCCCTTGATCCCAACTAATCAATAAGAAGACTCAGAAGAGCGAGATTTGATGTGCATATAGTGACAGGGTGACAAACGGTCACTGCTGTATGAGATTACACTGATAATAATCACATTCAAAAGTATCATGAGAACTAATTACACAACAACATAAGCCGATTATCGGTTGTGTGTGTGAAAAAACTGATCAAATTTGATTGGTTGTTTCTATCACTGACCAATTGATAATCAATATATTCATTGAACTGGAATTTTGTTATGATTAACAACCCATTGAGATAATGTCTACCTACAGTGGTGTGGTAGACTAACACTTCCACCCTGACCGATCTGTACAACTAACTATTTAGTGTTGTAAACTTTCAAATAATAACTCTAGTTGACATGAAAAAAAAAAAACTCGTCAATTCGTTCAGTTCTATTTTTTTAAGTGTAACAAATTTTTTAACCCGTCCCCCTGACTAATGATATCATAAATGACTTTACCACTTATACATATTTTTATGACAACATTCCATTATGTCAATCGGTAGATTTTTACAAAATCAATAGCGAATTTTATGATCGTCATTACACATAGATGGTATATATTCGTTTAGAGTACAGAAGTCGACCTTCTTGAATGATTAGTCATTGAATGACTTCTTATCGTCACTTGAAAATGAATGGACAAATGAAAAGACAATAACTCACCTTGATGAAATCCCCTTTAGCATGACTTCTAAACTCGTACTCCTGAAGACTTCTGGATTAGGAGGATAGAAACACAGCTGGCCAGTATTTCTTGGTTGGTATTAAATGGTTAGAGGCAATCGGCTACAGGAAGCCTCGCTTGCACCTTGGTTTCGTGCTAGTTTATCCTTACCGGTCAGCAAGGCATAACTGCAACTTTGGAGGAGCTCATATCTCTTCTGAGACTCGAACCTGCGTCACACTCAGTGAGCGCTTCAGTCAGAAACTTTACCACTTTGCTATTCGGGCTGGCTCACAATTGACCTCCTGTAGACCTGTATTGGATATTTTTGATTGGACACTAGTCAGTGTCTAATGTGATGTGTCTAGTCCTTTGCTTTACTGCAGACTGGATTCTATCAGTCGGATTTGCAATGTGACCATCATTCTAGGCAGCTGGCTGTGATAGATTTCAGTCTGCAGCAAACAGAGGAGCAGACGCATCACACTAGTTAGTGATTAGTGTCCAATCAAAGAATTCCTTGGTTGGTTTTCAATGGTTCTCTAACTGATATCAATCAATCCGTGGACAAACCTGACAAAAATCAAATCCCTATCAAAGCTACCTCCTGACAAAACCTCTTGATCTCTTTTGAAAGGACAAATACGTTGGCAGGGGGGTGGCTGGATATGGCTGGAGAATGTTATGGACAGTACAAAATTCTATCGAATGATACACTGTAGAGATTACTTTGGATTTGCCTGTCCCACATCCAACCTTCTCTCTTCACTTGATATACTACTGGCTAAGAGAGGTTTAAGAGGGTGTCGGTCGGAGGTCGAACCCCAGAACACCTGCAGGAATGACCGATGCTTGTTGAGAATAAAACTATTGTATTATTTTCAAATATTGTTCCCAGTGGCTTAATGGTCTACAAGCTCGCTAGCCTTGTAACTAGAAGGTCCTGGTTTCAAACCCCTTGGTATGCGTGTATGCGTAGTGCTAAAGAGTCCCAAATTAGGACGAAACAGTTATCTAAAATTATCATAATTTCTTTCGCTTTCAGAAAGAATTTATTATTCTACATGCATTTGCTTTTCTCTTCTTTTCTCTATCCTATAATACAGAAGACTTACTCTTCACAATCAACTGACGGTAATAGTAGTCAAACTGTAAAACCATTTCTATCTGAAGATGAACTCAAAGCAGCTGTACAACTTGGTCAATTAAATAAGTATACAGTGACAGTTTTACGTGATACAATCAAATCACTTGATCTTAAAATATCAACAACAATAACTGGTCGAAGTAAAAAATCTGATATTATACAACAAATAATGAATCATTTTAAATGATGAAGAAATCTGTTGCTGTTGTCGTTGTTGCTGCGTTTTTGTTTTCCTTTCCCGTCATTTTGTATCCTTCATTCATTCATTCATTCATTGTTTTGTTTCCTGTCATCTTTGTATGTCTTCTATTATTTTTTGTTAATCTTTGAAAGAGCCACCAGAGTCAACTCGACTGTGTAATATTAACAAGATGTCGTTGGATATATAAGTATAAATAAATTCTTATGAAATTGATTTTATAGCACTTCGTTTTGTGTTAGTAAATAATATGAGTTGAAGTTAATTAACGAGAGCATAACATGTGTGGATGAGATATTATATTATTATTATTCCCCTGTCTGTCTCTGTCTGTCTGGATTCAACATAGAACTTGCCACCGAAGTGCACCAGTTCCAGTTGCCACTTTCCAAATATCACACAAAGGTAGACAAGAAGATGAGTGAACAGAATCAATAGAATTTGACAAGTATAAGAGTGAAACAGAATGGGTAATGGTGGAAAGGAATATGAAAGATTACAGAGACTGGATACATCTGCGCTGGCCATTGACAACGATCACTTTGAGCCATGTGTCACCTATGATCTATGATCGAAAGCAGTCTACCTTTTCATGTCTTCAACTCGTATTATTCCCCTGGGTTCAGAGAGGAACATAACAGGGCTTCAATAACACATCTCCACTTCGTTCTATTCTCTGGTGTTGTCTTGAGCCGGGTCCATGATTTCCCATAATCTGTCATCTCCTCTATGTGACTCTCGCACCGACGACCTACACATCGCTTCTTGTTGGGGTTCAACCCGAGTGATGTCTTGCATTGAGTGCGATATCATTTGATGGCACCGTCAACATGTGCCCGATCAATCCATCTCCATTTTCGCTTGGATATTTGTTGAGCAGTCAGCTCTTGGTTGGTTTGTCACCATCCAGAGTTACTTGTTGTCAATTCTTTCCGGCTTACCGGCCATTTGATCTTCAGTATGGACCCAGCCAGCGAAGGTGGCAGTCACTAACAAAAGTCTGTAACTTGACGCGCAGTGAAAGTTTCTCACCCGTATCAATAATATACACGACAGTCTAAACTGGAAAGAAATTTGAATCGATTCATTGGTTGACAAATCTCAGATAGGGTTCTAGTGTGGGAAGTCGTGACCAGTAGGATACAGCAGGTTGAGTGTGAGGTGAAATGCTCGCCGACAATGACACTGGCTAGTGATAGCGCTATATCGTGAATTAGCAGTGGTTGAAATTCATAAACTGGCCATTTGATCGGCTACCAGTCTACGAGCTTGCTGGTCTTGTAACCAGAAGGCCCTGGGTTCGAACAATGTCGGTGGATGCGTGCGGATGAAGAATCCTAAACAAGGACGAAGGAGCTGTCCAGTGCTCTCCGTTTTTCCAATGGTTGTCTAACTGATGTTAGCTCATGATGAAATCCTGTAACGAGTCTCAAATCCTTGTGACCCAGCCCAACTGTAGTTGATATTTGACTAGAGAGAGAGAGAGAGACAAAGGGAGAGGGAGAGATAATCTTACACAACTTATTTAATTTGCTACAAACATAATGAGGATATTCCATAACCTCATGCTTATTTTTGCTTTCATCGAAAGCAGACACACTGGGTAGATTTTCTGCCTAAAGGTATTCAACAGCCTGCGTTGTTCCGTCTCTCCAGTTCCAGTGAATGGAGTAGTTTTTTGGATAGGGTCGCTAGTTCTACACCTGGTTTTCCATCATTTTGTGACCTTATAACCATCCAGTGAATCTGGTTAGATTTTGACCCTTGACCGGAAATTATTCTAGGACTTTCTCACCCATTTATTATATAATGTTTTACTAATGTAACCTTTAACCTGTGTGCGTCGGTGCCACAGTGGTTAGGACTCTCGACGACCATGCACATGGTCCGGGGTTCGAGCCCACACCGGCGCACACCTGATATCTATGGTCGGCCTGCGAAATTTCGGCTACCGATATCCACGCTGAAAATTCCATACTTGTACCAAAAATACAGTGTGGAATCAAGCTGTTACCAAAAATAAAAAATAAAATATTTCTAGAATAATACTACAACCTATCTACAACCTTACTATATTCTGTATCCGATCTTTGTATTTATTCCACTTTGTAATTTTATTAATTTGACCTTTGACCGGAAATAGTTGTGCAACTTCCTCACCCATTTTTCTATAAATACACGAATGTATGGCCTAGTTGACGGTGACTTAGTCGAGAAGAAGATTTTCTTCGCTGCAACCGTCAGATTTTTTATCATTCTTTGGTTAGATAAAATAAGTCACGAGCAGGATTCAAACTTGCTCGGCCACCTTCACTCGATACTGAAGATTAGATGGCCAGCTGAAATAATAATAATAATAATAATTCTTGCTTTATTTCAAAAACAATACTAACGATACAGCAAAGAATTTTCAGCATTCAGTACAATATTGCATCTAATTTACTCAAAAACGACAAAAAAACTAAAAATACACATTACATAACAGTAATAAAACGATTGTTATAGCAGCTACATAGCAAAATACTGTATGCAATACGGAGAAAAATATGCATAAAGCACAAAATTGTAGTAATAATATTAATACCAACTAAAATAAAATAGCAGAGTAATAATTAAACAATAGAAACTGTGACACCGTAAAATACAGAAAGATGAACAATGAAAGGGTCGATTCAATTTGCTGATTACATAGTAACTTGTAAGTTTCACGTCTAACAGAGTCTTCGTCATATAAAGTACGGGCTAAATAGGGTATTGTAGAATTTCTGAACTTAGTGGTACGAGCATATAACTTTTTATATTGACTTCTCGTCCTACCTGATGAGATACAAGGGGATAGTTGTGAATAAAGGGGGTGCAGGGGTCTGACAGTACAGCCTTTCCCCATTTTGTACAGCGATTTACATGCCTCTCGACTATAGTATTGGCAAGCTTACGCAGTGGCAGACCACAAGCCCTACTCACAGCATTTAATACTCTTCGTAATATGACATAATCTTTTTTGAGAAGCCCAGGAAAGATTAATGGAGAGCAATAGAGTACAATAGGTAAAATACAGGAGTTTAAAAATTGCAAAACTAAAGGTTGATTGATACCTGATTGTCTTAACTTTTTTTAAATGTAGAAGGTAAGATGTAACATTTTCTTAGAGATAGATAAGATTTCGGATGACCATGAAAGGTCAGAGGAAAGGACTAATCCAAGGTATTTGATGCTGCTTGACTTGGTTTCAATTTCCGTGCCATCTATGCTACAGGCAGGCATCATGCGAACTAACTAGTTCATGTAAGTCACGTCGATGCTTGAAAAGGATAAGCTACACAGAACTCTAGAAACAAAAACACCAAGAATCTGTTACCGAACAAATATGGAGAAGGAAATGGATTCGACTTAGGCTGTATATTGAAACCTGAATGGGAAACGACAAGCTACGGAGGGGTCAGAAGTTAATGTAGAAGAGATACTATGAGAAGCAGATGGAAGCCTATAAGCAGTTGTAAAGCCAGCTAAAAAAGGGTGTGAAATGGAGGTGTGATGATGATTAAGCCTCTTGCTCCACTTGGAACTTGGGGGAAATAATAATAACGTTTAGTTTTTTTATTTTCCTCTGATTGGTCATGTTCGATGGACATGTTCAATCTTTCTCGACATGTCGATGTGTAAAACTGACGCTTCGATGGTGTCCGGAGATTAATTCCTTGTAATTTCGGTTGATGGTAACCAGCAGTTGAATGCAGAATGCGCAATCGATCCTATTTGGAACTTCTCACCTGTGATACACACACATCCTGAATTCTGCAGCTACCCACCATCAACTGAATTCACATTGTATTATTATTATTGCCTTGAGTTCCAAGAAGAACATCAGGCTTCAAAAGAGCACAACTGTTTCATACTATTCTCCACAGTTGTCCTTAGTTAGCTACATGATTGATCATAAGCTCTCATTTCTTCCTCACACGATCTCCTCCGTATCACCCTGAGACACCCAACTTGTCGTTTGTTTCCCATTCGGGTTTCACTCTAAAGCCTGGCTCACTATGTCACTCATCGGTCTCCTCAGCGTATATATCCGATCCATTTCTATTTCTATCGGTATATTTGTTGGGTAATAGGTTCCCGGTTTGTTCATTCCTACAGTTCCCTTTGGCTAATTATGTCTGTCTATCTAATCTTCAATATCGAGTGAATGCATGTGTTGGTTAAAGTTTGCAGCTTTTTTCGAAATGCTCTCTATGACGCGCCAAGTCTCTGAACCATATATATGCATTGAGTTGACACTGGCGTAGAGAATAAGAATTTAGTTGTTTATGTTGAATCCAATAGATTTCCGAATTGCTTGGCTTTTCCAATCCTGCTGCCATTGACATCCTCATTCTTGTCGACTGTAGTTGAAACGATGATATCTAGATCTCTTCCGTGGATAATGACTGGTGCTTGTTGTTGTTCATTCTCATCACCTCTGTCATCTTTAGGTTCATTTGAATTTCTGTCTTCTCCGCTTCTCTCTCTCTCTCTCTAACTTGTCAGTTTTCGCCTGTAGATCTTCGACGTTGTGTGACACCAGGCATAAATCATCTTCACAGTCCAAGCCATCTTAAATCTTCTTGTTGGTCCAACCTCCTTGTGTATTCTCTGTTACCACAGTCTCCTGAATGATCCAGTCCACCACAATCAGGAGTATCTCCAAGGATAGTAGACAGACAGCCTTTTTCTACTCCTATCTTCACTTCAAATACTTCGCTGAGTGTTCCCCAGACACGTGGCATTTTTCGTACAGCGGATGAATGAGACTGTTGAAGGTTTGGGGGCACTTCGTAGTGTTAAAGTAGTTTTCAAATCATCTCGTAGTCAGTGGTGTCAAAGGCTTTTTCAAAGTTGTTGAAGTTGACATAGAGATTTGATATATGTCTAGTATAATACACACAAGTCATGTATTGATCAAATAGCCACACTACTGATCATCATTGAACAAAGCTTGGAATCGC